ACACAAAAAGAGAATGAATGACACAAACAATAATTCTTCTAACTTTGGTACTTTTGGTATTTGGCAGATATGTTTTGGAAAATGAAAACAAGCCTATCACTTCAAGGAAACAGCTGACAGTACTTGTTGCCAGTAATTTGAACTCCAAGAGAAAATTAGAATTTTGGCAAAATTCTATCTGCCACTAGTAGCTCGACAACGTTCTAATACTTGACTGCTTTTCTGAAAAAATTTGGTGATAATACAATGTGAATTTTATTTATTTAGGTGTATTTTTTTTTTTTTGCGGGGGGGAGGCAGTACTGAGGTTTGAACTCAAGGTCTCAAGTTTATTACTTGAGCCATGTATCCAGCCCTATCTAGTTTTATTTTGAGCAGCATCTCACTATGTAGCCCAGGCCTTCTACCTCACAGCCTTCCAAGTCTTAGAATTACAAGCATGGCCAGCATCAAAAAAAAAATTTTTGATACTATATAGTAAAATGTGGCAACATTTGAAAGCTCTGCATGACTCAATCAACCACTATGTTTAACTATCTGTAGTATGATGTGAGAGTCATGTAGGGGTGTAAGATCCAGTCAAAATGAGAGATAGACCAATGGATTTCCAATGTGACAAAGTATGCAAAATTCATTCATACCATTTCTGACTCCAAATTGCAATTAATCTTTAAAAAACCAACCCTTGTTTTGTGTAGTGCCAAAGAATACCCACAAATTCTGATAAGACCACTGAAATACTTTTTCCAACTATCTGTGTAAAGGTGGAGTGTCTTCATAATTCAACCAAACAATATATCACAACAGATTGCAGAAATAAATATGAAAATCTAGCTGTCATCTATTAATTTGCAAAAACAATGTCATTCTTCTCAATAATCTTTTGTGAGACAATAACATTCTTCATGTAAAAATGCAACTTATGTTAACTTATATGGTAAGTTCATAGCTTATAACATTTGAAGAGTGGACTTACTTTTTTCCCAAATGAATTAATTAACATCTCAGTTTCTAACATGGCAAATATTGATATATACCCCACATTAAAAAAAAAAATCAAAGCTGGGTGTGGTGGTACACATCTATAATCCCAGCTATGTGGGAGGCAGAAATAGGATGATCCACAGTTCAAGATCAGCCTAGACAAGTTAGTGAGACCTTATCACAAAAAAACAAACCTAAGTGGGCACTGGTGGCTCAAGCCTGTAATCCTAGCTACTCAGGAGGCAGGAATCAGGAGGACAGAGGTTCAAAGCCAGCATGGGGCAAATAGTTTGCAAGAACCTATCTTGAAAAAAAAAAAATCAGAAAAAATGGCTGGAAGCGTGGCTCAAGAGGTAACAGCCCTGAGTTCAAACTCCAGAGCCACCCAAAAAAAAGCCTAGTGTGGTGGTGTACCTGTTATCCTAACTCGGGGGAAGTGGAAATAGAGGATTGCAAATCCAAGGGTGCACCTGGGCCTAAAGCTCAAGACCCTATCTAAAATAAAAACTAAAGCAAAAAGGGCTGGAGGTGTGGTCCAAATAGTAAGAATACTTATAGCAAGCACAAGGCCCTGAGTTCAAACTCTAGTACCACCAAGAAAATAAATAAATAAAATCGAACTGGGCATGGTGGCAGCACTCAGAGGCAGGAATATCTTGAGTTTGAGCCAACCTGGACAACACAGCAAGATCCTGTCTCCCAAAAAAAAAAAAAAAAAATCAAAGATCTCAAAGAACTTTTTGAAGTGAGGTAAGGAGTTGTGAGTCAAAATAAATAAATAAACAAATGAATCAGAGCACAGCTGGTCTGGTCCGGAGAAGCACTGCCTGTCTAGGACATGTATAAGGACCTGGAAGGATAGGGGCCTTTGTATTTCAAGGCCCAGGAGAAATTAGCACTGTCAGTATTGTTTCCCAGCTCTACCAGAAGAGCAAATGAGAAGTTCAGGTATTAAAGCAAAAATTGTTTCTCTGCTTTTCACCAGATGACCACGGCTCTTGATCCCATGCTAAAATCCAGAGAGACTATGACCAGACAACCCCTTCTTTCACAGAAAGAAGGTGGTAGGAAAACTAAACCCAATTCTAGACCATGAAGCTAAGGCTTCATTTAGAGTTTTACCACAAGTGACAACTTTCCATTCACATATTCATTTTTGTATTTGGTTATGCATTCTCTGTCCTCTCCCACCCCTTTCCCTATCTTTTGAATGTTGGTGTTCCTCTGAGCTCATTCTCACTTTCCATGAACACAGTGAGCACACAATAGCAGCTGCTGTTATTATATTCTTTCAATGCAACCTCTTCTGTGTCATGACTTCAACCACCTACATTCTCACTCCCTGTCATCACCCAGACCCCTATCCTGAGCACCAGACCTACAGAACAACTTCCTGGAGCTTTCTATATTGGTGTGTTATAGAGACCTCAACCCAGCTGGTCCAAAATGTAACTCCTGTATCTTCCTACTCCAAAGCTGCCCCTCTTTCTAATCCTTCTTCCATCACCACGCATGTGGTTGCTAGAGTCAGAAACCTAGATCAGTCCTCAGCACTCCTTGTAACTCTCTCCACAGCTACTCTGTCACCAGATTTTGCCAGTTCTTCTAGAACTGGCAAACTTCTCCATTCCCACTGCAGCAACTATAAAAACTCATCATCAGCTCTAGCCTGGATCACTACTAGGTTTCTCACTGGCTCCCAGGCTCCAGTCTAAAACACTTCCTAGTCAATTCACACATTGGCGTTACAGTAATCCCAGACACAAATCTGATGTTATTGTCCTGCTAATTATTTTTTTGTGGTTTTGCTGGAACATACTCTTCAAATGATTTTATTACTATATTCCCAAAAGAATTTTTAAAACCATGTATTCATTACATATCTTAAAGTTGGTATCTTAAAAAAAAAATTGGGGTGGGGGAGCAGTACTGGGCACTGAAAAAAGGCTCATGCATACTAAGCTACATCCCCAGCCCTAACATCTACAATTTCTCATCACAGATTTAAAGACAATGTTTTGGTTAAGAGGAGGAAGAAAATATTTAAAATTTTACAAAAAAAGAAAAGAAAGAACCTAAGATAAATTGTAATTAGAATAAACATTTCATCATTTGATTTAATAAAACAGGTTTTTATTATCTTACTGAATTCTAAATCTCTTCAAATTTTTAGGTGTATAATCCACTATAGCTTAAAAAACCTGTGCCCCCTCCAAAAAAGAAATTCCAGTTATATTTGCTTAATGGCTATATTCTGAATTCAGAATATTCCAATAAGGAATAAGTTCCCCTTTAACAGTGTGTATTAGACAGGGAAAGACAGGAAGCCATCTGGGTCTAGCGCTAACTTAATCACAAAAGGCAGCTTCCCTGTAATCAGTATTTCCAAAGTATGCCTAGTTTAACATCTAAAGAGGTTTTTTTTAATCTCCTCATGAAATCTGAAATGGGGCTGGGGCTGGGTGGGGGGGCATGTGTTTCAAGTGGTATAGAGTGCCTGCTTAGCAAACTGAGGCCCCAAGTTCAAAGGAGGGAAGGAAAGGAAGGAGGGAGGGAGAGAGGGAAGAAGGAAAGGAAAGGAAAGGAAAGAGGAAAGGGAAAGGGAAAATGAAAAGGAAAGGAAGAAAGAAAGAAAAAGAAAGAAAGACTTGGATATGTGAGGGATATGCTCTCCTTCCCCTTTTAGGGAAGTTTAGAAGAGTTCATCGGAAGCTGCAGGTCTGAAAATCTATTCATCTAAAACTAAATGGACAGGTGCATCCCTTGGAAGTCAAGGACCTACAGAACCACTACTCCAAGGGTTACAGTTGTAATTCAAATTCAGCAAAACATCTAAACCCCTTTGTAATCTAACCCCTATTAAAGTTCCAACTTTCCTCTTGCTATTTAACAAAGAAAGACTCCCAACAAACCCAGCCCAGGTCTGTTTCATATCTGTTCTCAATTTAGGTCTTTCTATAGCTTTTGTAAATGACACTTTGTATCTGGAATGCCCTCTATCTCTTTATACCCAGAAAACACTTAACTAACTTTTCAAAGCTAACTTTAGTCCAATCAATAAATAGCTGGTAACTTTCTGGACAACAAAGGATTAGGTTTTATGCAAATATTGTCTCAGTATTTACTGCAAGAAACGGAGGGTTGGGATGGAACATTCTCTCAAAGGGTCCTCCAGATTACCTATGATTGGCTGACTCAACAGGTGCTGGAATTAAGGAAATTGCGATTTGGAGTATCTGAGATGGCTCCATAAACGATTAAAACATTCTGGATTAAAGATCCAGAATGGCAATATGAAGACCAGAGGGAACGGGGATAAAATACTTTTCTAAGCCAGCTTGTTTTAAGTGTCTCTCTTGTGTTCTATCACAGCACACACCACAGAACGGCAAATGTTTACTTGATTAAAAATCTCCCCTATTTATAAATTCCGTGAAAACAGGCTTTCGCTGTACCCACCCTCTGCACTTTTCATAGTAGCGGTCTCATTAAATATTTGTTGATGTTTATTAAAAATGTTTATAAATGATTAAATGGAAAACTGGATGAATAAATGAAGTTAAATTCCACATGATCTCAGCTCCTGTTAGACTCCAGAGTTTCTCTATCGATAAGAGTGGGGACGTGTTTAAAAAAAAAAAGTAGATATCCATGTTAAATTCGACCCTGAAGCCTGAGAAGAGCTTGGGCTCCCACCTAAGCGAGAAGAATTTAAACAGCAGCGTGGCGGGAAAGAGAAAGCACGAGAGACAGGACGAAGGGGATGCTGAGGGGCTCAGGCACCCAAGAGGAGAGGCCAACTAAGCTCACCGGACGTGGCGGCGGCGAAGGGCTTGCCAGGCAGGAGGCCGTGCACCCTAGCCCACGGGGGAGGTAGCGGGCCGGAAGGGGGGCCTGGTGGGAGCGGCCGGAGGGCTGGGGGACCCGTGCGAAGGCACCCGAGCAGAGGGAGGGGCGGAAGCGACGCGCCGGCGGAGGGTCCGGGGTCGGTCCCCCGGCTCCGTAGCCACACTCACCTAGAGGACCCAGCTTCGCCAGGCTCGGCACCGGCTCCGCGTTGCTTCCTCGCTCGGCCTGCTGGGCGAGCGGGCGACCTCAGGCGCCCCTAGCAACCACGCACCGCCACGCGACCCGCGCACTAAGTCACCGACGCCGCCGGCCGCCTGCCACGCACTGCGCGCGCCCCCAGCGGACAGACCAAGGGCCGGGAAGGGGAGGGCGGGGATGGGAGAGAGGCAGTGCGCGGAATCCCGGGGCTTGTGGGACTTAGGGGCGGGACGCGCCGTCCGCGCGCACGCGCAGTCCCTCAGGGCGAGTGGAATTCTGGGAGCTGCAGTTCCTTAGTTAAAGCACTGTTCCGCGAATCCAGGACGCTTGTTTTCTGCCCTGCTTCCATCTACTCCCTAAGGATTCTTTCGTTAGCCGTGCCTAACCCGCTCTTCTGAAATCAAAAGAGCACATTCTCTGTTAAAGAATTTCCACTACGAGCCTGCCTATGAGCTTGAGCCCAGTAAAAAGGGGAGATAGTTCAATCCACTCTGCCGCCTTCCAATGCACCTTCCCTCAAACTCAATCCACACAGCTGGGCAAACTACAACCACCTGCTTTATGGGCTTCAAATGTGAACTTTTAGCCCATTATCTCCTCACATAAAATAGATCATGCCACCTATCTCAGATGTCTCTGAACCTGGTAGATTTGAAGAACTATAAAGAGAGCTGGAGGGCGAAAGAATCTTTTCTAGGGCATAGACTACAGAAATAAAGAAAACAATCTACGATGAAACTAACATGTGGACCAGAGCAAGGATCTCAATAAATAATTGATTTAGGCAGCAGTCATTGATGAATGTTGAACTAAAACGATTAATGGGAGAATTTTACACTGGAAAAATGTCTGCCATCACCTGTATACTGTGTATTAACCAATCTTACATCATAAAACATTATGTCTCCAGATGGGAAGCAATCAGACCAATCTAGCTGGGAACTGGTGACTTACGCCTGTAATCCTAGCTACTCTACTGGAGAAGCAGAGATCAGGAGGATCACAGTTAGAGGCCAGCCCAGGCAAAGAGTTTGAGAGACCCTATCTCGAAAATACCCACACACACACACACACACACACACACACACACACAGGGCTAGTAGAGTGGCTCAAATGGTATAGTGCCTGCCTAGCAAGTGTCAGGCCCTAAGTTCAAACCCCAATAACTGAAAAAAAAAAATTCAGACAGCTCTAGAATTTGGGCCAATGTATGGGATGAGTGACATCTACTTTCCTCAACAAAAAGGGAGATATGTTTTAGATTATGAAATTTAAGAGATATAGTCAAATGCAATGAGTGCACCTTGTTTGGATCCTGGTTAAAAAAAGTTTTGAGACAATACAGAAATCTGAATTTGAACTATAAACATCAAGAATGTAATCAATGTTAAGAAAACTTTATAGCTAATTGGGAGGCAAAGGCAGGAGGATCTGGAGTTTTAGGTCAGCCTGGGCAAAGTTATTAAGACCTTAACTCAAAAGCAAAATACGAAAAGAAGGATTGGGGGTATGACACAAGTGGTAGAGTGCTTGCCAAGCATGTCAGAGGCCCTGGGTTCAATCCTCACTACTGCAAAAAAAAAAAAAGAAAGAAAATGGTGGCTCATGCCTATGATCCTAGCTACTTGGAGGCTGAGATATGGAAGATTGAAGTTTGAGGCCAGCCCAGGCAAAAGAGTTCATGAGATCCCCCAAAATAATCAGAGCAAGATAGACTGGAGGTGTGGTTCAAGTGGTAGAGCACCTGCTTTACAAGCACAAACCTCTGTATTCACATCCCAGTCCCACCAAAAAAATCAACTTTTATTACTATTAGCTGGTGTGGGGGGGTGCCTATAATCCCAGCATATGGGAGGCATAGGCAAGAGGATTGAGAGGTTGAGGCCAACCTGGGAAACACAGGTAGTGCCAGGCCAGTCTGGGCTCCATAGTAAGAACCTATCTCAAAAAAAAAAACAAAATAAGGAAGGTAGGAAGGGAGGGAAAGAGGGAAGAAAGAGAAAGGAAAAAAGAAAGCTTTATTAATATGAATTAGGATGAATAAAATAGATAATGGGAGAGAATTGGGGCTTAATATAGTGCAAATACAGAGGAATCAGAAATATATATATACACATACATATATATATATACACACACATACTCAGGAGGAAGATGGAAAGATCATGGTCTAAGGCCGGCCCAGGCAAAAAGCAGAAAACTCTATGGAGAAAGAGCTAAAGCAAAAAGGGTTGAGGGTGTGGCTCAAGTAGTAAAGCACTTAGCAAACTTGAGGCCCTTGGTCCAGACTCCAGTACTGAAAAATAAAAGTATACCTAAGAGATAGATTGAACCAAAATTCTACCAGTCATAAATATTAATAATGGGATTTTTAAAATATGGCTACTCAGGAAGCTAAGGCAAGAGGATCACTTGAGCCCGGGATTTCCAGGCCAGTCTGGGCAAAATAGCTAAACAGAAAGAAAAATGGAAGGAAGGAAGGAAGGGAGGGTATGGGAAGGGAAAGGAAGGAAAGAGGGGACGAAGGGTATGGAAGGAGGGGGGAGGGAGGAAGGGCAGTCACTATTAATCTTGTCACTTAGGGTGAACTGAATGATAGCCCCCTCCCCAAGACATACTCATGTTCTACTCCAGGAACCTGAATATACTGCATTATGTAGAAAGAGTGAATATTATCACCTATAGCAAAAGATGGGATTAAGAATTTTGAGTGAGTTTATCCTAGATTATCTTTGTGGGCACTAAATCCAAAGACAAGTGCCTTACTCTTGTAAGGCAGAGGGGACTGGAGGTATCACCTAAGTGGCAGCTCTTTCTAGCAAGCTCAGAACCCTGAATTCAAACCCTAAAACTGTTGCAGAAAAAAAAAAAGTGAGACTGAAGGAGATTTGAGACATAGAAGACGCAGAAAAGAGGACGCAATGTGACCCTGGAGGTAAAGATTGGAACAATGTGGAACCACCAGAAGCTGGAAAAGGCAAAGAGATTCCTCTCTAGGGCCTCCTGAGGTAATTAGGCCTATTCATAGCCTGAGTTCAGACTTGTAGCCTCCAGAACTTCAAGATAATAAATTTGGTTGTGTTAAACCACCAAGTTTGTGGTAATTTTTGTTTGGTGGGACTGGGGTTTGAACTAGGGCTTTGTGCTTGCAAATCAAGCACTCTGCCGTTTGAGCCACATCTCTAGTCCATTTTGCTCTGGTTATTTTGGAGATGGGGTCTCAGAACTATTTGCCTGGGCTGGCCTTGGACCTTGATCCACCTGATCTCAGCATCTCAAGTAGCTAAGATTACGGGCATGTTACCAGCTAGTTTGTGGTAATTTCTTGTAGCAGCTACAGAAAATCAAAAGAAGTGTTTTGATTTTGGTTATATAGAAAATATTCTTACTTTTTTTTAAAGAACCACAGAAGTGTTTAGTATAGTTTAGTTTTGTTTTTGTGGTATTGGGGTTTGAACTCAGGGCCTTGTACTTGCTAGCTTGTAGAGTTTAAATGGCATGATGCCAGAGGTTTACTTTTGCTTTGATATACCACAGGAGACATCTTAGTAGCAAGCAGCACAACTAGCATCTAGGTTTTAGTTTCTAACTCCTCCATGAAAAGGAACCAGGTCTCCTTGGAGAAAAGGTTGATTCTAGAACTGGAACAAGAAATACACAAGATGAGCCTGGCACTTCTTAAAATCAGAAAGGAAATGATACACACACACACACACACACACACACACACACACACACACACACACTCTAACACTGGTGAGAGTATGTCATAGGAGCTAATTAAAAGTCTCCCAGTAGCAAAAGCATATGGCTTTTGAGCAACAAAACAAATAAGTTGTATTAATTTATAATTCAAAGTTTAAACATCCATGAATCCTTGGAATAATTTAATAAACTAATAAGTGCAGAGGAGACAAGCCCTATACAGAATAATTTTAAATACATGATATAGACATTCTGTCCTACAGGACGGAGAACATAACTCTCCACTCTGTGCCTAGTGCAGGGGCAAAAGCAGTAATTCACAATGGAGAAATCTGACATCATCCAGTTATCTAAGCCAACATCTAGTCATGAATCATGTTGGTAGTATGTACCCTGGAACTGATGTGATAAAAATAACACTTTAAATTGGGCATGGTGACACACCCTTGTAGTCTGCTTGAGCCCAGAAGTTTGAGGCCCCAACTCAAAAAAAAAATACACTTTACTTTGGTACTCTTCCTTCCCAAACTCTAAAGCCCAGTTTAATCATGAGAAAAATAGCAAACACAGAATAGCATCCTATAAAATATCTGACTTATCCTCTGGAGAAAAGGCTAACTGTAAGACTTGGGCAAGAAATATATAGTTATTTTGGGTTTTGATGACATTTAAGGTCATCAAAAACAAGGAAAGTCTGAAAACTTTCCAGCCAAGAGGAGTCTAAGGAGACAACTAAATGGAATGTATAATATATAATGAGATTGTGATGGTTAATATTGTCAACTTGATTGGATTGAGATGCCTAAAACATTAGTAAAGCACACACCTCTGGGTGAATCTGTGAGAGCATTTCCAGAGAGACAATTATAGATCTTGAGGACTCTGACCTAATCAATGGATTAACTCCTTAATAAGTTTACAACTAATGAATGAATCACTTAATGAGGTTTATAATAGTATGACATTATAATTAGGTGGTGAAAAGGAAGAGGAAGTAAGTAACTAGAGGTGTGTCCTGAGGGCTGTATCTTGCCCTAGCTCCCCCCTGTATTTTTTTCTCAGCTTCCTGGCTCCCATGATTAGAACTGCTCTGCTTTGCCACCCCTTCCAGCCATACTGGACTGAACCCCTGAGACTGCAAGCCAAAATAAACTTTTGTCATATAAGTTGTTTTCCTAGGGTATTTGACCACAGCAACACAAAAGCCTGACTAATGAAGAGATCCTGGAGGAAAAACAACAAGGGCATCAGATAAAAATAAGGTAGTCCCCGGGCTGGGGATGTAGTTCAGTGGTTGAGTGTTTGCCTAGCATGCACAAGATCCTGGGTTGATCCCCAGTACCATAAGTAAATAAATAAATAAGGAAGTCCCAGTAAACTATAGCCTTAATAACAATGAATCGTACTAATAATAAGATACTAACAATAGAGGAAACTGTGTGTGTGTAGTGTGTGAACGCTACACCATCTGCTCAATTTGTTTTGTAAATTGAAAACTATTCTAAAAATAGAGTATAAATGTGAAAAAATACAGCAACTGAAATCTTCCAAACCCATCTTAATCAACAGATCAGAAGTAACTTTATCAATACAAATCATGGCAAAAAGCAACATGATATGATGTTCTAAGAAGGGACACATCATTACGTAAGAGAATATCCTTGATCTTAAAAAATGCACACATAAAGTTAAAAGATCATGATATATAAAACTAACTGAAATAGTTCACAAAAGTATGATAAAACTAAATGTGGCAAAATGTTACCAGTGAATCTGGGCAAAGGGTACACACAAGGGAGTTATTCTGTCCTTAAGTTTTCTTTAAGTTTTAAATTATTTCAAATAGATTGTTTTGTTTTGTTTTTAGAGACGAGGTCTCACTATATAGTATAGACTGGCCTCGAACTGTCAATCCTCTTGCCTCAGCCTCCTGGGTACTTGGATTACTTGTGAACCACAATGCCTGGCTAGCAAATAGAAAATTTTAAACTACAGCAATGACAAATTTTTAAAAAGGAATATATAAAAAAGAATTAACCTAGAAGGTAACACACATGCACAGGAAATCAATGTGAGTCAATGCCCTGTATAGCTATCCTTATCTCAACCAGCAAAACCCCTTGTTCCTTCCTATTATTGCTTATACTCTCTCTACAACAAAATTAGAGATAAGGGCAAAATAGTTTCTGCTGGGTATTGAGGGGGGGAGCGGGAGGGGTGGAGTGGGTGGTAAGGGAGGGGGTGGGGGCAGGGGGGAGAAATGAACCAAGCCTTGTATGCACATATGAATAATAAAAGAAAAATGAAAAAAAAAAAAAGGAATATATATATACAGAACAAGCCAGTATGGTAAAATGTTTATGATAGGTGAATCTGTGGGTTCAGAGGTAAGGGGGTTATTATTCCATTCTCTCTAGTTTTATATATTTGAAAACTTTAAGCTTCTTCCCACCCCTAAAAAAGTTAAAACACTCCTACACAGAAAACCAGCACAGGCCCCAATCCTCAACACTTTCAGACATTCTCTAAATACCAGGCACTGCTCAGACTATTCACTCCAAACCCACTTAGCACGTTGTACAGTACTTGCCAGAAAGAAAACTGACATATTTCTAATCACTTAGACTATATGCTCTCAAAGATGTTGAACATGGTTTTCATTCTTTCTTGGAGGTATGGAGTCTGAACTCATAGTTCATATGCTCACTAGGCAGGAGCTCTACCACCTGAGCCAGGCCTCCCCACTATTTGCTCTTGCTCTATTAAGGAGATACGGTCTCACTTTTTGCCCAGGCTGGCTTGGACCACAATCTTTGTATTTACGGCTTCCCACCATTGCTGGGATGACAGGCACACACATCAACACACCCTGCTTATTTCCTATTGAGATGAGGTCTCACAGATTTTTTTGCCTGGTCTGGCCTGGAACTGCAGTCCTCCAGATCTCAGCCTCCCAAGTAGCAAAGATTATAGGTGTGAGCCATCAGTGCCTGGCTTAATCATGTTTTCTCATGCTTCCTCATAAAATAATTAACTATTGCTTTATGTGATAGCCTAAAAAGTTTGGGTTTAAATTTAATTTCTCTACATCAAATTGCTTATTGCCATAAGCATAATATTTCAAGCTAGTATTTAATTATTTGAAAAAATATTTCATAATTTCCCCTTCATCTTTTTGTGAAAAATAGATTTTTAAAATACTATGTTTTGAAAAAAAAATACTATGTTTTGCCTAAATACAGTGAAGTTGAGTGTGGCTGACTTGCCTGGCTCCTTATCAGGGAATAGACACTGCAGATGTGAACAGCTCAGTTTTTCAAAAGGAAAAGTGCTTCTAATGTCATCATCTGTGTAGATTCAATGCCCAATTTCCAACAATCAATTGTGTGTGGTGGCACACGCTTTGTGATCACAGCACTTCAGAGGCTGAGGTATGAGATCAAGAGGCCAAGGGGTGGTAGAGTGGCTCGAGTGGTAGAAAGCCTGCCTAGCAAGTGCAAGGACCTGAGTTCAAACCCCAGTACTGTCCTACACATACACACACACAAAAGTTCCAGGCCAGCCTGGACACCTGTCTAAATAAATATTTTTAAAATTCAACAACCAATGTATTTCCATACTTAAAATATGTAGGATATTGGAATAGAGTAATTGATTTATATACACACACACACACACACACACACACACACATATATACGTGATATACATATATATAAAGCCTAATGTGGGAAATTTTTTTTTTTTGCAGTACTGGGGTTGAACTCAGGGCCTACATCATGAAACCACTCCATCAGCCCTTTTTTGTGAGGGTTTTTTCAAGATAGGGTCTCACAAACTATTTGCCCAGGCTGGCTTTGAACTGCAATCATCCTGATCTCTGCCTCCTGAGTACCTAGGATTACAGGCATGAGCCATCAGTGCCCGGCCCTAATGTGGGAAATTTTGATCTATTAGATATATATGCAAGTATTTATGGGTAATGCTGTTGTCATTTGTTTTATTTATTTTTGTGGTACTGGGGTTTGAACTCAGGGCCTACACCTTGAGCCACTCCACCAGACCTTTTTTGTGATGGGTGTTTTTGAGATAGGGTCTCACAAAATATTTGGCCAGGCTGGCTTCGAATTAGAGAAGCATTCTACCACTTGAGCCACTCCCGCCAATCCATCATTTGTTTTAAAATACCCAAGTAGCAAAAGAATAAATACAGTATCTGTCCAAGTGGTGATGAATTTCACTGATCTAACATATTGTGTTTGAAATTTTCCAACTAAAATAGCAATTTCACCTTTCCAATAACTCAGGCCAAAAACCTTGGAATCATCTTTTGTCTGCTTAACCTTTGGTCACAATCCTAACATGCAATTAGCCAAGAAATCCAATTTGCCCCATGTTCAAAATATATTTTAAAAAATCTTATTTTGTTGTTGTTTTTGGGACTGGAGCTTGAACTCAGGGCTTTGCACTTGCAAAGTAGAGGATGTGGCTCAAGCCCTCTACTGCTTGAGCCACACCTTCAGTCCATTTTGCTCTGGTTATTTTGGAGATGGGGTCTCAAAAACTATTTGCCTAGGCTGAACCTCAATCCTCCTGATTTCTCTCCCAAGTAGCTAGAATTACAAGTGCCTGGCTAAAAATCTACTTTTTATCACTTCAATGGTATCCCCAGTCCAAGACACCATTCTCTTTCACCTGGCTTATTACAATAGCCTCCTAACTGTTCTCCCTGAGTCCTACCTTCCCTCACTCCCCACAGTCCATTCACAATGCCAAAGCAAAATAATCCTTTTTATTTTGGGGGAGAACTGAGATTTGAACTCAGGGTCTTGTACTTGCTAGGCAGGTGCCCTACCGCTTGAGCCATGCCAAGTAACAGACATGCTGCCATCCAATGTGATCCTTTTAGAATGTAAGGGAGCGCATATTGCTCCTCTAAGCAAAACCCTCCAATAAATCCTCATTGCACTCAGAGGAAACCCTTAAGTCTTCATCAAGGAAGACAAGGGTCTACCACTCCTATCAGCCTCACCATTACCTTCCTGCCCTCATTTTCTATTCTTGCCTTTTTTCTCCCTACCCTCTTTTAGAGACAAGATCTCATCATGTAGCCCAGGCTGGCTTTGAACTCATACTTTCCCTGCTTCAGCTCTCTCAAGTGCTGGATCACAACAGGTCTATACCAGCCTTCTCTTTTACTCTGCTTCATCCAAACTGACTCCCTACCAGCCTTCTCTTTTACTCTGCTTCATCCAAACTGACTCCCTTGTAGCTTCTCAATTATGGTAGGCATGTTTCCATCTCGGGACCTTTGAAGTAATCATTCTCTCTACCTAGGTATTTCCCTCAGATAGCTTCACTGCTCACTCATTCAAATTTACTCAAATTCATCTTGTGGTGAGGCCAACCCTGACCATTCAACTCAGCACTCCTCAAAACCCCCTTTCCCTGCTTTTTCTCTAGAGCTTTTATCACCTTATCACATAGCTTATCTGATTCACTTATTTTGTGAGACAGGGTATTGCTATGTTGCCCAAGCTGGTCTTGGACTCCTGAGCTCAAGTGATCGTCCTGCCTCAGCCTCCTGAGTAGCTGGGAATTACAGGTGTGCATACTGTACTCAACTTTAATTTGCTGATTTTATTAAATTCACTGCTTTCCCCACCAGAATGGAAACTCTCTGACATACAGAGTGCCTTGAACAGTATGTAGCATATAAAAAGGACACAGTAGATATTTAACTGAATTGAAATAATATGGATAGCAGGAAATTAGGGTGGTCCCTAGAAAATTCTACTTTTGCTGAAGTGTAAACACACTGGACAATGATGATGAGGACCACATAAAGTTCCTTAGTAAGAATTAGGACACTGTACTCATCTTTCACTTCTTAGAAAAAAATGGAATTTAAGGAAAGGAGTCTCCCCATTTTATGGATGGAGGAAGCTTGTCCTAAGCAATCTGATAAGACAAGGTTTAAGCTTCCTAAGTCTATGATTCTAACCAATGAGTGCCAAACATCCGTTTCTGGTAAACTCAATAAGCTCCATAAATAGCTCCCCTTCTAATGCAGCCAGTACTCCATATACATTGAAATTGTATTAAATATTAAAACCGGTGTCTGAGATCTCAAAGCAATCCAGTTTATTTCTCTACTTAACCCTTCCATTTTGGTTCCACTGGTCTTGGCTTAAAGATGCAAATAAGCCTCCAAATCAGGATCTTGTGTGAACAGGACTGCAGAGCTTCCAGCACCACATAGAAGCTCAAATTGGGGCTGTCTCCCAGTCCCTTACCTTGGTAGCTCCAAGTAGGGTAAGGCACATTTTTTATTAAAGTTTACAAATAGGTTTACAAAAAAATAAAAATGATATACTCCCTATCCCCTACCGATGGAAAGAATGTGGGCTAAGGGCTGGGGAACCTCTTAACAACTGAGGTGATGGCATTTATCCCCATAGCCTACTGCTGAGGCAGAGGCTAGTGTATCTTAAGGCAAAAACCACTGGGAGGATTACAGGAACACCAGAAAAGAAGAGATCTGTCAGCTGGAGGTGTTTCCCTAAGGTCCCAGAGACATGTTCCTTCCTGCGCTTAAAGGCACATTATTGGAGAAAGACCCCAGGATGTAGAGAACGAAGAAATCTCTGGCACCAACAACAATGAAGTTTACTGGCTGAAATCATCCTGAATCTGAGGGAAGAAAGGGGCTTTATACATTAATCTGTTCTAGTTTCTCGCTCTCAGGTGAGTTGGCAGCTTATCATTCTTTTTCACTCTTCAGCTCTCAGTTGAGTTAGTGGCTTGTACAGGAGAATAAGGAGGACTTGGCAATAGTAGGGCAATGAAGGCTGGAGGATGGACCCCAGGAATCCGGGATCACGTGCTGTGGGTTGGCCTCAGGAGGTGGATGAGTTTTCTGCAGTGTCTGGCAGAGGCAGGCCTGGGGTTGCCATGAGGCAGCAATTGATTCCCCAGAGAGAGCAAGGCTAATTTCTCACTGGCACCCAAAGACACAAGCACCTGTGGGACAGGGAGATGACAGAAAAGGATGTGAGGCTCAGAAATGGTGGTGTTCAGGGCACAGGCAGAAGACTCTCATTTAGCCCAGCAATGCCCACTCCAGAAAAGGAAGCAAAGGGAAATGGACTTTGAGGGACCTGGAATAGATTGAATGGGAGAAGAAAAACCTTCGGAAATAGGAATTGTCAGATCAGAGGTTTACTTCCATTCACTTTGGCTGTGAACCATAAAGCCAAAGCACCAGAGGACCCACCTACTTATTCTCAGGAAGAATGAAAGAAAGCAGCAGTGACTGACAGTCAGCCAAAAGGTCTCATTCCCAGACTAGGACTTCCCAATGGGTCCAAACCCGATCCCTCACTTCCAATCAAGAATCACTTATTGTCGCCACAGGGATTGCTAGAAACTCCTATAATATCACCACTATCCTCTCAAATTTTGTCTTGCATGAACTACCCAGCGCTACCACATGGGGTTATTATAATTTGTGTTATCACACATGAGTGGTTTCTATAGAAGAGGCAGAATAAGACAGTGGTTAAGAGTATAGGCTCTGGACCTAGACTTCTGAGTTCAAAAGCCCAATACCATCTGCTAGTTTTGTAACTTGGATAAGTTATGAAACTATTTGTGCCTCAGTTTCCTCACCTGCAAGATGAAGGTAATAATAGCTTAAACCAGATAATAATAAAGGTCAAATGCTTAGCATGGAACTAAAAGACAACTGGCACCTTCATGGGCTCAACATCTTCTGGTCTTCCTTCATCTCTTTCCTGCCCTGCCTTAAGAAGAGGTAACCTGTAGTCCCTGAGAATTCAGGCATGTCCTATCCCAATGGAGCCCCCTTCTAGCTCCCTTCCAGCACCCTTCCCCCTTCTCTAGGATGGAAGATGGCAAATGGAAAAATCATCTCTAACACATTGTCCCCAAGTTTCCTGCACCCAGGCAGAAACATACCTTGGCTTTCTCAATGTCCCGATCCTTTACAGACTATCTCAGAAAAATGCTGTCAACTCTAGGGGCCCCAATCATCATGGCTCAAAGTCCTCTGGGACATACCTGATGGATACAGGGCTCCTGTCGGAGGCTCCGGAGGGCAATGAGAGCAGCCTCCTTCACATTTGGCTGAGGATCTCCACATGCCATCTCTAGGAGCCGCTGGGGTACTTGGCACTGTAATAGTTCCTCTCCCAATCCCTCAGGCCCCAAGTTGCCAAGAGCTGATGCAGCATTGCGCCGGATACCAGCCTGAGAATCTCCAAGGAGCTGGGCCATACTGGGCACCGCAGATGCCAGGGCAGGTCCCAGAGGACCAGCCTGGTAAGCTGCATTGCCCACAGCAAAGCTGGCACTGCGCCGCACAGCAGGGTCCTTGTCTCCAAGTCCCAACAGCAGAAGGCTGAGCAGTCCAGCCTGGCTTTGTAATGCCCCACGCAGGGCCATGCTGTATTGGAGCAAGTGTCCCAGGAGCCTGTAAGTACGGGCCCGCACAGAGTTCTCTGGGTGGCCCAAGAGGCTGCGTAGGGGCCGATAGGATTCATCAGAGCCAGCCAGGAGCTCTTGGATAAAGGACAAATGGCTAGGAGACAGTACCCGGGCTGTGTGGGCCAGCAGGGAGAGAAGGTCAGAAATTGTTAGTGGCTGATCACTCAAGAGAGCAACAGAGAGGAATGAGATGATGATTCTAGGAGAGGAAGCCACTGTGTTCACAAACTGGTTGAGAGAAGTGAGATCCGTGAGGGCCAGGCGGGTGAGGAGGCTGATGGGCAGCTCGACTTGGGACAATGGAAGATGGTGGCAGCAGACCTAGGAGAACAGGGGGTACAGGTAAAAGGAGTTCAGGAAGAGGGAGAAGAACACTGCATCTAGGCAGAAACCTAAAATCTGGGATAAAGAAAAGCCAATGTCCTTTGAAGCCTAAAGGAAGAAATGCCTGTACAGTTCAGAAACCACATGAATTGCATGTGGAGCATCTTTCCAAGTTCACCCCTAGTACTGCAAGGGCTCAAAATCTCTGCTTTCAAAGACCCATAGCATAATGCCAAGGACTGTCAGGAAAGTTATTCCTGACTAAGGAGCTCAGCCTTCAGTGTCTGGACTAGGATGTCCTCTTCAGTGAGCTCCAACAGAACCAGATGAAAGACTGATAGAGAGAGAGGGATTAGCCCAACTCTGACCACATGCCTCTTTTCAGGCATGAGTGCTGTCTTTACTCCAACTCTTAGATCAAGCCAGATGCTCCACTCTTACAGGGGCCAGGAAAGCCCTGGAGTTGTTGGGAAATGAATTAGAGGACAAGACACTAGACATCTTCCTCCCCCCTCCATGCCCAGTAGCTTCCCAAGTACCTGAAGCAGGTGGGCTGCAACTTCTGAGTCCCTGAGGTCAGCCAAGATACCTACAAGGAGGTCAGCATCCACATCCAGGGCAAAGGGGAAGCAGAGGAGCTGGCACACGGAGAGCACCACAACAGGAAGAAACTCAGGCCCGTGAGGCCTATGGAGGGGTATGCAGAACAAACTTGGGTCTTGCTCACCTACACTTTGTTTCCTCTCTCTCCTGTAATTTCCTTCCTTAGCAACCCTTCCCTAATCTCAGCAACTCCTTAGGTTCCCAGCCTAATCCTTATCCCATTTCTAGCCTCATAACTCAAGCTATCAGCTACTTCTCTCCTGGCCCCTCTCCCCCATCCCTCCATTGCTGACTCTGATCTTCCATTCTCCTTCCTCTAGCTCAGACTCACGCCCGACTCAGGTGATGCAGGAAGCTGGGGGAAAGCAGGTGCTTCAGGTTGGACATGAGGATACTTCCACGCTGGGACAGGTAGCTCAGGTATAACTGGGGTTCCTGGGTGAAGGTAGCCATGGCAAGGCTTAGCAGGGCCACCATGCCTGAAAACACCAAGAATAGAGACCTAGGAAAGCAGAGGCCCAGATGCCCCTGCTTCCCCATGGCTCCAAGGCCCATAACTATCCAGTCTCTTCCTATCCTTGAATAGCATCATTGTAGACTCTGACATCCTTTTCACAGGCAGCAGCAGCAGACATCTCTGTATGTTACCCCAGTTCTATGCTGCTTCCTCTTGAAGAGGGATCCATATACTGGCCTCACAAAGGAGGCTATGCTAATACAAAGATACCTTGGGGTGAGATTAGTGTCCAGTCTGGCTCTGGGTTGGGTGAACTAGATAGTGACATCCCCTCTTCCTGTGTAGATGCCTTCTCAGGTAGCTTCAGGGCCATAGAGAAACGGTGCCACAAAATGGTCCACACATCTGAGCTAGCCACATCTCTGATTAGGCTGGCCTTCCGCTGCTGGAGACCAAAGTGAAAGAGGGTGGGTGGGGAGACAGAAGTCAAGAGTCCAAATGTGTTTTCATTTCTGTCCCTTACCCACAAAGGAGCCCTAGAAATAATTCCTTCTGTCTTTCCATCTAGTATTTCCATATTATCTTCCTTTCTATTTTTTGGTTTTGGTAGGACTAGGGGTTGAACTCAGGGCTTCACCCTTGCAAAAGAGGTGCTCTACCACTTGAGCCACACCTCCAGTCCATTTTGTTCTTGCTATTTTGGAGACGGAGTCTCACAAACTGTTTGCCCAGGCTGGCTTCAAACCTCGATTCTCCCAATCTCAGCCTCCCAAATAGCTAGGATTATAGGTGTGAGTCATTTGACACCTGGTTTTGTTTTTTTGAGACAGAGTTTTACTAAGTTGCCCAGGCTAGCCTCAAACTTATGATCCTCCTGCTTCAGCTTCCTGAGTACTGACATGCATCCCAACACCCAGCTTATTCTCCTTCCTGTCACAACTTAAACCGCTGATCTCTCCACCCTTGGGTGTGCCTGCTGAAAATCAGGGAATTGCCCTGTTGGGGTAAGCTTGTAGCAAGGCCATCTTGTTAGCAGGGCCTATAAAAGAAAAATTAAAACATGTTTTTTCCCCACTGGATTCCCCAAGGGATGCAGCTGAACAATTTCCTTTAAAGGGTCTTACTAAGGGCAGGTGGGGCAATTCTGAGGCTAGCCTATGCTAGGAGGTTGAGAGGTGAGTATGGGTTGCTTCTTCATTCCTATTACCCAGTGGCTCCAAAAAATGCCCAGTTTCTCTCTCCTTTCTTCTTGTTTATCCCAAGATACACCTATACCTGGGTAAGGAGCTGCAGCAGAAGGATGAGGACACCATCATAGAACCCACAGCTACCTGGTGGAGTCAGCCGGATCTGTTGGAGAGACTCAAGAAGAATACAGACCACTGAGAGAGGGACAAGGTGGCCATCCAGGCCTGTGACCCAACTCTTAATTGGGTAGAAAATCTCTTCCTTGGCCTGGAAGAGTGGTAAGAGTTCTTCTGGATTTAGGAGTCTTGGTTCCTGCCTACTCTTCCAGCATGTGTCCTAATGACACAGTCTGGTAGAATAAGCAGATATAAAAACAATTAAGGTTGCTAAACAAGAGGTTGGGGCACAGTTGAGAGTACCTAACATCACCTCCTGGTGGTAGGAAACTGATTCATTAAAAATCTTACAGACAAAGGACTGGGGACATGGTTTAAGTATTAGAGCACTTGCCTAGTATGCTTGAGGCCTTGGGTTCAATCCTCACCCAGTATCACGAATAATAATTAAAAAAAAATTAAACTAAATTAAAGGTGATGAAAACAGAATGAGATAGCTTTAAAAGAAAAAAAATTAATGACAGTGTTTGGGATGTTGCTCAGTGAGACAGCATTTGATCTCCAGCACCACTACATAAATAAATAAATAAGTAACAGACAAAAGGGTGGCAGTAGAAAAGGAGAACATTTTAAGAAAAAGCCATAGTATATGTAAAAACAGATAGGCGTAAAAGGCCATAGTGAATTTCGGAAAAGGTAACCCTTCTGGTGGAAGGATCACAGAGCCCACGGGCAACAAATGAGCATTAAGTGCAGACTAGAGTCTGCACTTTATCCCAGAAGTAGCAGGAAGTCACTGAAGTATTATTCAGACAACTTGTATTCTGCATCAGTAATATTTTTTATCTCTTTTATTCCCTACTATATCCTCAGACACTGGAATAATGCAGAGCACTCAACACATACTTATGTGTTGAATAAATACTGGTTGAATGAATGACCGTATTAACTCTCAGGAAGGCTCACTTTGGTGAATAGGCCGGAGAAGAAAGATCCTAGAGTATGCAAGAGCCAAAAACCAGAAGATAGATGACGCATACATAAACTAGGGCAGGTTAGTGATGGAGGGAAAAGACCTGAGAGTCAACTGGAAGGTAGAATATATAGCACCTAGGGGAATCAGCTGGGGAAGGAATAATGGGGAAGAAGGAGCTCCTGAATGAATGTTAGTGTTTTCACCAGTGATACGGTCTCTCTGAAAGTAAACTTCATCAAGAAAAAGCAGATGAATATTACCACATTTTGTGTCTATCTTCCAAGTGTGTGTGGGATAACATATGTGAATGTACAATTTTTAACTTATAAGGAATTCTACCTACATAAGGATGACCATAATGTGCACATGAAGTCTATTTTTACAAAACGAGGGAAATATGAGTTCCATAGGATCTAAAAAGGAAAGAGAGAAAGTCCTGGAAAGAAGGCTACAAAATGGTCTGAATTCCTGAAAAATGCATAAAGTGTAAGTTCCTTCTCCCGCTCAGTTATGGAGAAAAAATGAGAAAAGTAGAATGGACTTTGTGGTAGGAGAAGACAACACTTTTAACCATAGAGCATGAGCTCCTGGAAGAAACTGAAGCAGCAGGGAAACCTCACACCTCAGATTACCAGGCAGCTTCCTTTCCTCTTCCTTCTCCCTGCCTTTAAAAGCTCCACAAGAAAAATCTGAAGTCCTGACCAGAGGGCTCAGAGGGGCTTACTATCTGAAGGCAAAGGAAAAAGAAAGAAGGACTCCTTGATTCCTTTTCCATTCTTTAGTTTCCTCCAGACTTGCTAGAATTTTGGTCTTTTTCCCTGGAGTGCTGCCCTAATGTGCAGCAGAGAAAATGTGTCTGGGCCTTCTCTGGTAGGCCTTACCTCTGCAGAGGCAGACAGGGCATGTGCAGCTGCGGCAATCCATTCCTTGGGCTGTAGGTCAAAGGTCACCCCTTGCTGACCAAGTTGTCCCAAGAGACAAGCTGCTGCATTCTGTGGGAGAGGCAGAGGAGGACCATCTGAATCTGAATGGTGTTTAGGACAGGCAGAGAGGATTTACGTCTCTGTCCTGGTCCAGAAGAATGAATGTCTGCAGAAACAGCTGCAAATGGAGAGTGACTGCTGGCTCCCAGGAGGGCTGGATGCCAGGGTGAAAGGAGAAGGAGGGAGAAAGTTAAAAACTCACCACAAGAGAGACGACGTGTGAGTGGGTAAAGAGAGTAGCAACCTCACTGCCTAGCTTCTCCATTCTGGAATAGGGAGACACATCAACAGATGCAAGCATGTTAAAGGAGGCCAGTAAGGGGCCCTCCCTTCTCCCTTGGACTGAATTCTTCATTTAGGCTATATATCCACTTCCAAGGCCCAAAGTTGTTGGGAATCCAGGTCTGTTCTTTCCAGATAAGCTTTTACTGTCTCTGTCCCAGTACCCCCTAAGCAAAGACTAAAGGATGTCATTCCCCATATTCTGTGTCAGGGTTAGCTTCACAGGTAGAAGACTTCATTGAAGAAACTTGACTTTATGACTCACCCCAAAGGCAGATCTTGGAACCGAAAGACAAGAAGGGAGAGAAGGTGTAGTGCTACTTCAGTGGATTCTTCCCAATCCACTACTTTTGCCTATAAAGGAAACCTGAGCTAACAAAACAACCTCTGGGCGAAACGGGGGACTACTGTGAGATAATCACCCATGTTACTGGCCTACCTTGCTCTGGACCAACATCAACAGTGACTCCAAGGCCAGGGGCTCTTGTCCTATAATATGGCACAGACGCTCACTCACATGGCAGCAGGAGTAGAGAACCTAGTGGAAAGAGGGTTAGTGGGCAGAGCAGTCCCTAGTTCCTAAATTGCAAGACTCAGCTGAAAAGCAGATGAGCCTCTCAACAAAGCTGGTGTCCAAACTTGGGGGGTTGTGATGATTAATCCTGATTGTCAACTTTATTGAACTGAGAAGTGCCTAGGAGATTAGTAAAACACACCTTTGTGAGGGCAATTCTAAAGAGGATTAACTAGGGGAAATCTAAGATTGTGGGAGCTATAGAAATGAAGTACCTTGAGAAGGTGGAGGCACAGGATAGGATGCCGCAGGCCAGAGATTAGGGACGGCCTCAGTTGGCTGTTGTCCTCTGTTAGCTGATTTGCCAAATGCCAAGAGACCTATGGAGACATATCCAACGACTCCATCCCATTCACCTTATTCCAATCCTATTTCTCACATATGCCCAATTGACCAGGACCCTTAATCTTCTTCTCAGGTTCACCAGGAACTTCAGACCCCATTCTATTCCAGTTTTCATGGTCAATGGAGAGCTAAGTCTTGGCCTCAGTGTATACAGGTACAAAGGAAAGTGTTACTGGGCAACATGGAGCAGGAAAGCTAAATCTTGAGCTCTTGGGAAAGCATGGTGGCTTCTAATTAGCTGCCCTGACTCTGGGTAGTTATCAAGCCCTCTTCCTTACCAGCTGGGTTCTGGGATTCTGGCTACACTGTGTTCCACAACTGTTTCTGGAAATACTGAGCAAGAAGAATCCCAAGTTTATTTTTTCTGTCCCTCTGAAAAACTCAGCCTCCCCAACTCCCCTGTCAGCCAGGAAGACAGGAACAAGAACTTGCAGCTCAGACCTGCTCCTTAGCATCCCAACAGCTAGGCAGTCCCACAGGGGCAGTGCACATGGCTGCCAGGGCACAGGAAATGGCTGTAGGCAGGTCATCACTCTGTTCCCGTTGTGGCTGGCTCACTTGTGGGGCTCCTATGGAGAAAGGCAAGGAATGCAGGGTGAGATCTAGTTTTCTTTCACATCCTCATTCATTCTTTCAGTTCACATTTACTGAGCACTCATTAAATGCCAGGCACCATTCTAAATGATGGAAGAAGGAAGATTAGAGTCAGACTTACTCAACAAGTAATCAAGAGAACCTCCCCTTCCCACCCTGATCACCTGGGGGTGTGTGGAAAGGGAGCTGTGGAACTGTCAAGCCATGAAGGAGACCATCCAACACAGCACGCTGTGTGGTCAACAGGCTGGAGTAAAAGGCTTTGGAGATGGCTCGGCTGTTCCCGTCCATGGCTTCACACAGAACAGCAAAGCACTAAAGGAAACAAGGGTAGAGGTAGCATCAGGGAATCAGAAAACTGACTGGGCTTAGTGTAAGAACCAAGACTGGGTACCAGTGGCTCACAGCTGTAATCCTAGCTACTCAGGAGGCAGAGATTAGGAGTATCGCAGTTTGAAGCCAATCCATGCAAATAGTTTGTGAGATGCTATCTCGAAAACACCCATCACACACACACAAAAAAAGAGCTGGTAGAGTGGTTCAAGGTGTAGGCCCTGAGTTCAAACCCAGTAACCACTAAAAAAACAAAACAAAACAAAAAGGGGATAGAGAAAAACAGAAAAGACAGAAATCTGGAGGTGGGAGTAGATTACCATAAGGCTGTCCCTTCGCAGTGTCTGCTCAGTGTCATCTGGTTGGGTCAACAGTTTCCCCAGCAGGTCCAGAAAGAGGTTGGCAGCCTCCTGAAACACCTGTAGGCTGGGGGAAAATGGGCCATGGTTTCTTCTCATCTTTATACTAAAAGCCTAGATATGGTGAATGGTTCAGTCTGGGTAGGTAGGAGAATCTTGCAAAGGAACACATCTCCCTTACTAAAACTAAACACACACACACACACACACACACACCATCTAACTCGTTCTCTGCCATTTTCACATCTTGACTCTTCCATTTAGGTTCATGGTATTGCTGACTCTTAGAAACTGAAAGTCTTGAGGTGAAATTGGAGGGGTCCTAATGTCCTTAAGAGGAGCAGCTAAACTCAGCTGATCACTAACCCTGTCATACTTCTCTCTTGGCTTCTTTCTAATGAGGAGGGAAAGAAATACAGTAGAAACTGAAGCCAAACTGGCCAATAGAACAAAAGCTTCTTTTATCCCACCTGTCACCTGTCTGGTTCCTCTCCAGATTGAAGGTGCAGGCAAAGTAGGCCTGAATCACAGCCATCAGATCCTTTAAGAAGGTCCCATACCAAGGTTGCTGCCAAGGAAGAGGAGAGAAAAAAACAATGTGAGGAATGGAGACAAAGAGTAGAAAAGGCAGTTTTAAAAAAAAATGTACAGAGAGCCTGTCAAGTTGACCAAACAGAAAGGTAAAAGGGAAGAGAAATAAGAGCAGAAAGATCAATAGGTAACAAAGTGTCCACCAGTAAACTATAAACAATCTTTTTCACATGAACATCATTTTGGAGTATAGGAGGCTCTATTTTTCAAAAAACTTTAATTCCTTGAATTTGCCCAAACTTAATACTCATCAATAGAGTGCAGCATTCTAACTGACTTAACCTAAGCCCCCTCAGCCCTGACTCGGGGGTCCTTTGAGCTCAGCTGTGGCAGGACACAGTGTGGGGAAGTAAAGGTTTGGCCCCAGACACATTGAGTCTCAGTCCTAGTTCTTCCACTTATTGTCTCTGTGACCATTTACAGGTCACACCTGTATAGTGATTGTATAGGAGCTAATCTATGAATTTGGTATCCTACCGTATAAAACCAGGTCAAAAGGCCGATTCAACATTCCTAAGCAAAATATTCTAACTAGTGGAAAGATATGTGTGAAAATCTGGGTTTCTACCTTCTTTTGGGAAAACTAGAGAATCTGACACATTGACTTAAATTTCTACACAGCAACGATGGGTGGAAGCTGGGGCAAAGATGCTCCATTTAGAGTGGGCATGTGCTGTCTAGTTCATCCTATTTTCCACTACTCAGATAGTTGCACACTTAGCCTGCTTCACTGACTTGACACTACCTATCTTGCCAGAGGCATTAAAGTTATCGAATGATGGTCTGGTAATTAGAAAAAAGAGGAAAGAAAATAAAAGGGCTGTCAGGCCAAATAGAGATGGCAGTTCAAAGGACAGAGGTCCAAGGAAAAGGACCTTCTGTTGGTTGCTAGAGGCTCTGGGACTGGTGCACACCTGCTGGATACTTTTGCTCTCCTGGCTATGCCTGAGTAGGTTGAGCAGCAGCCCAGGCAGTCCTGCCTCCCGGCAGAAGGAATATAAGGGAACAGAGTTACTGCAGCTGGCCAGAAGATTGCTCAGGACCCGGAGTGCAGGGAGGATGTGGGAAGCACCCTCTAGGATGCCTTTCAGTATCTGGAGGACATAAAGGAAAGACACAGAAATTGGTATGATAAAAGGAGAGACACAAATAGAAAAATGTTTCCAAAAAGCAGGCAAAGCAGACCAAATGTTTGCATTCCTTTTGCTGGGAATCTAAAATCCAGCCAAAAAAGAGAAAAGAGGGGAATTGTACCAGGGAAGAAGAATGCAGTCAGGTTACCTGATACAGAACACTAGTGACCAAGGGCAGGGGACCTCAGGATTTTTTTGTAAGACATAGTACCTTTCCTATCTGCTCCCTCCCTTATCCCTTTCTTTGGCTTAAAAACAGACAGACAGATGGACACACACACACACACACTTCTGAATATTAAAAACAGTGGCTAGAAAACAATGCTAGTTAATTCAAGAGAGATAAACATTATTCAAATCTAGAGCTGAGGACTGAAGGTGTGGCTCAAGTGGTAGAGTTCTAGCTTTGAAATCATGAAGCCCTGACTTCAAACCCCAGTCCCACAAAAAAAAAAAAAAAAATCTAGTCTAATATTTATTTGTATACAGCCAGCTGCATGCTAAGAACAGTATCAAACTTTCAAATGGTTAATCTTTAAATGGTTATTCTTCAACAGAATAACATTTACATCAGGTGTTTTACAATATCCCATTCACTGTTGTAAAATTGGACTTTATTTTCTCACTTAATCTTTATAGTAATCTGTGGAGTAAACAGAATTGCTTTTTTTTTTAATGGAACTCGGGGTTAAACTTGGGGCTTCACACTTGTTAGGCAGGTACTCTACCACTTGAGCTACCCCTCCAGTCCCTCTTGCTCTGGTCATTTTGGAGGTGGGGTCTTGCAAACTGTTTACACAGGCTGGCCTTAATTCTCCCAATCTCAGCCTCCCAACTAGCTAGGATTATAGGAGTGAGTCACCAGACCCTGGCAAGAAAAGATTTCTTATTTGTAATACCAAAAGCACAATTCACAAAAGGAAAACATGGTAACTTTATATCATCAGAATGCAAAATATTTGTAATATGGAAGACATTCTTATGAGATGAGAATAAAAAGACAAACCATAAACTGGGAGACAAGATTTGTAAATAATTTATGTGATAAAAAGTTTTGTATCCAGATATACAAAGAACTCTTACAACTCAAAAAGAAATAAACAATTCAGTTTTTTAAATGAGCAAAATATTTGCATAGAGCTGGGGGCATGGCTCAAGTGGTAGAGTGCCTGCCTACCAATGAAGACCTGAGTTCAAACCCCAGTACCACATAATAATAATAGTAATAATAATAATATATGCTAATTCAAAATAAAATAAAAATTTTAAAACATTTGAATAGGTATTTCACCAAAGGTACACAAATGGCCAATAACCACATGAAAAGATGCTCAACACTCATGATTAGTGGACATAAGTTAAAACAACAAGATACTATTTCACACTTACTAGGATGGCTATAATTAAAAGGTCAAACAGTAACAAATATTAGCAAGGATATGGAGAAATCATGACCCTGATAATACTGCTGGTAGAAATAGAAGATGGTATAGCCACTTTGGAAAAAGAGCTCACAATTTTTCCCAATGTTAAATATAAATATACCATATGACCCAGCAAGTCCACTGCTAAGTGTCTACTCAAGAGAAATAAAAACATGTCACTTGGTTAAGAATGTTTGTAACAGCACTATTAACAAAAATCAAAAGGTAGAAACAACCCAATGTCCATCAACTGGTGAGTAGATAAACAAAATGTTATTTACCCATTCAATGGAACAGTAATCAGCAGTAAATAGAAATGAAAGGGGCTAGTGATAGAGCTCAGTGGTGGAGCGCTTACCTAGTGTATACAAGGCAGTGGGTTCATCCTAGCACCACAAAAAAAAAAAAAAAAAAAAAGGAACAAATGAAAAACTGGCATATTATTATTAATAAACCTTAAGGCTGGAGGCATGGGTCAAGTGGTAGAATGCCTGGATGATTATTTTCAATGTGAAGCCCTGAGTTCAAACCAGCCTACCAAATAAATAAACCTCAAACATCATGATAACTCAAAGATGCCAGTCACAATGATCCATATATCATATAATTCCAATGATATAAAATGTACAGAAAAGGTAAATCTATGAGACAGAAAGTAAACTAGTAGTTAGCTAGGATCGGGAAAAGTTATTAGCTGGAAATAGGCATGAGGGATCTTCAGAAGTGAAGAAAATGTTCTAAACTTGGACTTTGGTGATAGTTCCACAATTTGGAACACCTATTAAAAGTTATTGATTACGGCATATAATTATACCTCAAAAAATCTGTTTAAAAACCTTTAAAGAGAGCAAGGCATGGTGATACAAGCCTAAAATCCCAGCACTCCAGAGGCTGTTACAAGGATTGAGAGTTTGAGGTCAGCTTGGGCTACACGGCAAGACCCTATCTCAAAACAAAAAAACCAAAAAACAAACAAAAAACTTTAAAGAGAGGGAAATAAATATAAAGAACATCTTTTTGTGAGCTCCTAGGAGGGAAGAGCACTGTTTTAAAGAAGCAAAAAACGGCTTTGGAAATGAGCACCCTAACTTTTAGTGCTAATTAAGCAAAGTGTTGTCCCCCCAAAAAAGAATCTCATTCTTCTCATTAGTCTGCTTGTAGTACAAAATATTATATGCTCAACTGTTAGAATTATGTTTTTAATTTCCACATTAAAAATTTCGTGGAAATGTGTTTTCTCTCATTATGTAAGTACTCATATAATGGACTCCATTTTAGCCTCTTGGCCCACCCACAATGCCTAAAATATTTACTGTGAAAACAATTTTGTTCAGCCTTCATCTAAATAGTTAATTTTCCCTTGAGAAAGAGAAGTCTGAGGCCTGTTCTCTCCATGTTACTAAAGGAGGTTAGTTAACCTCCTTCTTGAACTGGAAAAGGAGAAGCTATCACTCCTCTTTTACTTTTTTTTTTTTTTTTTTTTTTGGGTTTGAACTCTTTGAACTCAAGGCCTGTTTGCGAGGCAGGTGCTCTACTGCTTGAGTCACTCCACCAGCCCTGAGTGTTTTTTAGTGCTTCATCTCTGAAAACAGTATGAATCCCATCAACAGTATCTCTGCCCATTACCTGCCCTCCAGTCTCATGTAGCTGACTCTGGATGCGCTGGCAGAAGACAGGATTGCACAGCAGGGTGAGAGGGGCCTTTAGCTGAATAGGTACAGGCTCAGTGGTCTCTAGAAAGTGTTGCCATTCTTCATCACTGTCTGGCTCCTGGGCACAGGAGAGCAAAAGCTGTTAGGAGGAGTGTGTGAGTCTCAAGGTCATACTTTCCAACCTGCAGTTAGAAACCTTAGAAGTCATGAAGCAGCTACAAGCAACCACTGATATCTTCAGCACAGACTTATATCTTAAAACAATAGTCAAAATGAAGGACAGAAGGTAGGATCCCACATAGGTTCAACATTTGAATCAAGAAGTGTTATTTTGAGGGGAGACGGGATAAAGGAGAATGATGGAGGGGGTGAATTCAACTATGATATATTTGATATAAGAACTTTTATAAATGAACCACCCACACAACAATATTAAAAAAAAAAGAAAGAAAGAAAGAAAACTAAAAAGTTAGGTGCCACTGGCTCATGCCTGTAATCTTAGCTACTCAGGAGACAAAGGATCAGGAGGATTACAGTTCAAAGCCAGCCCGGGCAAATAATTCGAGACACCTATCTTGAAAACACCCAACATGAAAAAGGGATGGCAGAGTGGCTCAAGCGGTAAAGCACCTGCCTAAGCAAGCATGAGACCCTGACTTCAATCCCCAGTATTACCAAAAAGTAAAAGTAAAAGTGTTATTTCAGATTGTGGGTGTGATGGCTAACACCTGTAATCCTAGCTACTTGGGAGGCTGAGATCAGGAGGACCATGGTTCAAGGCCAGGCCAGGCAAACAGTTCATGAGACCTCATCACCAAAAATAACCAGAGCAAAATGGACTGGAGGTGTGACTCAAGCAGTAGAGTGCCTCCCTTATGACTGGGTGAGTTCAAACCCCCGTTCACTCCCAACACTTCCCCAAAAAGTGTTATATCTGTTCAAGGCCCATCTACCCCAGCCAGGCATGATATTGGTTTGCAAGGTGTTTAGGTTATATAAATTCAAATGTCATAAAAACTTTAAGAAAAAGAAAGCACAATCCTTAAAAGGTCAGGTGGACTGAAGCATTCTGGAAAGCAGCTGGAAAGCACCAGAGAGAGCTATGAATAAAAACTATTGATGCAATGAAGAAAGTCAAAGAGATCAAACAGAAACAACAAACTAAATTTACAATGAACATATGGAAGAAAAATAAAGAGCTGTAGAAAGTTCAGGACATCAAAGAAGTCAAGCAAAACATTTACCTTATCTGGGCCCTTCTTGCAGGCAAGTAATTGGAAGAAAAAATGGTACAGCAGTTACAACAGGATGTGGACATGGAGGATGTTTCTTAAAAATCTGTCTGTAACGATTTCTATATGTACATCTGAAAATCTATTTAGAGCATAATGGCATATACAAATTTAACTTCTCTTTTTTTTTTTTTTTTTTTGCAGTACTAGGGTTTGAATTCTAGGCCTCACCTTGCTAGGCAGGCACTTGAGCCACTCTGCCAGTTCCTAGTTTAACTTTTGACAGGTAGTTGTGGATGTCTGGGAAAAGAACTGAATAATCTTTGCCTGAAATCGCACTGTATTTTTTTCTGCTTTGAAGACTTCTCAGTGCTTTGAAGAATTCTCAGTCACTTCCTGATAGAGCAAGCTTTTTTTTTTCCCTCCATAGCCTAACAAGGGTCTAAAGGCAGAAGAGTTTCAGTGCCTTTTAAATTTTAGTGTGGTTTCCTTTATTTATTTATTTATTATTTTTGTGGTACTGGGGTTTCAACTCAGGGCCTACACCTTGAGCCACTCCACCAGCTCTTTTTTAGTGATGGGTTTTTTCGAGATAGGGTCTCTTGGACTATTCGTCCAGAGCCGGCTTCGAACTGCGATCCTCCTATCTCTGCTTCCTGAGTAGCTAGGATTACAGATGTGAACCACTGGTGCCTGGCTAGTGTGGTTTCCTTTAAAAAAAAAAAAAAAGCTCATAGTTGATTTTGGAAAGTAGAATTTATGAATAGAATGTCCATTATTTGTATATAAAGTAAAATCATTTCTAAAGAAAAAATAAAGAGAGACAGGAGACAGTATGTGAGGGTGTCTGGAAAAGTCTCTTGGAAAGCACTGGCAATGTGTGCACAGAGAGTAACCTGGAAAGATCCACTGCAGCATGGTTGATAACAAAACATGGAAACATCATAATGTTAGTCAATAAGGGAATAACAACCATGGAAATACTATTAAGAAACACTATTGTGAGAGACCAGTAACTAAATAGACTGAGAAAGAACTTTGACATGTGCAAGGCCGTGTCGAACACCTTTGTGCTGAGAAGGCAAGGTCCCAGCACAAAGGAGGTGAGTAAGGCTCAGCAAGGCTGCCTTGCAAGTAGGGAGACTGAGGCAGTGGAGATAGACCTCAGCATGAGCACGGCTCTGTCAAAGGGCCCCTTGGCTGATAGGCAGGGACCCAGCCAAGGGGAGGCAAGGTTCAGCAAGGCTGCCTTGCAGGGAAAACAGAGCATGTTGACGAAGTCAGGATAGTCCGCAGTAAATAACGACATACCACAGCTGCGCTGCCACCTACTCGACTGGACCATGAGAACCCAACCTGCACTTCACCCTGCTTTCCCACACTTCCTGTATAAATAAATGAGCTTGTAGGTGGAGGGGGTCGCTGGCATCTCTCATCAGGAGTGCTGGACCCACCCGGTCCCAAGCTTTTGCTTTTCTATATGTCTGTCTTTGTGTCTTTTTTCTCAATCCCTAGTCACTCCCAGTCAGGTCAAGGGACCTGCTCACGCTGGCCATGAGAACTATGAGATTACTAAAAAGACTGTGGTACTAAGGAGGTATTATTTATATAATATTCCTACAAACAATGCATAATCTGGATCTAGTCATGAAGAAATACCAACTTGATGAATATTCTCCAAAACAACTGGTTATAGTTTGGTTAGTGTGTTTCCCAAAAGGTTCATGTATTGGAGGTTTGGTCCCCAGCATATTGAGGACCAATATTGATATTGGGACCTTTAAGAGGTGGGACTAACAAAGACATTAGGACCCTTCTCTTTCCTCCTGTCTTCTGCCTTCTCTGCAATGGGAACTGAATCAAGAGTCTTGTGCATGCTAAGCAAATGCTCTACCACTGAGCCATATATCCAGTCTAGGATTAGGTATTTCTCCTGGGACCCTGGTTAGGTCTAAAGAGAAGGATGTTATAAAACCTTAAACTTGCACTGAGGACAGTGAATGTAAACAAACAAACAAACAAAACCAACAATGAAACCTGGCCCACCAATCTCTTGGCTTCCTATTTTGAGATATGAGGATTTTTCCCATGTGCACCCCTTGCCACTGTGATACCACCAGCCCTAAGGTCCTCACGAGAGCCAGAACTATGCCAGTGCCTTGCTCTTAAATCTCTAAAACCATGAGCTTATTAGACCAGGAAATATTTTTTAGTACAGTACATTACCAGAGCAACTGACAGAATGTGAATATGAACTATAGATTAGTTTCTTAATCTATTTACTGTTAATGTAGTAACAGCATCAATGTGGAATTTCTGACCTTTATGATTGTACTGTGGTAATGCAAGTGAATAACTTTACTATTAGAAAACATGCACTAAAGTATTTAGGGGTAAAAGGACATGTGTGTAACGTACCCCAAAATTATTTTAAAAAGACAGTATGTCAGGTATATGTAGAGAACCATAAAGCAAATGTGACAAAATTTTAATTGGTCAGTCTGGGTGAATGGGAAACCATGGTTTGAATGTTTCTTCTTCTCTAAAATACTTCTGTTGGCAAGTTAATCCCAATGCAACAGGGCGTTCGGAGGTGGGACCTAATGGGAGGGTTTTAGGTCATGAGGTATCCATCCCTGTAAATGGATTAATACTGCTATACAAACATTTTGCAGAGCCAGGCATGGTGGAGCATACTATAAATCCAGCTATTTGGAAGGTAGAGGCAAGTGGATTGTGAGTCCAAAGCCAGACCAGGCAAAGTTAGGAAGATCCTATCTCAAAAATAAAATTTTTAAAAAGGCAAGTGCAAAGCCCTGGGGTCAATCCCCAGAACCACAAAACTAAACTAAACTAAACCAAATAAACAACAACAGAAACAACAACAGTTTGCAGGAGTGGGTTCATTCACTTGCTTCTGTTCTGCAATGTGCAGATACAGCGTTCTCCATTCCAGAGGACATGCATTGAAGACACCATCTTAGAAGAAGAGAGTCTGAGCCTTAAGCTGCTGGAACTTTGACCTTACACTTCCCAGCTTCAAAACTTTGAGAAATATGTTTCTATTCATTATAAATTATCCAGACTCAGGTATTCTGTTTTGGCAGAATGAATCAAAACAAGGATACACAGCACTTCCATGTAATATTCTTACCATTACTCTTTAAGTTGTAATTATTTCAAAATTCAAAAAAATATAACCCAAAAATAAACACAAAATATTGAATTAGAGTATAACATGTGTTGAAAACACTTTTAAATAGATAATATGAGAAAAGAAGCATAATACAAAATACATAAAACTCAATTATATAAAAACAATGAAACTGTATTTCTCTGTGTGCATATTATATGTTTGTAAAAGTATAGAAACATTGGAAGGAGACAGACTAGATTAATAACAGTAGTCATCTCTGAAACTGAGGTAAGGCTCAAGGGGGACTTTCATTTTTTTGGGTGAGGTGTTGAACAGTCTTGCACTCGCTAAGCCGTTGCTCAGCCACTTGAACCATGTCCCTAGTCCTTCATTTTTTTTTTTTAAGATGGGCATTTCACTATGTTGCCAGAGCCCACCTCAAACTCCTGGGTTCAAGTGATTCTCCTCCCTCGACCTCCTGAGTAGCTTGGACTACAGGCATGTACCACCATGCCTGACTTGGGACCTTGATTTTTACCTATGTATTCTAATTTTTGAGAATTACATGTTCTGGTACTATGTAATTAAAATCTATAAACTGATAAAGCAATTTTTAAACAAAGGAAGCTCATACTTGGAGAATCTCTGTTCTAGAAAAACATTCACCTAAACTCAATACCCATGACAGGGTCAAGGCCAAGAGCCCCCAGGATTTACCTCGTTTTCTAGGTCCACTGCATCAATGCTCCGCTGGCACACAATCTCTGGCTTCAACTCTGGGAATGCTTGTTCACAATCCAGTGTAATAGGCTTTTCCCTGCCAGAGGAAGCCAGGGTGCAGGATGAGTTCAGACCTGTGAGGCTTAGGGTTCATTAACTTGTCCCTCCTCTAGGCCCAGAAAGAGAGTAAAGAACAAGTCATACAGGCACATAGAAGACATTTCCATCTCGTTTATGAGATGTGATCAGTTACTCATGTTAACTGATACACATATTGTTGATTGCCCTCCCACTTTGGATCTTATTCTCAAGTCTACTTTACAATTTTCACCTATGACTCTCAACTCAAATAATCTTCCCTTTCGGAGTGAAACAATCCTTTCCTTTTCAGTCAAAGTACAATTGAGACATGAAGAAAAAATCTTCAAGTTTCCTCAATGATCAAGAAAGTATCTGTTATTAGAACAAGAACCCAGGACTCAAATTCTAAAGACCTGTGTATACTTAGGCAGTGGTTAGTGAGAGACTATCTCATGTTTGCTTTGGCTAGAACCAAAGATCTGCAAGATAATGCCCTCTCCTTACTCCCCCAAATTGCTAGCTATACCCTTCTCACCGAGATGCAGGGAGAGTTTCTCCAGCCTCCCACTCAGCCCAGTTGCTTTTCATTTCTGAGGCCAAGATCCCAGCCAAGAGGCTTGATTCCTGAGGCGTGGCCTTTAGTCCAGGCAGAGGTGCTGTGCCAGGAGTCACCTTGCTGGTCCTGTCCTCTGGTGCAAGGGCAGGTCCTGCATTCTGGTGTTTCTGTGGGAGATGGGTAAGAGAGAATCAATAGAACTATCTGGGCATTATGGATTCTACCCATAGTCATTTCCCAATTCCCTAGAAAGTTACCACCCTTCTCCAACTCCTCCAGTCACTAGTCTAGTCATGTTGTATAACTTCCTCTGCCCCACACACCTTCTGCTTGGCCTCCTCAGCCATGCGTTTATAGGCCTGGTGCAAGATGCGAGACTGATTACCCTTGGGGGCCAGCCTATGGGCCTGTTCTTCCTTTAGGACCTGAAGATCTGGAGGTGGGTGACAGGTGAATGGGGTACCCAAATCTGAGCTTGCTGGCTCTGTTATTACTACAGGAGGAAGAGAGGGAAATACAATTATTCCAGGGCTATCGTCACTACGTCCACTTGGCCAGGCTTCTGTGGAAGAGGCCAACTGACAAAGTGACAAAAAGGGAGGAGTTAGGCAAAAGATCTAGGAAGAAAGTTCAAGCTGATGGAGGAAAGATATGTTGGATCCAGATGTCAGGGGAAAAAGAGAAGGTTGGAGAAAATGCTGGGAAGTGCCAGAACCCTGGAAACTTTGACAACTCACTGGTGACACGACCAGCAATAAAGGGGTGATGTAAGAGGTCTGGCCAGGACAGACGCTGACGAGGGTCCTTGATGAGTAGCCCCTGCAGAAAGTTCTGTGGAAAGAAATAATACTCCATCAGCTCTTCCTTCCCTTCCCCTCTAGCCTCTCTCTAATCTATCAGCAGAACTGGCAAAGTTAAGACTCCTGCATCGATTCTAACAGCAGCCTTGACTACACCCTCAAAAACCCTTTCCTAAGGCATCATTTTCCCAACAGACTACTGCCTCAACCCTTCTAGGGAGCCCCAATTCCTGTCCATGGACATTCTGTAACCCCAGAAGTTAAAAACAGACATCTCAATGTCACCATTGTGAATAAGGGAAAAGAAGCTAAGGGGAAGGGGAGATGTCATCTTCACAATCATCTTCTGAAAGCAAACATTCAAAGGAGTCACAAAATGCTCCCCCTTTGACCTCCCTTTCATTATGGGTTGTTTGTGGCTAAGTAGGAATAGATGCAGCTATGGTTAAAAACACACTCACACACAAGTAATGGTATAAAGATATGTTTGGGGGACACTGAAAAACAAATCTTTCAGTACATCTTCAGATGGTAGAGGGATAGGGAAGAGTCTCAAAAGGGAACATCTGTTATGAGGTATCCTCGGGAAAATCCTCAATTGGGCCTGAAACAAGAATAGAAGGTACTAACAGACTATGAACACTGTTCTAAAACAAGGTGATTTGTATAACCATGGTTCTTGCTGATGATATCTGCATATCTGCCTGAGGAAGAATGACTGTCCTAAGTACACGTCCCCCATTTAAGATTTCTTTGTTTAGATTCTTTTTGATAATTATTTGGGCCTCCTAACTACTCAGGTTGGGAAGAAATTTGTGTTTTTTCAGGAAACTTGTAATCATATTTTCATTGAGGACCCATAATCTTACCCTAGGTAAGAAATAAAAAGAGTACAAACTCCTCTTCATCCTTTTCTGCACCAGCTGTTGTTGAGACTAGCTACAATGAGTAAGCACCACCTTTATTACCTGCCCCCAATCACCAAGCCAGTCCCATCACTAGCTGTTCTGATGTCTGAAGAGGACTGAAAGCAGCGTGGGCAACATCTAGACATCATCTAGACACTGCATCTGATAAGAAATAAGTGGACCAGAGGGCATGTAAAAGACCAATCTCTCGCTCTCTCTCTTAGTGTCTTGAAATTATCTTTCTAATGTGATAAAGTATAGTCTGCTTGTATAGCCTGCAGGCACTAGCAGACCTTTGAACATCCCCTACAGTAAAAAAGCAAGACTGCTTGGCCCAGTTCCTTCCTGCAAAGTCCTTCCCCAACTCTGGAAAAGGATTTTGGAAAAAATCTCCCTTTCAATTTCCATTACCTTGAAGCAGGGACTGATGGTAGAAGGCCAGCGCACAGGGTCCTTAAGAATGAGGCTGACTAGCTGAAAGATGCTTGTGGTATAGAAGGGAGGGGTGCCTACAGCCAGCTCATACAGGATGCAGCCCACAGACCAGAGATCTGCTGTGTGGTCATATGGTCGCTCTTCCACCAGTTCTGGAGACATATACAGTGGTGTGCCTTTGATTGACGTCAGCACCATCGTGTTGGTGCTCATAGCCCGGGCAAATCTATAGCAGATGATGGGATAAAATGGAAGGGAAAAGATATTCTACACCTAGTCAACTAAATCTAGAAAACTAAATCTAATCATTTACCATGTGTTATCGTATGAGATTATCCTGAACCAGAACAGAAAAAGCACCTTTGATTAGTTCCAAAGGACCCAGCAGGAAGCCCAGTCTTCAGCTCAGGTTCTAAAATGAGGCCCTAGAAAGTCACATGTATGTTCTAGGGCTCTCTGAAGAATTGGAAGCATAGATGGAAGCTCAAAAACCTTACCCAAAGTCACAGAGCTTGATGCCACCATCCTTGGCAAGAAGGATGTTCTGTGGCTTCATGTCTCGGTGTAGGATGCGGTGGGAATGCAGATAGTACAGGGCTGACACCAACTGGGCAGCAATAGCCTGAACCTACAGGTCAGAAAGGCAGGGAAAAGAGAGGTCAGAGGAAGGAGCCGGCTAACAAGTCAAAGACTTCTAATACTACTGCTAATGTGATCTTTTCTTCTTTCCCTGTCTTCCAGAGCACCACGCTATGCCTTCCTTATTACTTGTTCCCCTTGTTAATTCTTTCATTTACTCATTCATTTATTCAAGGAAAACCTAGTGAATCTCACTTACTAGCTGTAGGACCATTAGCAATTATTTTGTGCCTCTCAATTTCATCATCTATAAGGCAGTAATTCTCCTGCCTTGTAGGGTTTACTGTATGGGTTAAATGAGTTAAAGCATGTAAAGTGGTGCTTAATATGCGCACACAGTAAACATTCAATACACAGAAGCCGTAATTACATACGACAAAATCCATTTTCTCAAGACATGTAGCCACACAAATAAGACAAAACAAGAAAACATGACAAAATGATGGAAAGAGAGTGCTTCAATAAGGATTCCTGGGCAGGGGTTACTTGTTAGAGTGCAGAGAAACTCCCAGATTGAATGTGGCTGGAGACTATTCAACCAAATCCCATTGCTAACTACCATGTCCTGGTAGCAAATGCTGTCTGACCACAACCCTTACCTCCTACTGCCCTCTCTGGTACCAGCATACTAGCCCTTCTTCCTTAACAACAATGACCACGACGTTAATAATAGCTATTGATTTAAATGGTTTGTGTGAGTGAACTCAATAATCCCCACAATAGCTTTATGAGGCAGACATTATTATTATGCCCATTTTACAAATGAGGAAACTAAACACAAATATTACAGTGACTTATCCAAAGTCACAGCTAGTGAGGGGCAGAGCCAAGCTTCCTTCTCAAGATATTGTGGTTCCAGTGTTCATATACTTTACTTTTACACAACACTACTCCTAGGTACACCTAGAGTCTTTCATTCTTCTCAGAAGTCTTCAAAAATGGAGACTTTCACTGCCCTCAGCTTATCTTACTAGTCCTTCATCTGGAGAGGGAGCAGGGTGAATTTTAAGCCAGGAAGTATACCTGGTCTTCAGGAAGTTTTCCATCATCTTCTAGGATCTGAAAGAGCTCTCCCTCAGCATAGTCTGTTACCACCACCACCTGCAGGGAGAAGGCAGTAGCAGTAATGGAAGATTCATGCACTCTGAAGTTAGGAAAATACTAAGATCCTTGTGCTTAGGCAGAGGTGACCAAAAACCACCAACGCATACCTCTTTTTCAGTCTCAAAGCTGTCAAGCATATGCACAATGTTGGGATGCCGCAGACCCCGCATGATTTCGATCTCACGTTGCAGATTCCTCAGCTCTTTCTCTGAGCGCCCCAGCTTTGGGATGAACTTCAGGGCCACTACCTGTCAGTGGTAAAGTGAGAGTTAAGGCCTAATCACACACTGAAGAGAGCTAGGATTCAACCTTAACCTCAGCCCCATAATTTAAGGCCTGGCACCCGTGGCTCAGGCCTATAATCCCAGCTTCTCAGGAGGCAGAGATCAGGAGTATCATGGTTCTAAGCCAGCCCAGACAAACAGTTCGTGAGACCCTATCTCAAAAAAACCCTTGGCAAAAAACGCCTGGTGAAGTAGCTCAAGGTGTAGGCCCTGAGTTCAAGCCCCAGCATCACATACACACACACACAAAATATTTTATACTGCTTGAGCAACTGTTATCGTACCTGCTAAATTCCCACCTCTACTTTCCCCATGGTACTCTGGTCTTACCCAGGTTTCCTCCACCCCTTGCCCCAGGAGGAAACAGCCTCTGTCAAGCATCCCTTTGATAGCTTCTGGGAAATATGTTCCAATGTAACCAAAGGACTCAAGATGAGATTTAGGGAAAAGAGAAGAAAAATGAAGACAGAAGAATAGACTTCAAGTGGTTTATTTCTTCCTGCAAAGAACGATAGAGGCAAGTGATGAGAATAATATTTATTTGTTGTGTACTAGGTGCCAGGTATTGTACTAACTCTTCTTTCTTCTTCTTGAAACAGAGTCTATGTAGTTCAGGCTGTTCTTGAACTTACTATGTAGCCCAGATTGGCCTCAAACTTGTGATCCTCCTGCCTCACCTACCAAGTGCTGGGATTATGAGTATGCACTATCACCACAGATTCTTAAGTGATTTAGTGTGACAACATATTTTAATCCTTAAACCCCATCAGTCAGATACTGCTCTTATACCCATTCCAGAGATGAGGAAACAGAGCCAGAGAGGCTAAGTAGTTTATTTGTAACTCTAAGGCTAGAAAATAGTGGAGCTGTAATTTGAATTCAAGTAATTCAACCTCAGAGCTCATACTCTGTAAGTCTTAAGGAGTCAGTCCCTTAAGAATACATGTTGAGTAGGAAATACTCTGGAATTAGTAGGTATAGGAAAGAACTTACTCAATGGAACCCCAGCAGCACAGCAACTAAGAGATAGCATAGATATATGGAACTTCATAAAACTAAAGGGCTTCTGCTCAACAAAAGAAATGGTCTCTAAACTGAAGAGAACACCCACAGAGTGGGAGAAAATATTTGACAGCTACACATCAGACAAAGGACTGATAACCAGAATATATAGGAAACTTAAAAAACTAAATTCTCCCAAAACTAATGAGCCAATAAAGAAATGGGCAAGTGAACTAAACAGAACTTTCTCAAAAGAAGAAATTCAAATGGCCAAAAAACACGTGAAAAAATGCTCACCATCTCTAGCAATAAAGGAAATGCAAATTAAAACCACACTAAGATTCCACCTCACCCCTGTTAGAATAGTCATCATTAGCAACACCACCAACAACAGGTGTTGGTGAAGATTTGGGGGAAAAAGGAATCCTCTTACACTGTTGGTGGGAATGTAGACTAGTACAACCACTCTGGAAAAAAATTTGGAGACTACTTAAAAAGCTAGACATTGATCTACCATTTGATCCAGCAATCCCACTCTTGGGGATATACCCAAAAGACTGTTACTCCAGAGGCACCTGCACATCCATGTTTATTGCGGCACTATTCACAATAGCCAAGTTATGGAAACAGCCAAGATGCCCCACTACTGATGAATGGATTAAGAAAATGTGGTATCTATACACAATGGAATTTTATGCAGCCATGAAGAACGAAATGTTATCATTCGCTGGTAAATGGATGGAATTGGAGAACATCATTCTGAGTGAGGTTAGCCTGGCCCAAAAGACCAAAAATCGTATGTTCTCCATCATATTCGGACATTAGATCAAGGGCAAACACAACAAGGTGAATGGACTTTGATCACAAGATAAAAGCGAGAGCACACAAGGGAGATATGAGGATAGGTAAGACACCTAAAAAACTAGATAGCATTTGTTGCCCTCAACGCAGAGAAACTAAAGCAGATACCTTAAAAGCAACTGAGGCCATAGGAGAAGGGGACCAGGAACTAGAGAAAAGGTTAGATCAAGAAGAATTAACCTAGAAGGTAACACACACACACAGGAAATCAATGTGAGTCAACTCCCTGTATAGCTATCCTTATCTCAACCAGCAAAACCCCTTGTTCCTTCCTATTATTGCTTATACTCTCTCTTCAACAAAATTAGAGATAAGGGCAAGATAGTTTCTGCTGGGTATGGAGGGGGTTGGAGGGGAGAGGGAAGGGGGGGAGGGGGGTGAGGGAGGGAGTGGGGGGGAGGGGGGAGAAATGACCCAAACATTGTATGCACATATGAATAAAAAAAAAAAAAGAATACATGTTGGACTGGAGGTGTGGTTCAAGTGGTAGAGTGCCTGCTTTGCAAACGTGAGATCCTGAGTTCAAACCCCAGTTTCCCCCGCCAAAAAAAAAAGTACACGATGGTATAAATGCATCCCTTCTGGTTCCATTTTCCACTACAGTTAGGGTTACCAAATCCCACTCAAAATATATCCCTCTTTGTTCACCACCTGAGCACTGTATTTTTTCCGACCCTTGTACACTCTCCCAAAAGAGCCTTCTCCAATCATCTCCAACACGTGGTACTTTTCCATGGCAAAGCTTTCAGGATCTCTCAGAAGGAAAAAGGTGAAGATGGTGGCGAAGAGCTACAGCTTCTGGGACAGTTCCACACATCTGGGAGGCCTGCGGACACGGGAGAAGTGTAAAGGTTAGCTGCCTTGTCTTTTCTCCTTTTTCACAATTATCCAGGCCTCAAAAACACGCTAGCGTGCAGTTCTTAAAAAGATGACAAAAGCTTGGGACAAACAGAGCATCTCCTTGGAGTTCTCCCCTTTTTCTGTTTCCTGTCCCCAACCCAAACCCGAGCCCAACGTTCCACCAGCTTGGCCCACTCGGCCCCGCCCCCCTCAAACTAGCCTCGCCTACCCGGTCCCGCTGTCCAAGTTCTTGCCACCCCAACTTCCTCAGCACCGCCGTCAGACCCCTGCAGGGACGGTCCCTCTCACCCCAAGCCTAAGAGCCCCAGCTCCCCAGGCCGAGGGACGCCGGTCCCGGCTTCCACCAGGTCCTTTTCCGGCTGCCTGTATACTTTGCCGGACTTAAAATTTTTCTCTGCCCCTACTGCCAGTCTCTTTAGTCTCTCTTACCAGCTTTAGTCGCTAGAACTGGTCAGAAGTTCAGAGGACAAAGCTCTCAGTGGTGTGCGACGGACGTGGACAGGCCATAGGCACGTCCTAAGCTACTTTTAAGCTGTCGCTTGGTCCTCAGGCCACACTAAGGACCCAGAGTCTGCGGTTGCCTAGAAACGGCGCTAGCTGCCCCCGCCTTGGTTTTCCGCCTCCGACTTTCCTAAGGAACTTCCGGTTCCGGCTGTGGGCGGGAGAAGACATGGCGGCGTCTGCGTCGGCAGCTGCCGGGGAAGAAGACTGGTAACTTTGGGTCATGGGCTTTGGCTGGCCGTCTGGATCTGGTGCTGGGGACTAACGGCGGCCGCAGACGGTCCGTACGGCGGGCTTGTGGGGTGGAGTAAGGGATGAGGGATGACAGAGACCCTGACACCTCTTCCTAGACGAGTTTCTGGACTGGAAACGGGAGGGGGGAGGGGCGCTGATCTCGGTGAGGAGTTTGGGTCGGCCCCCCGGACCAATTGAGGCCACGCTTATCGGCTCCATCCCCTGTCCCCAGCACTCCTTCGGTCACACACCCTCCCATTGTTTCCTGAAGTGAATTTTTTTCTGGGGCCTGGGATTGCCTGCCCATCATACCTCCCACCTCCCAAAACCTGTGTCCTCCATCTCCCTTCCCCCTTGCCGCTTGGCTCAGCCCATTTCCGCCTAACCTTCCCTCAGTCGTCTCCCCAACAACACTGATGAGGACTATGGTCAGAATAAAGACTTATACGCCACAAAAAGCCCTCCTGGTCCTTCTCTCAAGCATTCTTAAGAGAATAGACCCTGTAAGGACTCTGGGATTTGGACATAGGATAAATGTGGGTTCACTCCATATTTTATTAGCTGGATAATGCTGATGCTTAGCTTCTTTGAGTCAGTGTCCCCAGCTGTGAAAAAGTGGGTGTGGCATCTGCCTCATATAGTAGCTGCGAGGGTCACCATGGATTTGTAACATACATAATAACCTCCTTTTCATTAATCACTCTGAGGCGTAGGACGTGAGGGGACTAGACAAACCTGAGAAAGCAAAGTGATTTGTCAAAAGGTACACCGTGGCTACTACGAACTAAGGTCTGTTTGACTCCAGATTTTATACTCTTAGTGCTAGAACACCACCACCACCACCCTTTTTTTGTCACCATCTTACCATCATACGTCCTGTTCTTTGCATCCAGGACTCAAGTCACACCTCAGCGGTCTAAGTATTGAAGGGCTACATCTGTGTTACATTGATTCAAGGAGCTCAGCCAGTGGCCTTTACTAAGACCATCTAGACAGTGATTTTCACCGTTACGACGAGGTTTTAAGATTCTGAGGGGACACCTTGAAAGGGCAGCAGTGACACTGCTGCCAGTGGCACTCTGTAAGATTTCCATTCCATGTCAATCAGAACTCCACTGTTATCTGTCAGGTGTAAAGCTTTATATTTTAGGCTTCTGCCTAAAGCTTAACAATAATAAGAAGAACCCCTGAGAACTAGTGATAGTAGAGCCTTTCCAGGCCTGGCATGGTTGAGGCCCTGGGTTTGATTCCCATCACTGCTTAAAAGAATTTTTTTTTTAAAAAAAGACAATCACTGATAAAGGTCAAGGGCAGTCTTGTTTTTTGGTTTTTGTTTTGGTTTTTGTTTTTGCAGTACTGGGGTTTGAACTTAGGGGTTTACACCTTGAGTTACTCCATCAGCCCTTTTTTTTGTCATGGGTGTTTTCAAGGTAGGGTCTCATGAGCTATTTGTCTAGGCTGGCTTTGAACCATGATCCTTCTGATCGATGCCTCCTGAGTCGCTAGGATTACAGCCAACCTTGTTCTTATTTTAACTTTTTTTTTCTTTTTGAAGCACTGAGGCTTGAACTCAGGACCTCATGCTTGCTAAGCAGGCTCTCTACCACTGTGCCACATCAAACTAGGGCAGCCTAGCTTGATGAAGAGGGAAGAATATATAAGAAAGCAAGGCTTGCATCTTTCCATGTATCACCTGAGCAGAACTATGGACTCAAACTAGTCACTCACCTTCAGTGTCATTATAATTGCTGTTTTTATGCTTGCACATATGTGTCCTCTGATTTATATCAGGACCGTGCATCCTCACCTGGGTAGGCTGATCTAGGTCAACCAGACAGCCAGAGTTATAAATAACATCCAGAGTACTCTACTAACTATATCCTTTCCCCTCTCCTTGTAAATGAGAAGGTTATGTAAAAACAGGAAAAAAAGAGGACTTAGACCAGCTGCTAATGGCCCAGGCACTGTTAGATATTTTATATAAATGAATCAGTCTTTAATCCTAATAGCCCTAGAGAGGATAGGGTTGGTGGTATTATCTTTATATGGTAAATTCTAACACTGGCTCACAGAAGTAAGTGACTATGCAGGTCACATAACTGGTAAGTGATATGTACCTATTGTTGACTCCAAGGCTGATGGCTGTTCTGCAACACAACAGTTATACCCTCTAGACCTCTTTCATTCAGGTTGGTATCTTCTTTGAGAAGGCTTAGAGTGACTGGTATTGGCAGTACACATAGGCAGTAGCTAGGACACTGGGATCCACAGTGAACAGTGGTGTATAGGGAAAGGCAGGAGTGGTACTGGTAACCTTGTTAGTAATGAGCAGATGCCATATATTTAGGTCAGAGAGATGGCCCACTGAGGGATGAATGAAACTTGAATAGGGAGTCAGGAAACCTGGCTTTCCCAGTTCTGCTTATGCTAAGCCTAAGTTAGTTATTTCATCTCTCTGGGAATCTTGTTTCCTCATGTTGGCAGAAGTGATCACTAAAATTCTGATTCTCATGCTGCCTACCTGGCAGCTTACAGAAACACATTTCCCTCATTTTTAGATGTTTAGGAAGAGAATGTATTCATGCAGATTGCCATTTTTCTACAACGTCAGCCTTTGGCGGCCTGCTACCAGGCAGGGAGAGCTGTAATGGTGACTCAGTCTCCCTCTGATTCTCTAGGGTCCTTCCCTCTGAAGTCGAAGTATTAGAGTCTATCTATCTGGATGAACTACAGGTGATTAAAGGAAACAGCAGGTGCGTATTCAACTGGGATGGGCAGGAGTCCTATTAATTAAAGAGAATATTCCATGTAGAATCTGGCCTTAATACATTATGAGCCTTGGTTCAGAGATGATGTTTCTTATAAAAACAAAGGCTATTCCTTTAATTCCAAAAAAAAGAGTCCAGTGCACACTTCTTCTGCCTGCTTTATCTCACCTGCCTCCCCAGCTCTTAAGCCCCTGCCCAGTCACATCTGGGTCTCCACTTCATCCACTTGTAGGACTTCACCATGGGAGATCTTCATTACTCTGCACCCTGCAACTGCAGAGGACCAAGATTCACAGTATGTCTGCTTCACACTGGTGCTTCAAGTTCCAGTGCAGGTGAGACTCCCACTGTATGGCAGCAAAGGAAAGAAGGGGAGATTCCCTGGAATAGGTCACTTAGAGTAACTTGTTGCTTCCCCACTCTAGTATCCCTATGAGGTGCCTCAGATCTCCATCCGTAATCCCCGAGGACTTTCAGATGAACAGATCCACAAGTAAGTTGGACTAGTCAAAGCAGGGAGAACCTGGGATACAGCTTCTGGGGAGGAGAGCAGGTCTAATATTAGCGTTATTCTCTTCTTCCAGGATCTCACAGGCACTGGGCCATGTGGCCAAGGCAGGGCTGGGTACTGCCATGCTCTATGAACTCATCGAGGTAAGGTGTGCTGACTTAGGAAAATGTCCTCTCTTTCAAGCTAGAGCAGTTTTTTTTCAGAAGAATCTTAAAATATATATGGAGTCATTCATTTAGTTCTTATTTAGGTAAGACTTAAATTAATTTAGAAAGATGACTTTATTTGCTTTTTGTGGGAATGGAGAGTTAAACTTGGGGCCTCTACCACTTGAACAATAGTAGGCAAGCGCTCTACCACTTGAGCCACTATGCCAGCCCTAGAAGTGTAATGCTTATATTTCAAAAAATTTCCCAAGAACTTCTGTGACTACACAGGTTGGTTCCAGCATCTTGACAGAAAAGTACTTTTCCTCTTTTAGCTTGCTTTTTTTTTTTTTGGCTTCAGTTTCAGTGCAGCTGAACGTGGCAAAAAAAACCAGGCGCTTGCCTAAGGGGGTCTTAGCAACCAATGAATATTTGAAGACTAGTCTGCATTGTAGCTGTGTAGAAAATGTCATGGTTCCTTTTCTCAAAGAGTTTATATTCTGGTTAAAGAAACAACCTACATGAAACAATGTTTAGTTCTAAGTTTTCATCTGTTTAAGATGAAAACACATGAGACCAGTCTTGTTTTCCTGTAGTTGGGATTTTTAAGAAAACTGTTAGATTGAAATTGGGTGGTGTAGAAGAAGGGAATGGGCATATTAGACCACTATAGCATTCCTAGGTCAGACCTCCACAATGCAACTTTGACCTCTATGAATTCCAGAGTCTTTATTATTCAAATAACAATGCAGATGCATAGTTCAAAGACCAACTTGATACATTTTTTTCTCTGTCCATTTGGGTTGGCTATGCCTTTGTTTTTTTTTTGAAAGCCAAATCCAGAACAAACTCATTGTCCCACATGAGAGTGAGTTATACTGTAAGGGAGTTATACTTAAGGGGTGTTAACCAAACACCCAACACAGTGGTATCATGCCTGTAGTCCTGTCCACCTGAGAGGCTAAAGCAGATCCTTGAGTCCAAGTGGTTGGGGCCAGCCTGGACAACAAAGCAAGACCCTATCTCAAAAAAAGAAAAGAAACCTCCCAGAAGATGGTTTTTCATTGAACATTTTTTCTCCCCAAGGTACATTATTTTCCTTTCAAGATAACATTAAAAATTACTTAATGAAAGAAAAACAACTTGGATTTTAAAGTCAGGAAGATGAGATTTAGGGGAGGGTATGGGGACATGGAGAAAGGTTGCTTGCAAGCAGAGCATCACCAGGACAGGAATGCATAAACAATGAAACAAACTGGCTTGGTGGGTATCCACTCCAGCCAGATACTCCTAGAAGTGGACAGGCTTTGAGCATAGTTCTCTGTCTGCATGTTTGAGCAACATCTTCTCTCCTGTCAGAAAGGGAAGGAAATTCTCACAGATAACAACATCCCCCATGGCCAGTGTGTCATCTGCCTCTATGGTTTCCAGGTGGGTTTCTCTGTTGGGACCTGAGATGTTTGGGACAGGCAGATGAGGGCTGGTAAGTGAGTGCTGATACAACATACTACTTCTGCCTCCTCCAGGAAAAGGAGGCTTTTACAAAAACACCCTGCTACCACTACTTTCATTGCCACTGCCTTGCTCGGTACATCCAGCACATGGAACAAGAGCTGAAGGCACAAGGACGGGAGCAGGAACGGCAGCATGCTGCCGCCAACCAGGTAAACAGTGTCAGCCTCTGCTCTCTCACCTCACACCCTTAGGCTTGGTGACCTGCCCTCCATCAGTTTCTCCCTATTTTAGGGTCATACCTTTGAGATGAATGTAATCTCACCTCTGTCCAGAAAAAAATGGCATCTTTATGTATACTTAGGTATTGCAAGTCCCCAGACTTGTAGTTAAGTAGTCCCCTCCTGTCGTACCTCATTGCTGAGTAGGTATGCCTGTGCCCCTCAGTCCCAGCCCCCCATCCACTGGGCTGGCTGATGGGGAGCGGGGTGTGATTTTTCCTCATTTTAGGAGGCAGGTGGCGTGCAGTGCCCTGTGTGCAGAGAACCACTTGTGTATGATCTGGCCTCACTGAAAGCAGCCCCTGAACCCCAGCAACCCATGGTAAGGGGATTCTTTTCTAATTTGAGCCAGGAATAATAGTATTCTCTAAGGAAGGATGAATGGGCATCTTGTCTCCCCCAAATGGGATTTCTGCAACTGAGCTTGACCTGCTTAGGACCACTATGAAACCACAGTCCCTGTTGGGAGCCTAAGGCCTCAGGAACCTAACTGAGGGACAAAACTAGCTCTCCTTTGGCAGTCCTAGAAGAGTAGGGGTTCAAGTCTGCTGCCTGCTCCTGTTTGTTCTTTTCTCCCTCCCATCCTGCTTCCTTCCTTCAGGAGCTGTACCAACCCAGTGCAGAGAGCTTGAGGCAGCAGGAAGAGCTCAAGCGGCTCTACCAGAGGCAGCAGGAGCGCGGTGGCATCATTGACCTTGAGGCTGAGCGGAACCGGTACTTCATCAGCCTTCAGCAGGTGAGGGGAGGGTTCCCCTTTTGTCCCTCAATGCCACCAATCATCTCTACAAGTCCCTCTCTGCCCTGGCCTGTAGGTATACTTTGTCCTGTCCAGGGAGGTTGTAAGCTAATGGTGGTTGGCCAGTAGTAGGAGAGGAGCCTGCCAATTGCTGCTTTGAGGAACTGCATCTCCCTCAAAGTATATCCTCTCTTTTCTCCAGCCTCCTGCACCTTTGGAAACCGAGTCAGGCATAGAGGTCTCCAGAGGAACCTACCCACCTAATGCCTTTGCTGCAGAACAGTCCACCTTACCAGCTGCCCAGCCTACCCTGACAACTCCTCTGCCTGTGGCTACCCAGTATTTGTGTGAGAAGCTTCCAGGGGCTGAGCCAAATCAGCAGAGGTTGGGTGAGACCCAGAAAGCCATGCTAGATCCCCCCCAGCCCAGTCGAGGCCCCCGGCGGCAGCCTGATCGGAGGCACCTGAAGGGAGGGGAGTGCTGTGCCCTAAAAGGTACTAACAGTGACACCCCGGAACTGCCATCACCTGAGAAGTCCCTCAAGGAGCCTGTGAACCTAAAGCCAGAATCCCATAACCAAAGGGTTGAAGGTCCTCCCCAAGACAAGGGGCCTGGCGGCTGGCAGGGCGCCCCACCCCGCAGGACTCGGGACTGTGCTCGCTGGGAGCGCTCCAAAGGCCGGACGCCGGGTTCTTCCTATACCCACCTACCTCGGGGACAGGGAACCTACCGACCTAGTACTCGGAGGGAGCCCCTGAGCCTGGAATCTGAGGAAGGTTCCTAGCAGTACTTGTGGGGGGACAGGTACTTGGGGGTGGGAGGAGGACAATAAAGAGATTTGGCCTTGTTTGGCTTTCTTTGCTCAGCAGCACCTAGCCTGTGAGGTATGGCTCTTTCTAAATTCTTAGCAAGATTTGGGTGTACCAAAGGAGCCCCCATCTTTGCTCTGAAGTCTATTCTTCCAAGAGATGAGGGTGGAAGAAGTCTGGCTTCTCCACTAGGGTGGTCATTGCCAGGGAAAACTATTGGGAGGTTGACATTAGGGCAGAATCCTTAGGAATTGCCATAATATATAACCCACTGTATACACGTATATTTACATGTATGTTTCTTACTTGAGTGCCCTTAGGTATGGACATATATCATCTGTTTAGTATCTTTTTCCTCCTCTGTCTTAGGCCATGGCCCAATGTCTGTATATATGGAGGCTTAACTGACTCTTACAGGCATCTGTGATTGCAGCCCCTGCTCTGTGCTCAAGTCCCAACACAGCAAGGGAGTAGAGGAGGGCAGAGACTAGAGTAGTGTGGTAGGTGTTTATTGAATTCCTTGAGGAGGAAATGTGAGTATGGCCTACTGGATCACCTCAGAGATTCAGCATTGTGAATGGCCCCTGCAGGGTCATTTTTATACAGCATGAAGTAGCCCTGCACCTGGGCAGGACTGATCTGGGTTGTAGCTTGAAGGACATGTTCTGCGAAGGTCTCAGCCAAGGAAGGTGCTTGTCCTGGATAGAACTTCTGGAACATCTGGGTCAGCTGCCAGTGTGAGCAGTAGCCGACATACTCCTTCAAATCTACTCGCCCAGGACGTATCAGGGCAGGGTCCAGCCTAAAAGGAGAAGCAGAGTGAAATGCAGCAGTTCTACCAGCAGCCCAACAGAGATGGTCCTCTCAACCTCCTGATTCTCCTAAGGCATTGAAGGAGTGAGTCTTGCCTTGCTCTTCCTTACCTGTCAACGTGGTTGGTGGTCATGAACACAATGCGTGCTTCAGTGGAAGCCACACCATCCAAGGCATTGAGCAGTCCACTGAAGGTGAGGCGACCTAGACCTTGGTACTTTACAGGGTCTGGAGGAAGACAGGAGCACGAGTGGTGATGTTCTACTCGATACCCTGTTCCACTTCCCACCACAACCCCTACTCAAAAGAATGCCTCTTGTTGCCAGCGTAGGCTCCATCAGCCCTCTGGATTTACGCTTTCCCCACCGTTCCTCATTTGTTCCTGTATCTCACTACCCTCACTTAGAACCACTTCCCTTCCCCAGCACCCTCACTTACTCTCCATAGCCAGGTCTCGACTGAGAAAAGCAGCATCCACGTCCTCCAGGAGCACCAGGCTTTGCTGTGGGGCTACACTCAGTAGGTGGTTGAGCCGGTCATCAGAGAGGCTGGAGTCTGTGAGACTCAGCAAGCAGATACTGTGTTCCAGTTCCCCAGCCAGGGCTGTGCTGTGGATAGTGGCATGGCAGAAGGTGGAGAGCAATCTGGGGACTCTTCCTTGAACCTAACTGCTCTTTCCTCCTCCCAGTTCTGGGAGGTATGTCTCAGAGGCCTAACTCTCCCACCACCCACCTGGTGTTCCACACATCACATGTTCATCTGGGTTCATGGTCCCCAGCCTCATTTCCCTCTCCAAGCCCACCAGTCCAGTTTTTCTGCAAAAAGCTAAATTTTACAGAGTTAAGAGGGATTTTAACTACTCACATAAAACTGCTCTTTCCACAACCAGGGGGCCCATAAAGCAGGTAGCCACGTCTGTATGGAATGCCTAGGGATATAGCCAGGGTAAGGAAGACCTGAAGTAAATCATATATTCTGCCCCAGGTGTTCACATTCATTCCCAGTTCTGCCCCCTATCGGGCTGGTGGCCCTAGTATCAGAAGAAATCACCCCACAAGCAACTTTTCTTTCCCCTTCACCTCTGGGAATTGGACTAGAGCTTTATATCACCCCATCTGTCTAGAGACCAACCTGCCTCCTACACTAACAACCAGTTAAAAAAACAGCCTAGCCCTGGCCCCAGCTGCTTCTCACCTCTATCAATGTACCACTTGGGGTTATCAATGAATTCCCGGATGTCTCTGACAATTCGGTCTGCCAGACCTTGTTGTAGAACTACAGAATTCAATGGTCGCCGCCGGCGTGGATAACCAAAGGGACGCCATTCAGATCCCACAGCTGTGTACATCACTGTCTTCCCTTCCTCCTGTTTCAAGGCTAGATCTCGAGCTTGGAGGGGGGATAAATGAGACAAAGTTAATAACTTTGTCATGAAAGAATTCACCATGGCTGATTGTTCAATTAGGTAGAACTATGCCCAAATGGCTTCTAGGTGCCTTGGTCCCAAGGGTTCAGGTTCTCTCAATCCTCTCCAAGCTACTCTTCCTCTGATGTCCAATGTTCCCATCCCTGCAACCCCCATATGAAGCCTGCCTGTACCATTCAGCACCTTCCTTCAGGATGTTGAAGAAAACCTTGCGATCAGCGCCCAGGGCTGTGAAGGTGACAGATTCCCAAGGAGTCCCTGTCTGCAAGTCTACCATCTGCATATCTCGTCTTCGTTCTACTCGGATCCATTTCCCCTGATACCTGAATATTTAAAAATGGTCAAAATGGGGTGAGTGAAGGAGAATGGTCAAATCCAGTTTCTTCCACTTTTCTATTCTCAGAGCTCTCCCTGGCTCCCAGTCTTACCAGATGAAGTGATTTCCAGGGCTGGGGATAAATTCAAACTTGGTGGAAATGCGGCCACTTTCATGCTGAAGGTACGAAGTCTCGACACTGAGGTGCTGAGTACGGGTACTGTGGTGGGTGAGCCAGCTAAGCAACCAGGCATAGCTCCTGTCTCGAGCAGGGACTTCCAGTGTGATCATGTAATGACGCCGGAATGCCACCAGGCCCAATTGGGCTCCTTTCCGGGCCAGAGCCAGGGCCGTGCCCACACCCACCAGTCCAAATCCAGCCCCAAAGTAAGGATTGTCCTTCAGGGCCAGGACAAAGTCTGAAATTGGCATACTGGAAGGGAATTGGAAGCTTACAGGCCCTGGGGCATTATCAAAACCTAGGGGTAGGGAGTAGTGGAAATGGGACAAAGCACAAGATTAGTCAGATTCCACTCTACATCCCCAGCCACATTTCACTCCCTCTGGCAGAAGGAGAAAGATGGGTTGGCAGTACTGTGTGCTTCAGTATCCTCTTTTTGTGGAGTTTGGGTGCTGGTGGAATGCAAGGGTGCACACTCCAGGCCCTTCATCCTGTTTGGCCCATCATTAGTCAAGTTTCCTGCGAGGGGACATTGTTTGCAGATTCCTTAAACCCAAGAGAGCAATGTAACTGGCTTCACCTTAGAATAATGGATGGACAGAACTTTTGTGGTCCCTGGAACCTGTTAAGATAGAAAGGGGCCTACTGGCTGGAATCAGCAGTGGTGGCTTTTCCATTGATCTGTCAGTGACCACATGCCTTACCATTAGGAGTGGCCTTCAGATATTCTCTTCCTTATGCCCAATTTCTAAGGTCCTGTTCAGACCTTCATTACCTCCCACCTAAACTGTTGTCTTTCGAGTTAAATTTTAGTTCTTAAAATGGCATTTGAGCCAGGCACCAGTGGCTCACGCCTGTAATCCTAGCTTCTTGGGAGGCTGAGATAGGGATGATCACAGTTTGAGGCCAGCCCAGGGAAATAGTTTGTGAGACTACATCTCCAAAATAACCAGAACAAAACTGGACAGGAGGTGTGGCTCAAGTGGTAGAGTGCTTCCTTGCAAGTGTGAAACCCTGAGTTCAAACCCCAATCTCACCAAAAAAAAAAAAAAAAGGCTTTTGAGTGGGCCTTCAGCTTTTGCATCTTCAACTAGCTACACAAGCATCCAGAGCTTTCCTCATAAAGTTCAGTCCCAATTCTATTATTCTTCCTACTCCAACATCTTCAATGCCTTGCTCCCAAGAGATCCCTGAATTAGATACAAACTCCTCAGGCTGGTACCCAAGGCCCTCCATAACAGGGCGCACACTTTTCATGACAGCTCCAAACACTCCGTTCAACAAATATGCAAACCATCTCCCATCTTCTTGCTCACTCAATGATTCCGAATGCCCCTTCTTTATCCCCTGCATTCTCCCCAATTAAATCCTGCCCATTGGCTACTTCCTCCAAGGAGCCTTTCCCGAGTTCCCTCAGCAAGTTGTGATTAGGTCTAATTGTACACCTTTTGTGTAGAAAATAAGATCCCGGGGTTAGGGGGCCAAATTGTTTCTAGCACACCTCTCCTCTGACACCCCTCCCCCGCTCTTTGCCCGGCGCCAAGCACGCGGGGCGATGAACTGACAGCAGTGACCTCCGCTGAAGCTCAGAGCTGGGATCCAGAATTCCGAAACATCTATGCATGGAAAGCCACAGATAAAGCTCTTCTGGGCACCCAGGAGACCCCTCGCGAATCCCCTCCAAACCCCAGCTCGCGCCTCCAGAAGCAAGGTTTGGGGTACTCGGTCACTCCGCCCCCTTACCGCCATGACTCTCTGGCCCTCCGTCTCGATGGTTTCACCCCTCCGCGTTCGGGGAGGAGGTGCTCAGCCCCGCCCCTGAGTTCTTTCATCTACTTCCCGCCACACCTACCGAGAAGGCCCTGCCACTCTGCCCCGCTACACTCGATGGTCCTCCAAGGGCTGGGGCGGAGGAAGGACGGGGAGGAAAAACCATAGAGTACCCACCGGCCACCAAGAGAAGAGTGGCCTCCGTACGCCGGATGTCCTAGAGGCGGCTGGGCCGGGGGCGGTCGCACAAAAGGAGCCCTGGGAGGCCTCTCCAGCCGCCGTGGACCATAGAGATGAGACGCCTGCCGGCCCCGGGTCGGAAGGTGAGTGAGCGGCTGCGGGGCGGGACTCGGGGGAGTGCGGGTGGAACGAGCTGGAGGCAAAAGTTTCTCGAGCCCCAGTAGGACTGGGCCCGGGCGGTGGGAACCCGGGGGAGGAGGCGCTCCGACAAGCGGAGCCCGGGCGCGTCCCCGCGGCCGCCCGGCGCCTCCGCCGCGTCACCGCCGTGGACCCCGCCCGGGTACCCGCTGCCTCTCTTCTGGACCATAATCATGACGATGCACCATCCCAAGCCTTGCAGGTTACAAAACGCTTTTCCCGTTCGCTGGCTATTGTGATCCAGCTCCCGCCGGTCAGTGTGGACACTGTCACCGCCTCCACTTTTCAGATAAGGAAAGCTGAGGCTCAGAGAAGTGAGGAGACTGCATCTGTCAAAGGCCAGGAGGTGGGTGAGTCAGAGCCCAGAGGCAGGTGGGACCGGGTGCCAAGGCCAGGCTCGTGGTTTCCAAAGATCTTCCCGCTCCCGTAACTTGCCCTTTCTCTCCCTCAGTCCCCTGCCCGCAAAGATAAGCTCGTTTCTTCCCTCCCGCTAGCCTGTCTCCAACCTCACTCCGCCTTCCCGCGGGTGAAGTTCCCAGTGTAGTGTAGTTGTCTGCATCTTCCTTGGCTCTTCCCTGAGGCCGTGTACCGTGGAGCTGCAACGTTCCCCATAGCAGTAGTAATATGCAGGAAGTGGAGGCTGCCGTGAAATCCCTTTGACCGTGGATTTGCAGTTTCCTGCCACTTTCTGAATCCCTATGACCTTTGTTTTTGGTGGGACTGGGTTTTGAACTCAGGGCTTCAAGTTCACGATGCAGGCGCTCTACCACTAGAGCCACACCTCCAGTCCATTTAGCTCTGGTTATTTTGGAGATGGGATCTCTGAGTACTGTTTGCCAGGGCTGACCTCAAACCTCGATCCTCCTGGATCTAAAACTTCCCAAGTATTTAGGATTACAGGCATGAGCCACCGACATCTGCCTAATCGCTATGTTTAAATCTAAGGATTCTGGAGAAGGAATAGCAGTTCTCACTTGCATCCTGGTCTTTACTCAACCTCTGTGACTCAATTACATGAAATGATCATTGCCATTCTTATTAATTACAAGTAGTATTGAGTTTAAACTCATTTCAGCCATCCATGTCATTCATTTCTCAATTATGTTCCAGTTTGAGGCCTTAGTAAGTTAATGAGTTTGTAGTTTCTCCAGATGTGTTACTTTATATGTGAGGAACCACTGATTTGGTACCTTGGTACAAGATTCCTACCTTTACTTTGATGCAACTCTGTCCACAGTTCTTTGCTAGCATACTTATTTGTCTGACTTTCATAGTTTGTTGGTGGTTTGTGTTCATTACAGTGATAATTCAGTGAACTCAAAAAGCTCCCTGTCTATGAAGAGAGACTGATGGGTAAACAACAGTGCAATGTAATATTGTTTCTGACAGGGCTGTGTACAAAGTACCATCAGGACCCCAGAAGAGAGGAAGTTAAGAATGGCAGGAAGTCTTCATAATGGAAATGACATTTGTGCAGCTTCTGATAGAATACTTAGAAATCAGTTGGCCAAACAAGAAACTGAGGAGAGAAAAAGGCACATCAAGCAAAGAGACAGGCAAAAAGGTGGGAGAATGTGTAAGCAAAAGAGAATGTAATAAGTCTGCAGAATGACGATCATCTTGTTCAGAGATTTATTCTGAGCAGAGGTGGGAGATGTGTCTGGAGAGGTGAACCAGAGCTAGATACTGAAGGAAGGGCCTTATGCCCACACTGAGGAACAGTGAGATGATTTAGTAGTAAGAGAGAGGGCTAACGTAGCTCAGTGGTAGAATGCTTACATAGCATACCCACAGCCCTGGGTTCAATCCCCAGCACAGCAAAAAACAAACAAGGCAAACAAAAAAGGTAGTAAGAAGGAAAGGGAACTTTGAAATTCTTTGGCTCCACCCAGTTTTGTTGCAGATAAGAAAACTGAGAGTCAAATTGCTTCATAAAGTGACCAAGGTCACTTAGCTAATAAGAAACGTAGTAACCAAAAACAAAACAAAACCATAACCTGTAGTCTTTAATGTGCTGGTCAAAATACTGTTGGCACTCTCCTAGTATTGGCCCCATTGTCATTTGTTCTGAACACTGTCATAAAAGGAAAACCTATTTAGGATAAGGTTTGGTACCCTGCCATGCAAGAAAATTCCTAAATGGGTGGGCATTCGACTGTGCTCCACACCGACAGAGAAGAAAGTAAGAGTTCTAACCGTATTTTTTTTTTTTTTGTCCTGTTTGGCTTGTCAGCATTTAAGAAGCCACAGCACACAAATCAATGGTGATGACAGACCCTGTATTGGACTCCCAGCCAGCCAACAGCACTGGGGAGATGGATGGACTGTGTCCTGAGCTACTGCTGATTCCCCCACCTCTCTCTAACCGTGAAATCCTGGGGACTGTCCAGAGCACCTGCACTTCTGGGGACCCAGCACCTGACCCAGGCTGCCTGCTGGTAGAGGCCACAGCAACTGAAGAGGGCCCAGGGAACATGGAGATCATTGTGGAAACAGTAGCTGGAACCCTATCCCCAGGAGCCCCTGGAGAGACCTCAGGTACAAACACAGTTTGCTAGCAGGCCAATGGGACAAGCAACCCTGAGGTTTTGTCTGTGCTATTTCCGATCCTTTTCTATGTGTAGGATGAAAACACAAGGTAGCATGCTATTTTTATACTTTGAGGTGCTGTGTTTTGTTTGCTGTTGGTACATTTTGATGGAAAGCTGGCAAGATAGTACACAGCCTTGTACCAAGCTTTTGGCAAAGTCTGTCCCTATGAGGACTTCATGTCTGCTAGGCAGTGCTCCAGAAGGGAAGTCCTTTCTGGCTCCTCTGCCCAATTCTGACTTGTCCTTACTCTTACAATCCTTGGATTCTTTGCTCCATACTGATCCTTCCACCCAGAAAATGCAGCCAGGGATTACGCAAAAAGCTCAGCCTGCTTCACCACCTGAGCTTGGCAGGGCTTTCCAGAGGTAACCTGTGTTTCTTTGTCCTAGTTTCCTGTGTATAACATACTTCACATGTTGTTAAGAGGGAAAGTTGAGCATTTGTACTTACCCTAGGAAAAAAATTATATCACCTTTATTCTCATATCTACAACTTCTCATTTTAAGGAAACTTCCCTGATTTTTAGCTGGTGTCTTCCAGGTACAGTTTTCACCACTTCCCCTAGCAGTGTAGTATAGTAGCAAAGAATACTGGGAAATATTAGCAGATTTGTCCATATGACACTTCTAAACTTCTATGTGGTGAAAGAAAAAAAAAAAAAAAAAAGCCAAGGGCCTGGGTGGGCTACATAGCAAGCTCAAGACCAGCCTGAGCTACATAGACAGACCCTGTCTCAAACAAAATGAAACAAAACAAAGAACCTAGGAAAAACGTATTTAGTATATAAGAAAGAATTTATATCTTTAAAATTCAAAGAGCTCCCCAATAAGGAAAGTATCTTTTAAAAATGGGGTGGGGGTTGAGGGAATCTACATGCAATTCACTAAAGAGGAAATAAAAATTATCAGTAACCACATGGAGTGATGCTTAAGTCCATTTATTTTTACTAATTGTATGCTGGGGATTAGAACCCAGGACTTCACACGTTCTATGCAAGTGCTCTACCACTGAGCTACATTGCTGATCCTAAAATTATTTTCCAAAATAACTGGGAGATGCCATTTTTTGCTGGGTGCTGGTGGCTCATGCCTATAATCTTAGCTACTCAGGAAGCAGAGATCAGGAGGATCAAGGTTCAAAGCCAGCCCCAGGCAAATAGTACTGGAGACTCTATCTCGAAAAAAACCCATCACAAAAAAAGGGCTGGAGGAGTGTCTCAAGCAGTAAGAGTGTCTGCCTAGCAAGCATGAAATCCTGAGTTCAAGCCCCAGTGCCATCAAAAAAAACCCCAAAAAAACAGTTTTTATAATTCTTAGTATGGGAGCTTAATGGGGAATATAGTTTTGTTTTTTTTTTTTTTTTTGGCAATACTTAGGGCTTTGGGCTTGCTAAGTAGGTACTCTACTGCTTGAGCCACACCTCCAGCCTTTTTTTTTTTTTTAATTGTGATGGGGCTCAAACCCAGGGCCTTATACATGCTAGCCAAGCATTCTATCAATGAACTACATCACCAGGCCAAATTAACATAGCAAATTTTACAATATACATACTGACCTAGTAATTTCACTCTAGAAAACTGTCTTAAAAGAAAGACATACCTACGCCATATGGATGGGGAAGTGTAAAGGCAACTTTATTTGTGATGTTTGGAAACAACGCAGTTGTTCATCACTTAGGGAATTTCATTTTAGTTTATTAATGCTCTGATATACCATGCTCTAGACAAACAATATGAAATTTAGTCATATATTAAGATATCTTTGAGCCAGGCACTGTTGGCTCACATCTATAATCCTAGCTACTCAAAAGGCAGAGATCAGGAGGATCATAGTTCAAAGCCAGCCTGGACAAATAATTTGAGAGACCGTATCTTGAAAAACCATCACAAAAAAAGGCTAGTGGAGTGACTCAAGGTGTAGGCCCTAAGTTCGAACCCCAGTACAGCAAAAAAAAAATCTCTGATAGCTGGCCTGGCCGAGGTGGTGCATTGCCTGTAATCCTAGCACTTGGAGGCTGAGGCAGGAGTATTGAGAGTTCAAGGCCAGTCTGTACCTTACATAGCCAGCCTGGGCTACATGTCAAAGACCCTGTCTCAAAAAAACAACCAAAAAGCCCAAAACCTTTATTTTGAGGAGGGGGCGGGGGTAGGGGAAGAAAAGTGGCCCAGAAAAGGGACTGAAAGGGTATAGACCAGATCATATGTATGTGATGGTAGAAACATTTATTCTTTATAAACTTCTCTACCATTTGAATTGTCACATTGAGCTTTTTAAAAACAACAACAAATAATAATAATAAAGAGAAAAGGGACCAGCAGAATAAATGTAGGACAAACCTGGGCTTGAGTCATGGATTTACCACTAACAAGCTTGGTGACCTTAATCTTGTAGAATCTTAAGTCCTCCTCATAGAGCAATTAGAGGACAAAAAGACAGCATTATCAAAGTCTGCCCTTTGCTTAAAAAATAGCAGCAATTTGTAGCTGGGCAGAGATCAGGAGGATTGTGGTTCCAGGCCAGCTTGGGAAAACAGTGAGATGCTATCTCAACCAATAAAAACCTGGGTGCCTGTCATCCCTGCTAGGTGGGAAATATAAATAGAAGGAACAATGTCCAGGCTGGCCAATGCATAAAAGCAACACTATTTGAAAAATACCTGAAGCAAAAAGGGCTGGTAGCATTGCTCACATGGTAGAGCGCGTGTATAGCAAGCGTGAGACCCTGAGTTCAAACCCCAGTACTGCCAAAAAAAACCCCAAAGTAACACTTTTTAAGAAAGTGAGAGGAGAGAGAGTGTGATCAAAGAACATTGAAAGGTCATAATGAAACCTTCTTTTTTAAAAATTGCAAGAAATATTTTATAAAGGGGGTGGGAGAGGGGAATAAGAAAGCATAATAGGGTAAATATAGTCAAAGTATATTATATGCATGTATGGAAATATCATAGTGAAATCCCTGCATTGTATAATTAATATGTGCTTCCCAGGTGTGGTGGTACACACCTGTAATCTTAGCACTCAGGAGGCTGAGGAAGGAGGAGCGTAAATTCGAGGCCAATCTGGGCTCCCTAGCAAGACCCTGTCTCCAAAGGGGAAAAAAAAAATTAATATGTGCTTAAAAAAAAAATGTGGAAAGGGAAAAAGAGCTGTGGGTACATATAAAACACCAGCCACACAGAGATGAAACCAGAGATTGCTCATGAGCCTGCCCAATAGATACATATGGCAGGGAGGAAGCACCGAATCAGCTCCCTGCCATGCATTAAAAAAGAAAAAAAATGGTGGCAGTTATCACAGAGGTGATTTGGCTCTTCTGAAAAGGGTTTTGTGAATTTCTAGGCCTTTGTTTTTTACAGAATTTGAAAGTGATACTTTGTCATTTATATTGCAGATATTCTCCCTAGTTTGTCATTGTTCTTTTAGAAGTTTCTAATTTATATTTGGGCAAAATATGCCTTTTCTTAATGCTCTTTGGATTTGATTAATGTTCGTTTATTCATTTGACACATTAAATAAGCATACGTCTTGTGTCCAGTATTGTGCTAGACACTAGGAATTCAAACACACATGCCAGACAGACTGTCCTTGACTCATGAGCTTACAGTCCAGGTATAGGGCAGACTTGAAGTCCATCTGACTCCATGACTATGAAAAAATTCACTTACATTTCTACTAATAACTAACTCCTATGAGTCTTGTTCCATCTGATTCTATGCCTTTCTCTGTCGGTCCTCTGCCTGCAGGTGTCCTGGTAAAGGTGGTGGAGGTATACTTCTGTGAGCGCTGTGAACAGAGCTTTGCAGAGCCCACTCTGCTGTCCCTGCACCAGTGCACTGAGACCCATATACAGCCTGTGCAGGACCTTTCTAGCCCCCCATGCTCTGTAGAGCTGCCCCTCAACAACCTCACCCTCCATGGCCCTCCACAGGGCTCCAACCCACCAGATAGTCCCCTGCCATGTCCTGTGTGTAGGCAAGAATTTTCCCAACCCCAGGCCCTGAAGAGGCACTTCAAGATTCACCGGGCCACTCCCAACAGCTTCTCCTGCCCAGAGTCTGACTGTGTGTTTTCTGCTGAAGATCGCAAGGGTCTGCAGCACCACCTGAGGCAGATCCACAGAGCAGTTCCTGTGCCCTGTTCTTTCCGGGGCTGCCCCCTGCTTTTTGGGAGCCAGCAGGGAATGGAGCTGCACCGGCAGGCCCATTATCCTTTCCACTGCAGCCATTGCAGCTTCATGGGCTCCAACGTCAAACTCTTCCGGCAGCATCAGCGGAGCCATGGGGCCAGGACACAGGGAGAACTTTCTGCTGTTCAGGGCCTTCCACCTCAGGAGCTGCTGCCAGGTATGGGGCCATGGGCCCAGCAGTCCCCTGCCTGGAATATAGCTGTGATCAGTCTCTTATAGGAAAGACATGTTTCCAGTACCATGAATGTATACAAGGAAATCTAGATAATGGCTCAGGGAGGACAGAATTACTGGATGATATGGAAAGGCAGCTAGAAACCTTGAACCACTCAGCATAGACAGGAGAAAGCAGAAGCCTTTATCCGTGATACTGAGTGAAATTTGGCTTAGGCTACATGTAGTTTGACATTATTTAAGCAAAATTCTCTACTGATCCGTTTCAGACCTTACTTTCTGAGGGCAGAGGTGAAAGTACCTGTCAATAGCTATTGTCACTAGTAGAATGCCTGTAGACTCACTTGAGAACAAATGGGATGGGTAGGTAAACTTGTGGTTATTTTAAAAGGAAACCTTTAAGGAAATTAACAACTTCTACTCTTCTTAATCTCAAAAATCAAACCAAACAAACAACAGCAACAACAAAAATCCAGCAGGGGGACTGGGTGCTATAGCTCGTGGCTATAATCCCAGCCACTCTAGAGGTAGAGATCTGGGAGGATTATGAATCGAGACAAAAAAGTTAGTAAGACCCCCCCCATCTCAACAAATAAGCCAGGTGAGATTCTGTACATCTGTAATCTTAGTTACTGGGGAATGGGTTGGGGTGAGGGAGCTAGGAGTATTGCAGTCTGAGGCAGGTGCAGGCAACAAAGCATGAGACCCAATCTGAAAAATAACTAAGGTATTAAAAAAAATAAGGCTGGATGGCTTCTGTGCCATCTGGCCAGGGCCCACTGCTTTTTCTTTAGCAATGTCTTTCCTTTTCTTTCAACACAGCTTTGGGGGGGCAAGGTGGAGACATAGCTCAAATGGTAAGTGCCTGCCTAGCAAGCTGGAGGCCCTGAGTTCAAACCCCAGTACTACAAAAAAAGTAAACAACAACAAAAACCACCAACATGGGGGTGAGTGGAGGAGTAGGAAATAGAGAAAACAGGTGGAGAGGACAGGATTGTGATAAGAACTTGGCTTGCTGAGACCCACTTGTGCTCTAAGGCCTAAAGAGAAGCCCTTTTTCCTGGGAATGAGTTATGCCTCTTTACCTTACTAAGGCAGCTGTTTCTGTTGGGGGATAGGATGGATAGATTTGAGGTGCAAGGTGTGACCCCGAATCATTGGATTGGGCTTTTCAGTGTAAGAGTTGAGTGATCAGGAATGTTTACCTACCTTGAGCCATCCCAGCCATTATCCCTGGGGACCCGAACCAAGAAGGAAGTGCAGTCTCCCGTCTACCTCTCAGTTCCTACCCAGCTCCAGTGACCTCAAAGCTCTGCCCTTCTTGGGGTCTGAGGCTGGTATTATCTGAGGAAAGATTTGCTTTAAACTGGACTGTTACTACCTCCTGGTCTTCACACCCATCTTGAGTGAGACTACATCTATTTACTTAGCACTCAAGATGCCCTTCTACTGAAAGGGAAGGGGGTGATTCTGCTAACCAGTAAGTGGAGAGGTACAAATATACAATGCTGTCATTCGCTCCTGTGAGCTTCATTAAATTTTATGTGTCCCAAGCTCCCAAACTGCCTCCACGAGAAGGAGAACCTTCAGAGGAAGCGGGTCCACCTCTACCTGGACAGGAGTCAGCTGCAGAGGAAGATGTAGAGAAAGAGGAGGAGAGTGGCACCCAGCTCTCCCAGAAAGCTATGGATAAAGGACAAGGTGCTCAGCAGTTGGAAGGTAACACTGTCATGAGGCTTGAGGCTCTTGGTGGTAGGAGAAGTAGATAGTAGAGAACCTGGCACTGAGGCTCTGTGGTTGATTTTCTGAGATTTGTTTCAGATCTTTCCATTCTTTTCATTCCACTTTGACTCAGAAGTCAAGGTCAAGTGGAAAATGATAAATAGATCAAGACTTTAGTAACACAAGGTATGGATAAATAGAGTTTGCTCTTCTGACCTGGGATTCCTCAGGTAGAGAGTTCTTTTGCAAAGAAGGAGGGGTGATGTTCATATTATAAAGATATCAAAAGTCATTGATAACTAGCAGCCTGTTTTGCCTGGCATGAGCTTCCTAACACTTTCTGAATCTCTGCTTCCCAGTTTTCTGACTCAATAGAACACCTGAAACTCATTCCACAAGAAGCATATTTACTGTCAGGTGAATATGAAAGATCTGAGTGTGTTCATTACTGGCTCTCTATTATCTACAGCCCAGTGAGGCAATGCTTAGAAGTTAAGAGTACTCTTCTTCCCTTTTACTCATCCTTTTGGTGTTCTTTTCTTTCTAATCAACCCTGCTGATCCTTCTGCTTCCCCTATAGAACAAGAGCAGCAAGAACAAAGCCGGGCTCAGTGGCTCACACCTCTAATCCTAGCATCTCAGAAGGTGGAAATCAGTAGGGTCATGGTTCGAGGCCACCCCCCCAGCAAAAAGTTTTCAAGACCCTGTCTCTACTAATAGCTGGGCATAGTGGCATGCATCTGTTACCCGAACTAAGCAGGAAGCATAGGTAGAAGAATCATGGTCCAGGCTGGCCCAGGCATAAACATGGGATCCTATCCCAAAATTTAAAGCAAGCTGAGTCCATGGCTTATGCTAGTAATCCTAGCTACTTGGGAGACTGAGATCTGGAGGATTATGGTTTGAGGCCAACCCAAGCAAATATAAGACCCATCTCCAAAATACCAGAGCAAAATGGACTAGAGGTGTGCCTCAAGTGGTAGAGCATCTACTTTGCAAGTGCATAGCCCAGAGTGCAAACCTTAGTCCCACCAAAAAAAAAAAGTGTAAAGCAAAATAGGACTGGGGGTGTGGCTCAAGCTTTCCAAGCAAGTATGAGGCCCTGAGTTCAAACCCCATTACCACAAAAAAGACCAGCAAGAACAAGAATGCTCCATCCAGATGATTATTTTAAGCAGCTCTGAACAGAGGTTCAGGAACAGTGGGTAACTGGAACAAGCACTAAAAACAAGTCAGAGCAATGTCTGAGAAGTCCTTGTGGTTGAGTTTCTTTAATAACTTGAGTTTCTCAGTTTTTCTTTGGAACTACAATATTTGTGACCCTATTGTTTGGTTTCCTAGAAAGAAAGGCCACACAATATTTGTTTCTGAGCAAATTATGGCTCTTCTCTTAACTGGCCAGCCTGTGACCTACTAAAGAATCTCACTCTCAACCTTCTGCATTCTTTCCCACAGGGGATATGGCTTCTGGCACTGAGTCCCTCTTCAAGACACACATGTGCCCAGAGTGCAAGCGCTGCTTTAAGAAGCGGACCCACCTGGTGGAGCACCTGCACCTCCACTTCCCAGACCCCAGCCTCCAGTGCCCCAACTGCCAGAAGTTCTTCACCAGCAAGAGCAAACTCAAGACCCATCTGCTGCGGGAACTGGGTGAGAAGGCCCACCGCTGCCCACTGTGCCACTACAGTGCCGTGGAGAGGAATGCTCTCAACCGCCACATGGCCAGCATGCATGAAGATATTTCCAACTTCTACTCAGATACCTATGTCTGTCCTGTGTGCCGGGAGGAATTCCGCCTCAGCCAGGCACTCAAGGAGCACCTCAAGAGCCACACAGCAGCAGCTGCAGCAGAGCCATTGCCCCTCCACTGCTTTCAGGAGGGCTGCAGCTATGCAGCCCCTGACCGCAAGGCCTTTGTAAAGCACCTGAAAGAGACCCATGGGGTGCGGGCTGTGGAGTGCCGCCATCACTCATGTCCAATGCTCTTTGCCACAGCTGAAGCCATGGAGGCCCACCACAAGAGCCACTATGCCTTCCACTGCCCCCACTGTGACTTTGCCTGCTCCAACAAGCACTTGTTCCGCAAACATAAGAAACAAGGTCATCCAGGCAGTGAAGAGCTGCAGTGCACCTTCTGCCCCTTTGCCACTTTCAACCCAGTGGCCTACCAGGACCATGTAGGCAAGATGCATGCTCATGAGAAGATCCACCAGTGCCCTGAATGCAACTTTGCCACTGCCCACAAGAGGGTGCTCATCCGACACATGCTGTTGCATACTGGTGAGATGGCATCCGTTGTTATGTTAATGTAATAGTGATGAGGGTGGTGATGATTGCTGACATGAGCTTTTACTGTGTAGGAGACATCACACTAAGGGTCTTGCATACAGTGTTTTCTTTTGACCTAGGATTTCTGAACACATCTAGCATCCCAAATTTAGAAATGAGCTGTAAGTTGAGTGTCATTCAGCTAATAAAGTGGTCAGGGTAGGATCTGAATCCAGGCATCTAATTCCAAAGCCTGTGCTCTAACCATTAGGCTAGTATCCCTCTTACTTAACTCCTGTCCAGTTCTACCCACCCCTAGTCAGGTATGGGTGTGTGAATACCCAGCCTGTTAGAATGAAGAAACCCAAACCAGAACAGATAACTTCCTTTGCAATTCAAGTTTTGGGATATTCTGTAAGAGACAGGAGGAGGGAAGTCTCAGCCATCCATATACACTATGGTCTTCCATAGCTGGGGCATCTAGGTTGCTGAAACAAGATTACTTCTAATAACCTAGAAGTTGTACTTGTTTTACCTTAGAGTCTTAATTAGTTTCCAGCATTATTGAAGCTTTAGATGACAACTAAACCAAGCTACAATATCATCCCCTTTATGATCTACATAAGCATCTGTGGGTTGACAGAACATTAAAACAATTTCCATAAAAAACTATGGTTTGGGAGGACAATTTCTAGAGTTTGTGGCAAAGCCATTGTAGATCCCATTTAACAATTCATTTCTGTACATCATTTTGTCATAAAATGTCTAGTTTCCAAGGCCTTTCCTAAAACCTTGTATTTATATAGTATTATACAGTTTACAGATTCTTTCACACATATTATCTCATTTAACCCATAACAATCTTGTAAGCAAGACAGGTAAAGATGAGAAAAGAGACAAACTCTGAAAAGTTAAGTTTAGACCTACTTTAATATCACACAAATCTACTGTCAAAACCAGAAGGCCATGTTACTTGCCTTTCTACATGTATGGGCAGGGAGGACTTTTGAAGGAACATGGCTCTCTACTTCTTAGTCCTGACCAACTATTTGGATAACTCATCCTTGAGTTCTCACTGGGCACTAACTAACAACTTTGAAATATCTCATTTATTATTCACACCAATCATGTGAGGTCAGTTACTTTTGTTGCCCCCTTTTTGGAGACAAGGGAACTGAGACTTAGCCACATGGTAGGAAATACCATTTAATAGCTCTGTGACTTCTCTGTGCCTCTGTTTTCTTGTCTATAAAATGAGGATGATAATAGCAACTCCCTCAAAAACCTTATTACTATATTGGAATCCAATGTTAGAGTTCTTAACCACTATGTTCATTGCCTAATTTGTTTTTCTCTCTGTTCTAGAAAATTGGAATTAGTCTAGAGGAACCATTAACCATTAGTGTCAGCAAGATGTGTAACAACTTAGGCAGACCTTCAGAGCTAGTTTTGAAAACCTCAGTCTTTACTTTCTTCCCCTTATCATTGGTGTAGGAGTTGAAGGATTAGTTGACTGAGAACTGTGAAGCAGCCTTGATTATTGTGAAGTTTTCCACATCTCATGTAGCACATGAAGCTTTTGCTCTTACCTGGCATCAAGGCAAGATTGCTGGAGAAAAGAGTCTGGCCACTCACTGGATTTATATCTGACCGGTATCCTTTCCCCTTTCATCCCACCCCCATATAAGGTGAGAAACCTCACAAGTGTGAGCTGTGTGACTTCACGTGCCGAGATGTGAGCTACCTATCCAAGCACATGTTGACCCACTCCAACACCAAGGATTATATGTGCACTGAATGTGGCTATGTCACCAAGTGGAAACACTACCTCAGCGTGCACATGCGAAAACATGCAGGGGACCTCAGGTACAAGCTCATACATGCCTCTAGTCCTGTCCCAAGAAACTTACATCAAGCTAGCCTCTTCTTGGGGCCAGATCCTGCTTCTGGCCCCATTGTTTTTCCAGTGCCTGGAGAGTCCGCCTAACACCCTTCTCTTCCACTATCTCAGCTTGATCTCCTATAGCTGACCTCTGTGCCTGTGGCCCAGTCTGTGTGGTGAAAATTCTCTGGGGCACCAGAGGGAGAACAGACCTAGAGAATAGGCCTAGAAACTAAGGTGTCACTTGAGTTCTCAGTCTGGTCCTGGGAAAGTAGAGCGAATCTACTTATGGTATGAAATGACCACTTCCAAATTCAAGCAATTTCTTCTCTCGCCTGTGGGCACAATTGGCTGGGGGGGGGTTGTCTATAGCTTTCATACCTCTATGGAAGAATGGAAACAAGGCACAGAAACCTGCCCTATGAGACTGTAGCCATGTCAGTTCCTTAGCAGTCCACAGTTTGTGGTGCTGATTCATGATTACTTTCCTTTAGGAAGCCCTATAGGGTAGGGACACCAGCTCTGCTCCTCTTTTCCTATGGAGCCAGCCTTACGCAGGTTATTATCTTTGGCCTTGGCCTCCTCATCTACAAAATAGAAATACTTGTTTCATACGGTAGTAGAAAGGCAGGTTAAATTTAATGATGCATGTACAATACAAAGTGTAGTCTGGCCCATATTAAGTATTTATTTGGTGCCTGCTAGCTGTTACCACTGGCTTATTATTGTGATTGCCTCTCCGTTTCCCTTTTGCCAGATACCAATGCAACCAATGCTCCTATCGCTGTCATCGGGCTGATCAGCTGAGCAGCCACAAACTACGACACCAGGGCAAGTCCCTGATGTGTGAGGTGTGTGCCTTTGCCTGCAAGCGGAAGTATGAGCTCCAGAAACACATGGCTTCCCAGCACCACCCTGGCACACCAGCCCCCCTCTACCCCTGCCGTTACTGCAGCTATCAGAGCCGCCACAAGCAGGCCCTACTAAGCCATGAGAACTGCAAGCACACCCGCCTCCGTGAGTTCCACTGTGCTCTCTGTGACTACCGCACCTTTAGCAACACTACACTCTTCTTCCACAAGCGTAAGGCCCATGGCTATGTGCCTGGAGACCAGGTTTGGCAGTTCCGGGATGGCAGCCAAGAGGCAGAGGGGACCAGGCAGTGCCTGGCACCTCCACTAGACTCAGAGCCTTCAAACCAGCTGTCTTCCCAGCCTGAGGGACTAGGCCATGAACATGGGACTGTGGTGGACTCCAGCTTGGAACAGGCATTGACAGAGTCAAGGGATGTGGTCAGCACCAGGAGACAGGATAGCAGTGAGGCTCCCCATGAGGATGACCTGATAGGCAGCCCAGCAGAGGTTGAAGAGAGTGGCTGTACACTACATTTAGAGGCCTTAGGAGTAGAGCTGGAACCTGTGGTTGAGCCACCCCTTGAGGAACTCACTGTACCAGCCCCTGTGGAGTTCAGAGCTCTGGATCCTTCAGGACCACTGGGACTGGAAGGGCCAGATGGACTGGAAGGGCCAGCGCTGCCCAGCTTTGAAGGTGTTGGGACTCCTGGCTTGGGTGCTGAAGAGGAGCCTATTCTGGAGAAGGTAGTCCCTGAGCCCCCCGGAAATCCTCCATCTTCAGAAGAGGCCCCTAACAGTTGGGTGGGAACTTTCAAGGCAACTCCACCTGCTGAGATAGCCCTCTCACCCCAGTTCCCTGAGTCAGAGTCATTACTCAAGGCCCTGAGGAGGCAGGACAAAGAACAAGCAGAGGCATTGGTGCTGGAGGGGCGGGTGCAGATGGTAGTGATCCAGGGGGAGGGGCAAGCCTTCCGCTGCCCACACTGCCCTTTTGTCACTCGCCGGGAGAAAGCCCTGAATCTGCACTCCAGATCAGGGTGCCAGGGCCGCCGAGAGCCCCTGCTGTGCCCTGAGTGTGGAGCTAGCTTTAAGCAACAACGAGGCCTCAGCACCCACCTGTTGAAGAAATGCCCTGTTTTGCTCAGAAGGAACAAGGGCTTGCCCAGACCAGATTCTCACACCCCTCTGCACCCTCAGCTCCCATGTGCCCAGGCCTCAGAGGATGCTGAAAGTGGGAAGCCTCCACCTGTACCATCAGAGGCAGAGCCGCAGCTTCCAAAAGATGTACCTTCTGGCTCCCCAGTCCTGCCTACAGGAAATTCCTCACCTGCAGAGACCACTGAGAAGTTCCACTTTGAGCAGGGCAAGTTTCACTGCAACTCATGCACATTCCTTTGTTCTCGGCTCTCCTCTATTACCTCTCATGTGACTGAAGGCTGCCGAGGGGGACATAGCAGGGGAGGAAAGCGAGGATCCCCCCAGACTCAGCCTGTTGTGTCCCCCATGAGCAATGGAGACGTTGCTATCCTGAATAATGGAAGTCCAGAGTCTGGCCTTAGTGATGGGGATATAACCTTGGCTCAGAAGCAGAAGAGTGCCCTCTTCTCCTGCCCCACATGTCCCTTCAGCTGCCAACAGGAACGGGCCCTGAGGACTCACCAGGCCCAGGGCTGCCCGCTTAGGGAGTCTGGAGAACTGCACTGTGGCCTCTGCCCTTTCATTGCTCCTGCTGCTGCTGCCCTAAGGCTCCACCAGAAGCGGAGGCATTCCACTGCAGCCCCTGCCCGCGGCCCCCGACCCCCTCTGCAGTGCACAGACTGTGGCTTCACCTGTAAGCAGAGCCGTTGTCTGCAGCAGCACCGGCGGCTCAAGCATGAGGGGGTGAAGCCACATCAGTGCCCTTTCTGTGACTTTTCTACCACTAGACGGTACCGGTTAGAGGCTCATCAGTCCCGACACACAGGTGTAGGCCGCATCCCTTGCAGTTCCTGCCCCCAGACATTTGGTACCAACTCAAAACTGCGCTTGCACCGATTACGGGTACATGACAAAACACCCACCCACTTCTGTCCACTCTGTGACTACAGTGGCTATCTTCGCCATGACATCACTCGCCACATCAACAGTTGTCATCAGGGCACCCCATCCTTTTCTTGCTCCCAGTGTGAGGCCCAGTTCAGCTCAGAGACAGCACTTAAGCAGCATGCTCTCCGCCGACACCCTGAGCCCATACACCCTGCCCCTGGCTCTGCTGAGACCACCAGTGAGGGCCCTCTGCACTGCTCCCACTGTGGGCTGCTGTGCCCCAGCCCTGCTAGCCTGCGAGGACACACTCGTAAACAGCACCCACGGCTGGAGTGTGGGGCCTGCCAGGAGGCCTTCCCTAGCCGGCCAGCACTGGATGAGCACCGCAGGCAGCAGCATTTCAGCCACCGCTGCCAGCTCTGTGACTTTGCTGCTCGGGAGCGGGTGGGCCTTGTGAAACACTACTTGGAACAGCATGAGGAGACCTCAGCAGCAGCCTCAGATGGGGATGGAGATGCTGGCCAGCCCCCTCTGCACTGTCCTTTTTGTGACTTTGCATGTCGCCATCAGCTGGTGCTAGATCACCATGTGAAGGGGCACGGGGGCACCCGTCTGTACAAGTGTACTGACTGCGCTTACAGTACCAAGAACCGGCAGAAAATCACCTGGCACAGCCGCATCCACACTGGGGAAAAACCTTACCGCTGTCACCTCTGTCCTTACGCTTGTGCTGATCCCTCTCGTCTTAAGGTAAGGTCAAGGGCAGTGAAGCAAGGAATGGAAGGAGGGCAGGCCCTGGGTTCTTTAATCCTAACTCTTCCAAATATTAGCTCTGTGACATTGGACAAGTTCCTAAACTTCTCCCAAGGCTTAGATTCCTCATCTGTATAAAGGGGATACTTAACTAACTTCATAGCATTGCTGTGAAGATAAAATTCCATAATACGTGCTTGCCCTGTGACAAATGCATGTAATAATTTTGTGATAATAATAACAGATGACATTTGTTGAGCACTTATAGTGTCCAGCACTGTAATTTTAATCATTTCAAATATGAGATAGAGGGCTGGGGATGCTCAGTAGTAGAGCACTTACCTCGCAAAAAGAGAGAGAGAAATAGACACTATTCCCCATTTTATAGATTAATAAACTGAGAATTAGGGATTGGCTCACCCAAGAACACAGTAAGAAGCAGAGCTGAGATAGGGCAAACCTAGGGAGAGGCTAAGTGGGTTAGGTTGGTGTCATTCTGGGGGACCCAGTTAGTAAGGGCAGTATGGAAAGGATGGGTTATATACCAACAGTTTCTCTGCCTACTTGCCCCTACGTTCACATTCTGTGACTACCAAGGAGCACACATTTTCTGCTTTTTGCTCTTCTTTCTCCAGTACCACATGCGGATCCACAAGGAGGAACGGAAGTACCTATGCCCTGAGTGCGGCTACAAGTGCAAATGGGTCAACCAGCTCAAGTACCACATGACCAAGCATACAGGTATGATCTTGATAGGCTTAAAGGGTTGCCCTGTTCTCTGGCAAACCTAACCTAGAACCTAACTGTTCTCTGGTATATGTTCTTACTCAGATCCAAAGTCAGGGCCAACATTAATTTTCACACTGGAGATAGGGGATAGGCTGGGAGAATGTGTACCAAAATGGCTCCCTAACCCATTGAAGATCTATAGAAACAAAAGAGGGGTATATCCAAGAGTCTGAGGATGTGTACTTTGCAAAATCTTCCCAGGTCATTGTGGTACAGGTCATCCATCGCCCACTGAAAACCTCCAACTCAAATTTGAGTGACTGATGGAAGTACAACGCGTAAGGAGGAAAAAGCAGAGGGTTCCTTGTTCTGATTTGTGCTTTTCCTCTCCTGGGTATGGAATCCGCCAACTGAGTTCTCTGTAAAAGGTTAATGATTTTGTGCCTGTGATTTCTGCGTATGGCCTCCCTTATATAGAAGAATTAATCAGGTGCATTTCAAGGCCTTCTGCATCTTTCATCTTTTTTTTTTTTTTTTTTGGCAGTACTAGGGTTTGAACTCAAGACCTTGCACTTACTAGGCAGGCACTCTACCACTTGAGCCACATCCCAGCCCTGAATCTTTCATCTTCTTTACACACACTCTCTCTCTCTCTGTTTTGTTTTGTTTTTTTTTTTTTTTTTTTGCAGTACTGGGGCTTGAACTTAGGGCCTTCACCTCCTTGAGCCACAACACCAGCCCTACTATTTTTGTTGTTTTTTGTGAAGGGTTTTTTGAAATAGGGTCTCATGAACTATTTGCCCTGGGCTGGCTTCAAACCGCGATCCTCCTGATCTCTACCTCCTGAGTAGCTAGAATTACAGGCGTGAGCCACTGGCACCCAGCTCATCTTTACCTCTTTTCTCTTAAGCATTTTCTTTTTACTTTTTGAGTTAATGTGCATTTAAATGGATTTTCAAATACTATGAGTACTCCATGTCCAAAAGAGGGTTGGGATTTCCCATTTGATAACCCTATCATATTTGAGTCTTCATTACTATCAGCTGGCTACTTGGTTAGAGGTCCATTTAGTTATCAGCATCCATTGAGCACCTACGTATACAAGGGCTATGTTGAGAGAAGGGCACAGAAGTGTCAGACAGGACTGCAACATAAAAATAGTCACTAGTCAGAGCTTGCTGCTTGTGTTCTTTATATTCCAGTATCAGTGACTCTTAGAGGCCAACTGAATATTACTCTACCCCTCTTTAATGGTGATTTGTTCCTTATCCTATAGGTCTGAAGCCATACCAGTGTCCCGAGTGTGAGTATTGCACCAATCGGGCTGATGCATTGCGTGTACACCGGGAGACACGGCATCGAGACGCACGGGCTTTCATGTGTGAACAGTGTGGCAAGGCCTTCAAGACACGCTTCCTGCTGCGCACCCACCTGCGCAAGCACAGTGAGGCCAAACCCTACGTGTGCAACGTGTGCCACCGTGCTTTCCGCTGGGCTGCAGGTCTGCGCCACCACGCCCTTACCCACACGGACCGCCACCCCTTCTTCTGCCGCCTCTGCAGCTACAAGGCCAAACAGAAGTTCCAGGTGGTCAAGCATGTGCGCAGGCACCACCCTGACCAAGCTGACCCCAACCAGGGTGTGGGCAAAGATCCCACCACCCCCACAGTGCACCTGCATGATGTGAAGCTGGAGAATCCCAGCCCTCCCACTCCTGCTGCTCCCACCACAGGACCTGAGGGCTGAGCACCTACCACACCTTCCAGACAGGAAGAACATGTGGTCCAAGATGTGCCAATTGGGACTGGGGCTAGCCTGAGGAGCTCAGGGGCTAGCCTAAGGGAGGACTGGCTTTTGGATGTCAGTGTGACTGGAATGCTCCCGGGGACTCTGGCCATAGTTTTTTTTTAATTAATGGCTATATAAAAGAGAGACATGGACAAAAACATTGATTTCTTCTTGAGGTGCACTGTGTTTTTAACCTGTGAATGAATTTCCAGTTTATCATCACTCCACCAGAGTCCCTGGCTAAGATCTTGGTTTTATCTACTCCATCTTCTCTTTCCTTCTTACTGTATCAAGTCCTATTTTCTTTCAGCATCTTCAAAACAGTTGTATTTAACTGCATGTGCTGTTGTGCCAAATACTCTATAAAGCATGTTAAACAGAGAATGATTACCAGTTTAGAGACTTGTCCAGATCCCTGTCTTAACATATCAAGACTCTGTCCATTCTTAGACATCTGCTCCTCCTTTGTCTCTTCCACTTTCACTCAGAGATAGGTTTTGAAACAGACCAAGGTCTGCCTTCTCTCTGACCTTGAGCCTGTCCTGGCCCTTGCCTTGCTTCCTACTTCCAAACCCCCTGTCTGCTTGTAGAGGGAGGATTGCCACCCACTGCAGCCTAGGAGCAGTTTTAATCATGTGTGCTCAGACTGGCTCAGCTACTGCACTAAAGAGTGAAAGCAGAGTTCTGTGAAAGGCAGAGGACTGGGGAAGTAAATCTCCAATTCAGAATTCTTGCAATATAATTCATAGTGCGTCACTATGTAATTGATCATCTGAGGAAATTAAAGAGGATGCTATTAATAATTATGCAGTGACAACATACATGAACCAGGACTATTTCAGGGTAACTCTTAAGGGCTGGACCACATCAACCTTCGTTTGCTCTGCCCCTTAGAAGCCTCTCTTCTATTTCCTTCTAATACAGCACATGTATGAGGTCTGGTGAAACTTTGTCTACCATTTGTGCCCCATCTGATTACCCAAATATCCCCCCAACTCTTCCCTTGTACCTCCCCTTTTTGCCCAACAATGACAGACCATACTGGAGCCAAATTGAAGAGAAAAGCTCTATTTACACCAGCTAATGAGGAGCAGTCCAGTGGGGACTGAGGCTTATGCAGTGTTCTCTGGAGAATCATAGTACAGTCCTGGTGTCAGGAATCCTTCCCCAACCTTTGCCTGTGGTGCCTTGAGCCTTGATTTATCCTTCTTTTTGCTCTGGGTTTTGAGGAAGTTAGGGGTGAAGGAGATAATGCTTCTGTAGGTTTTTCTGCTCCAAGCCCCTCTGGGTTTTTAGTTGCAATCTGCCTTCACACCAAAGTTGATGGGAGAGATTAGTAGATCTGAGTATGGGACTGAGCCTACAGCAAGAGGAAGGAGGGAACTCCAGTATAGAGTACACAAAAGGAAAAGTCAGGAAAGATACCAAAGGCTTGTGAAAAAAAAGGGAAGTGAAAGAAGATGAGAAATCAGGTCTCAGACTTTCTTGTTAGGAAGGGCAAGGTAATTTTGTGTCTGAGAATGCACAATCCAAAGCTTGGTTTTCATTACTTCTGTTTGCTCTCTCCAGAGCATCCTTCCATGTTTTTCTCACCATTTAAAGCCAACATATCTGTCCTTGCTATGAAGTACCCACCTCAAGATTTCTCCTGCCCCAGGTCTTCCCGGATGCAGATGTACACAAAGATGGAAGCTGGGTGGAGGCTGATACCATCCCTGGAGAGCAGGTGTATGTGACGGTAACCTAGAAAAGGGTAGAAGGACTGCATTAGGAAGACAGCCAGAATTGGGGTGTTGGCCAAAGGTTCAAGGACTGTCTAACCTTGTTGCATACAGGTCCATGGCAGAGTGAACTGACCAATAAAGCCATGTCGGGGTCTCCAGTTATAATCCTTTACCACAAAACGCAACACAGCAAGTTCGGGCACTAGGACATGAAAGCATAGTGTCTGCCCCCAGTATGGATTAAAACCTGAGGGGGGGATAAATGGAAATGAAGGAATAGACATTATCTTCTCTAGACTCACACTGAGTTGCTTTCCCAGGGTTATTTGACTTAGATAGAAGTCTGTTTTACAGGAGCAAAATGTGTAAGCAATTTTCCCAAGTCACTGAAGCTTAAGGAGGGGCAGGATTCTTTGTACTGTTCCACATTGCCCCATGGGGTTGGAAGGTAAAACAGACTAATTGAGGACAGGATAGAAGGGGAACAGCAGTCATGCTCCTACCACCTCTTTCCCCAGCACCACCCAGTCTCTCACCGTTGTTCTCCACATAGCTGGTCTCTTTCCAGGTTGTATCTGCACGAATGCCAAAGATCTCCACTTTCACCAGTGGATCCACAATGGACCTCTCTTTGGTGTCGTCCACTTTGGGGAGTTGCTGACCACTAATCACCTGCAACCAGGGCACTGGAACCTCATGAGCCTCTGCTCAGCCCAGCTGCCCCTCAACTCTCACACCCAGGGGAGGCAAAGACACAGGACCTTGCACTATAACTTCTTAGTTTATAAAACTAATCTTCCAAGGGTAATGTATTTTATTCTAGTATCTACAATTTTAAATGCATTTAAGTAAAAATTCAAGAAGGTTTGAAAGTAGGCATGCCAATGACAGCAACCGCTACTAAATTTACTATGCCCTAGAAGTTGTAAGCACATGATCTTAACTGTTGCAGTTCTCACAACCCTGTGATGTAGGTAATGATAGTACCCCTATTTTTCAGGTGCGCACACTGCGGTACAGAGAGGCTAAGGAAAGTTGCCCAAACCAGGAAGTGGGTTTGAAACCAGGCAGCTAGCTCCAAAGTTTGTACTATTAACAACCAGACTGTCCTGCCTCTCATGAAGAATTTTCAACCAATTACACTACTGTCAGTCTAACCACCTCCTCCCCCACTTCTATCCCAGCTATTCCAGGTTCGGTACTTTCTCTTTCCATCATACCTGAACTAAGAGTCTCTTGCCCTGGAAAGGACTGATGGGCCTGTGGGGGTGGAAGGAGCTCTGGGTATCACGCAGGAAGTCTGGCTTCAGCACGTAGCCACAGCCACCATTCTGACGGAAGAGCCCATCACAGATGTCCATTGCAAGTCCTGCGGTCTGCATATTCATAGCCACTGAGGACCCCAGGAGAAAAGATGGGGAAGATTCACCTTGGAGACCTTCCAGCCCCTCTTTCAAGGGATTAAGAAGACAAGTAAGTTAGGCGCCAGTGACTCACACCTGTAATCCTAGCTACTTGGGAGGCTAAGATCGGGAAGATTGCTGTTTGAGGTCAGCCTGGGCAAATAGTTGTGCGAATCCATCTCCAAAATAATTACAGCAAAATGGACAGGAAGGTGTGGCTCAAATGGTAGAGCATCTGCTTTGCTTTGTTTTTTGTTGGTGGTGCTGGTTTTTTTCTTTTGTGGGGCTGGAGTTTGAACTCAGGGCCTCAAGCTTCCTAGGCATGTGCTCAACCACTTGAGCCACACCCCTAGCCTGAACACCTGCTTTTTCAAGCACAAAGCCCTGAGTTCAAACCCAGTCATACACACACACACACACACACACACACACACAAAGACAGGTAATGGGTATAAAAGTGCCTGCTGGAGGGGAGAGGGAGGGGGCGGAGTGGGTGGTAAGGGAGGGGGTGGGGGCAGGGGGGAGAAATGACCCAAGCCTTGTATGCACATATGAATAATAAAATAATTTTAAAAAGTGCCTGCTGGAGCTGGGTGTGGTGGCACATGCCTATAATCCCAGGAGTTGGGAAGCTGAGGCAGGAGGCTTATGAGTTCAAGGCCAGCCTGAACTACATAGAGAGACCCTTTCTCAAAAAGAAAAAAAAAAAGTGACTGCCTGTTGCAAACATCTCCGTAGATAGTACATTTCTCACCTTAACGCTCCTTTTTTTTTTGTGAACTCAGGGCCTTCACCTTGAACCACTTCACTAGCCCTATTTTTGTGAAGGGCTTTTTGAGACAGGGTCTCGCAGAACTATTTGCCTGGGCTGGCTTCAAACCACGATCTTCCTGATCTCTGCTTCCTGAGTAGCTAGGATTACAGGCGTGAGCTACCAGCACCTGACTTTTTTTTTTTTTTAACTTTTTTTTTTTCAAAATTTGTTTTGTTTTTTATTTTTTGTGGTACTGGGATTGACCCCACAGCCTCATGCATGCTAGGCAAACATCAAACCACTAAGCTACATCCCAGCTCTCACCTTAGGGCTCCCTAAAGCATTCTCTGGTCCTTCTTACACTAAGGAACTTATCTCCCATCAGCTGCTCCTCCATTCGCTCCTCCCTGTCCCTGCTGCCTCCTCACCCATCTGGCAGCCTGCAATCCAGAGTTCCTGGGGGTTGTAGTTGGATGAGTCTGTCCTCAGACCGCTGGGATATACACGGCTTAACTGCCAGGCATTGTGCTGCACAAACTCGTTGCCTGTAATAAGGAAGAGGGAGAGATAGAAGTCTCCTCCATCCTAGGCAGATCCTCCCACTTTGCTGGTCTCAAAGACCCTGCCTGCTCACTTCACTCTTCTCCCTGACATCTGAAAGTTGACTCCAGAAAGCTTCAATGTGTCTCTCCACTCTGCTCCATCCAGATCATCTCCCCCAACTTTCCTCCCTGCAGAGCCTTATGCTCACTATCATTCTTTTCTCCAGCTAAGGAGTTGCTTAGCTCCTTCTTCTCTCCTTAGCTCCCTTGTCCTTTTTCTTAGGATTTACTGCCTGACCATCAGGCCTGAATCTACACATCCCACTTCCCTCCCTATCCTTCCATTTTGGTCCTGACCAGCCTCCTTGATGAGGTTCTTGGCCTTGGCTTCAGAGAAGGATGATATCTCATAGAAATGGTAGTGTTCCTTTGAATGAGTGAAGCTGTAGAATGAGACAGACTTCAAGTAGACAACCAGGGCAGAGAGGGCTGGACACAAGATAGGCTTGGCTATCTGGGGAAAGTAGAGGGGAGATGGAATTAAACACTCAGCATCTGAGAGGGAAGAAGCTAATGCCCATCCACGTAAGCCTTTACCCACTGCCTCCCCACTGCACTCTCCCTCCTGTCTCACCTGCTTGGATAAGAGAAGGGACTCAGGATTGAAACTAGGAGTTTGGAATTTGTCCCCTGAATTCTCATTTCCATCCCTAGATATGGCAGTAGGTTAAATACCACAGTCCCAGAGAGAACAGGATAACTAGAAGTCAGGAATAAGCCAAGCAAGTGTACAAGAGAGAGAAATGCAGACTTCAAACCCAGATCTTGGAGGTCCCACCAATGGCACCCCTTCTCTTTCAGAGTCCTCCTTCCCCACATGGAGATGGACCATGCTGGAATAACCTTCCCCATGTCAAGTTTCTCTTTCCTCCATGCTCATTTTTTGATATTTTTGGCTCTTCCTCAAACTCAAACATCACCCTTTCCAAGAAGCTTTCTCTAAGCCTACTGTAGTTAAGGTCACAGAGATCATTCAAGGTAACCCCTGTTCAGCTAATGTAATAGCTCTATACACCACACACACACACACGCACACACCAGTGGATTTCAAACAGGCCTTTAAGGAGACAGAAGTACAAAGATGTGTCCTTCATCTCTCCCTAGCTCCCTTGTTCTCTTGGGACTAATCTGCCTGCCCATCAAGCTTGAACCTACCCATCTCACTTGGACCCAGGAGGGAGTCTAATGAGGCCTTTAATTAGAATGGTTCTGCATTTATCCATTTAGTATACTGAACTTCCATGTAATATTTCATTTTTAAAAAAGAAAAGAAAAAGATTTCATGGCCCAAAGAAGTTGGAAAAGCACTGCAATGTATTAATATATATAGCAATTTATCACACATAGCAATACTATGTATGCATTCTCATGCCTCTTTTATTGGGAGGAAGGGCCATTTTTCTCCTTGGCCTTCCACTCTGCTCGCTCTAGTTTCTTCTGAAAACAGCCCTCAGGTTGTGATGACCAAATGCCCAGCAGAAGACCATTTCTGGCATACCTTCTCTTGTTTGTCCTTACTCCGAGAACTTGGTTCCTGGGGCTCAGACTCAGGCTCAGGCTCGTGCCCAGGCTCAAGCTCAGGCTCAGGCTCAGGCTCCAAGAAGGGGTCTAGCTCCACCTCTGACCCCTGTTCTCTCTCCAGCTCAGGTTGTAGCTCCTCATTCTCTTCTTCCTCAATATCCTCCTCAAGTGTTGTTAACTTCTTTCCCTTCAACAAGATCTTCCCTCGAAGCTGCTAGGGGACAAAAATGAAGAAACCTGTCTACTTGTCTGCTCTGGGGCCCTCATAGGAATGTATCAGGTTCCACTGCTCTCAAAGGCAGAGAAAGAAAGTGAGTGGTCAGATTCCCTTGGAAGAGACTGGCTGCTTAATACATATGATAGAGATTCCCTCACTGTTAAACAAACTTGTGACATCTCTATCCATATGGAAAAAAGTATGTGCTCATACCTCACGTTTAACATGCTACATATATATTTAGGTTAAATATATCTATCTATCTATATGAGTATGAAAAGAAAATAGAGAATCTTTGTGAATAATCTTATAATGGAAGAGCTTTTAGAAACATGATATGAAAACTCAGAAGCCACACATGTTAGCACATGCCTGTAATCTGAGCACATAGGAAGCTGAGACAGAAGGATCATGAGTTTGAGGTCGGCCTGGGCTACATAGCATGACCCTATCACACACACAAAAAAAAACAAAGAAAATTCAGAAGACAGAAAAAAATGGACGAGCCAGGCACTGGTGGCTCATGCCTGTAATCCTAGCTACTTAGAAGGCTGGGATCAGGAGGATCATAGTTGGAGGCCAGACCAGGCAAATAGTCTGCAAGATGCCATCTCCAAAATAACCACAACTTAATGGACTGGAGGTGTGGCTCAAGCAGTAAAGCCCTGAGTTCAAACCCCAATCCCACCAAAGAAAGAAAGAGAGCAAGCGAGAAAGAGAGAGACAAAGAAAGAAAGATAAAAGATGGAAAAATTTGCCTTCCAAAAGACAAAATATGCTAATAAGTGCAAGGTGTAGTGATGTGTGGATATAATCCCAGCACTTGAAGTCTGAGGCATGAGGGTCATGAGTGAGACTGAACCACCCTGGGCTACATAGCAAGTCTCAAAAGAGCAAAATAAAACCCTTTTTCAATGTACACCATTATGAATCATCTTACTCATGGAGTTGCTTGTGATCACTCTTCTTCTATTGTTGGTTCATAATTTGGTATGTTTTCCAGATGGCAATTTGGCGATACAGTCAAAATTGTCAGAATGCAAAGTCTTTAACCCAGCAATTTTGCTTCTAGAAATTTTTCTTCAAAATTTCAATTCTTCTTCAAAGAAAGAATAAGTATACAAAGCTATATGTACAAGTTAAAAATTATGAACAACCTACATGCCAACCAAATGTGAAACTGAATAAATTATGAACCATAACAGAAAATGGAATATTGTAGAGCTATTAAAAAGGAAAAAATATACATGAAAAGGATTCCCATAGCTGGGCCATACCAGTGGCTCACACCTGTAATCCTAGCTACTTGGGAGGCTGAGATCAGGAGGATCATGGTTCAGGGCCAGACCAGGCAAATAGTTCTCACGACCCTGTCTCCAAAATAACCAGGGCAAAATGGACTGGAGGTGTGGCTCTAGCAGTAGATCACCTGCTTTGCAAGGACAAAGCCCTGAGTTTCAAACCCCAGTCCCACAAAAAAAAATGATACCCATGATATATATATATTATATATAAAATATAAAAAGAATATGTAAGATGATCCTAGACATGTTTTTTAAAATGAGAATATACACACATGTACATACCCATTTTAAAAATCTGTTGATAGGGGCTAGAGTTGTAGTTCAGTGGTAGAGCATGTACTTAGCGTGAATATGGCCTTGAGATTTACAGTCTATTGACAGATATTATTTTGGAAGAGGTTGGGATTATAATGGAGGAGGATTTCCCTTTCTCTATATTGTTTGTATGGTAGACACAAATTATGAACTATCAGGAAAAATGATATTTCCATTTTAAATGAAATACAAAGCAAATAGTTGACTTAAAACTCAGAGGAATGTAAGTAAAATTAGATCTTCTAAAATTAAAGAAACAGCCAGAAGGTCCATCTGAAGATAGAAAGAAAGAAACAAGAGGAGCATGGAAGAAGGAACAATGGTGAAGGGACATGGAAGCCACAGTAGAGCCTGGCTGGGGGCACTAGGTTCCTTACCTCGGGCGAGGGCAGCTGATTCAAGGGCATGCCATTAACAGTGGTGCTCAGCAGCTGCTCCCCCAGGATCTCAGTCAGATACCGCGCCATGGTCTCCTGTTGCTCCCAGGTGCAGTGGTTCTCCAGGGACAAGATGAGTGGGTAGTCTGATGTCTGGTGGTGAGGAGGGGATGCTGCATCCAGAGGTCTGAAACCCTATAACCTCCTTCTCCTAACCCTTGGTTCCTATGCCCCTTCCATTTACTCACTCAAATGAGTACTACTCTGATAAATTCCTCCAACTACACTATAGGGTTCAGTGGGACTTGCTGGATCTGGGGCTTTTACATGTGGGGCACACACTATCCACATGTAAAGGTCACTCACAGGGCTCCAAATCTTATCCTGTGCCAAGTCTGACTCAGCTCTCTCTGAAAGCTTTGAGCTTTCAGGCTCAAAGTGGGAGAGTCAGGCCATCTTTTAATCATGTGCTCACATTATACTCTCAGGCTTTTATCTCCAGAGTTCTACTGTCCCCTACTCCTGCTCACCACTGTGTTCTGTTTGTTTCCTTACCACCCTTTCCCAGATAGGTAATAGAAATTGTTAGAAATAGTAGTTATTAACTAGTAATTATTTCTATGACTACTAATTACGTATGATAAATTAATCCCTTAGTATTTTTCTGATGCTTTAGAGTTAAAACCTCTTTTACACATATCATGACACTTGTTATAACCCTCCCTGTACCCCTCCACACTCCCCAGACTCAGAACTAGTCACTCTTCCCTCAGACCTTCTTGCCTTAGCACTGTTCCCAACCTGGAACTACTACCTGGAAAGCATACTGTGCTACTGTGGCCAAGACATCTTTGAACAGGATGCGGGAAGTCAGGGTGTGGCCGTGGTAAACAACAGGTTCCCCGCTAGGTCCATCCCATACATCCACCTCCACGCAGCGGCACCCCCGCTTCAAGGCCCTGCAAGAATCCCAAACCCCCAAGAGGCAGGAGAAGTCAAGGTATGATCGTCCACTAAAGACCCTCTCCTCACTCTAGAGGACAGTGTTCACCAGCACTTACCCATCTAGACCCCTTCAAGTTCTATCCTCATGGAGCCTTCTCAGTCCACTGGGAAATGGCTGTAGCTCACACACTAGTCTCCACTCATTCTCACTCTGCCCAGATCACAATCCTTAGCAACCCATCACACATGGCCTCATGATACTTGGTTTTCTGTTGTATATATCTGTACAACTCCTGGGTTATTCAAACTCTCAGTAAATTTACACCTTATTCTTTCTTTCTCTCTCTCTCTCTCTCTCTCTCTCTCTCTCTCTCTCTCTCTCTCTCCCTACACACATACACACACACACACACACACACACACACACACACACACACAATGGGAATTGAACCCAGGGTACCTCACATATGCTAAGCACACGTTCTACCACTGAGCTACACTCCCAGACCTTATTTTCACAACTAGTCTTCCTACAATGGAAACCTGGAAGTTTGTACTTTTTTTTTTTTTTTTTTTTTTTGTGGGACTAGGGTTTGAACTCAGGGTGTTGGCTTGCAAAGTAGGCACTCTTCCTCTTGAGCCACATGTCCAGTCCATTTTGCTTTGTTTATTTTTTTGGAGATGGGGGTCTTATAAACTATTTGCCCAGCTGGCCTAGAATTGCAGTTCTTCTGATCTCAGCCTCCCAAGTAGCTGAGATTACAGGTGTGAGCCATCAGCACCTGGCTCTCACTCATTTCTGAGTAAAAGTTCTACCCATTTTTGTATCCCTTGAAGCTACTAGTTCAGTTGCTAGCACTATAAAGATATCTTGACTATTTAATCTAATTCATGATTAATCACAATAAAAGCAGTTGCCACTTATTACCTATTGATACACTGATTATCTTATTTAATCTTCACAACAACCCTGAAACAATACACATTGTTACTCTCCCTATTTCATAGATAGGGAAACCAAGGCATAAAGAGGTTAATTAGCCCCAAAACACCAAGTGACAAAACCAGGATTTGACCTCAGATGGTCTGACTCTAGAACCCATTTTTTTAAAAACTCCTGTGATCTACTACCTTCCCTTTAGCATCCAGTTTACTTGTTCAAAATAAATATGCCACAGCCTCTAAGTTCTGAGAGTTTCATAGTTCATGAAAGAGAGAGAAATTCCATTTACCCATCAGGTTCCATTACCATTCTCCCGCTATTCTTTAATATATTCTCCAAATGTCTCAGTTACCCAGGGACCCTCAGCCCCGAACCCCCTCTACACCTTTCTCAATCCCTGTGACCCACTGACAGCCACCTTCGGTTTCCCACAGGTGGTCCTTGTCATAAACTGAACCCTTTCTCTACTGCACCGTATGTATCCCTCGATGCTGCTCTGGCCACAAAGCTGATCCGCCACGAGGTATGTGTTGTGAGAAGAGTTAATGAAGTAGTGGTTCATAGGTTGTGTCATATCTTGGTAGATGGGAAGGCAAGCTGGGTTGAAGATGCTTCCATCCTTTGAGCAGAGGTAGCTGAGGAAGCCATCCACGCTCAGCACGTGCCGCAGTCTGCCTGGGGTACAGAGGGGGAAACACTAAAGTGAGAGTCTCTTGGTGGGAACATATGGACCAGCCAACTACAGCCAGTTTCCCCCAGCTCAGAGTCCTGCCTTTCAGATAGTGCCCATTCCCAGGTCTCCAATACCACTTGCCATCCAGTGTTATCATTTTCAATTTCCTACCCTCAGACTGTTAAAGGGAACCATTAAGATCATTCAAGAGTGCATGTGTTAGCACAATTCCCGAATCTTAGCACTTGGGAGGTAGAGGCAGGAGGATTGAGAGTTTGAGATCAGCTTGGGCTACACACCAAGTCTGAGATTACTCTGGGTTACATAGTGAGACTGTCTCAAAGAAAAAAAAATCCTTCTAATCCAGTGCTTGTCCAGAAAAGGGCTTTCTACAATGAAGAAATGTTCTCATCTGTAATATTGAACATGGCAGCCTGTGGTCACACGTGGCTATGAACAGTTGAAATGTGGCTTCTATGACTGAGGCACTAAACTTGCCATTTTATCTGATTTTAGTTCATTTAAAATGTAAATAGTCACATGGACCTCACAGTTAGTAATAATAAGCACAGTATGTTCAAAAGACTAACTGTACAGACAGGAAACTAGAGCCTAGAGAGTATGTTAGTGACATGTTTTCTTCCTTAGGTTCTGCAGCTGTGTTACCTATTATCTGAGCATTTCTCGCCACTGTTAATGCTTCTGTGTGGTGTTTGGGGACATTTGTCAACATCATCTTAGGCTATACTCTTGTTGAAGAAAGGGCCCCGTTACTCTTTCCATAGCCCTCACTCTTCTCAGTATGGGCTTCATATAATAACAACAAAGAGCAACATTTATTGAGCACTGTTCCATGTGAAGGACATTACATCCATCATCTCATTTAATGCTCTCATTTACGCATGAAGAAATCAATATAATCAGCCATGACAAGTTAGATAACTTGTCCCAAGTTACAAACTTAGTAGTGGGAGGGGCTGGAATTCTGAACCAGGCAGCCAGGTCTTTGCACTAGGCTGCACATGTGCTGCGAGAGGCCTCCTTGGGAGTTAGAATGACCTGACACTCATGCCAGTCCCTATTCCAGGTTTTGAGAAGCATGACGGACAGTGAAAATGGCAGGAATTTGGGCATGAAGTCTCATTTTTGACAGAGATACTCAAATCGTTCAGATAAGTCCATACTTGTTATATATATTCTTATTCATTTCACTTGATTACCAATTATTTGTTACAAATGAGAAAAATGAGTCTCAGATAGGTTAAATGACTTACCAAGGTTACTCAATTAAGAAGCAGAGTAGGGACTGAACACAGGTCTTTTGAATAATACTGCACTCGTACAAATTGTCAATGCAAGGGAAGGAACACCAAGAGGGTGGAGAAGCTGGCACTGGTGGCTCACGCCCTGTAATCTTAGATACTCAGGAGGCAGAGATCAGGACGGTCACAGTTCAAAGCCAGTCACAAAAAAAAAAAAAGTGTTGGAGAATAGAGTAATGTTTGTTTTAGTCTGTTTTATGCTGCTATAACAGAATACCAGACTGGGACTATTATTTATAAGAACAAGGATTTATTTCTTACAGTTCTGGAACCTGAGAAACCTAAAATTGAGGGGTCTGCATCTGGTGAGAGTCTTCTTTGCTATGTTGTCCATGCCAGAAAGTGGAAGGGCAAGAGAACACATGGGAGAGCAAGAGAAGGGAGGAAGCCAAATCACCCTTTTATCAAGAATTCCGTCCATGTGATAAACCCACCTCCATGATACAAAAACAGTTCAATCATGAGGCAGAGCCTCATGACCTAATTCACTTCTTAATGTTCTACCTTTCAACATTGTTGCTTTGGAGATCAAGTATCTAACACATTTACTTTGGGAGACACTTTCAAGCCAAACAATGTAATTGATACATACTGGATCCTGCATAGAACAAGAAGATTCTATTTTTTTTTAACTTGACCTCTTCAATTTCATTTTGTGAAGTTATGGTTTAAGAAGCCCCATTCTTTGAACACCCACACAAGTCAGGAATCAACACTTTCAAGTCAAGTCAGGATATTCCAACACTTTCTGTTTTACCTCAGGTTCCAGAAGGACAGTGTCCTTCACTGTATCTCTGGTGCTCAGCATAGATCCTGACACATTATGGGGTACTCAATAAAGCTTAACGAAATAGTGAAATGAATGAATGAAAGGAAGTAGGAATTGAGACCCAGGAAACTTGGATCACTTGTCTTGCTCCAGTCATTCCATCTCACCCTCATTTTCAAGAGAAGCATCAGTTAAGAGATGACCTGGATTTGGGATTCCAGTTCCATTCTCATTAGCTATTGGCTTTCAGCAAGTCATTTAATCTTTCTAAATCTCAATTTTCCTATTTGTAACACTGACTTAATAACAGAACCCATTTTAAAGAAGGCTTAAAAGAGAAAAGGTATGTAGAGATACTAATGTATTAAGAATACTTAGCAAAGGTTCGATAAAGATTATTGCTATTGATTTGCAAAAGTTGTAAATTGAATGACGAATGTGAAAGTGCCTTGTAATTTACTATCAATGTAACTTTCTCACACCCTGAAGAGAATGGAGGCACAGAAACTGAGTCAACTAAGGAGCAAAGTGGAGGAAAGTTTACAGACAGGGGCATATTTTAGCTGCTCTTGTTAAATGCTAAATAGGTCTCATCATTCCCCCAGGCCCAGATAACTAGATTCCTGGCTCAGGGTTTAGAAACTCAAAAACACTTGAAAATTTGGAGAAATCTCAGGAAAGGGCAAAGAGCCAGCATTTAAAGGGACAATAAAGGACACCATGAGAGAATCATTTGCATTAAGAAGAGGCCAAAACAAGAGGACCACAGGTTTTTTTCTGTTTCACTGAGACTAAGTTGATAGTAGGAAGAACTTCCTGTAAGTAAAGGATATGAAACCTGAGCATCGTGATGTAAAGGGACCCATGGATTCTTCTTCCTCCTGAGAGATGAGGAGATAATCTCTCTGTTTGTCTGGCAGAGAATGACTGCCCCCATTCAGGAGTATAGTTAAATAAGATGACTATGACTGAGAAAGGGGCCTGGGTAGGGTGGTCTTAACATTCCCTAGTTAGGCAAAAGACTGTTTGTCTCTGGATCTTAACAATAATGGCCCCCATGTCCAGTGTTTCTCTACCTATTTCCCTTACCACTGTCTGATGGCTCATAGCGGTTGATGAGTTCCAGAGCAAATCAGGAGCCCCGGTCTGTCTCTTCTGCTCTTCTCGAAGGAAATCCACAAATTCCAGCAGGGTCAGCTTCTGCCCATCAGATGAAAGTTTTAAACAGTTCTTGCACTTCTGTACGCTTAGTCAATGCCTTATAGAACTGCACAAATTCTTCTCCTTCCAGGGTATCAGACTGAGACACATCTGCTGCCTATGAGAGAGTTTAGGGAGAGTGGATGAGCACATTAATGTGAAACCTCTTCCTCTCCTCCTCCCCTCCTTCTTTTTTTTTTTGGTGGTACTGAGGATTGGACTTATGGCCTCACATTTGCTAGGATCTACTACCTGAGCCACTCTCCAGCCCTTAGTGGGAAATTTTAATGACAGATTCAAACATGCTTCCATGAAATTCCCACAGAGTTCCTGACCTTTCATGTTTATAGTAAATCTACTTCAGTAAGTAAAAAGCAAAATTTGAGGCATATAATTTGCTACTAGAGGAATTTTCAACAGAAAGAATTGTATCTCCTAAAGGTCCCTAAAAGGTCAGAAGATACCTATTTATACACATTCTAGTTGGAATTTTGTACTAGGAACAACTGTGAAATTCTAGCCAAGAGCAGATCATTGAGGTCCAACATAATACATATGTTTTCATCTTTCCAACTAAGATTTAACGTGGCAAGAATCATCCCCTTACTTCCCACTGGGCCAATCATTTCTAGAGCACACATATGGATTCCACAGAGTGAAGCTGTGAGTAGGGTTAGAGGCTTTCTGGACAAGTGAAAGCCCAGCCTGGCAGCTTCTGCTTCTGCAAACCCTTCCCCGGCAGATTCACCTGAAAGAGACTAAGGGCATACTCTCGATCCATTTCCACGTTCATCAGATGCAGCAGCCGCTGAACTTCTTGGAAACTCATCCGACCATCCTGATTTTTGTCGCCACGCTGAAACCAATCCCTCAGCCATCTAGGTCTAAGTCAAGGCAAAAAGCACTGTATATGTGTATTTATGTGTGCAGTAGTGTGTACATGTTCATTCATTGACATCTCTCCCTATCTTTGCTGCCAGACTCCACACAGCTTGTAGAATAATCTCTCCTAAGCACCAATCTAACTTGTCACTGCATGACTCAAGTGCCTGCAAAGGACCTCCCTTTTGACTGCAGAAAGAAGCCCAAATTTCTTAACATAGAAGTTAAGATCTCCTTTGCCACTGTGATATGGCCTAACTCAGCCTTCTCAATGTATCTCTGTCCTCTTTGTATTTTGGGCAGACACAATTTCCTGCTCTCTGATGCTTACCCCTCTCTCTGCTCTTCAGTCTACTCTCTCTAAACCTTTTATTCATGCTGTTCCCTCAGGCAGGAGTGCCTTTCCCCCTCCTCTCTTTGTGTTCAAATTATACTCCTTTAAAAGGCCTAGCTCATTTGCTATTTTCCCTGAAACTTTCTTAGAACTCTCTTAGGTAGAATTAAATAGCCTTCCTTTTAACATACAAATAATCTAAGTACCATACCACTTCTTTGGTACTTGGATTATTTACACAATTTGATACTTTCCACTAACTGAAGCAGTATCTGTGTTTCATTAATCTTTGTGTGCCTAAAGATTAGCCACTTGGCATACTGGCTTATACATTCTGTTTAATAGAGGGTGAGTGAATGCAGGCATGAATGAAAGAACTGGTGTACAATCCAGGAATCTTCTAGTCAGTCTACATCATTGAGCCCTTAAGAAATTGCTTCCCACTCTCATGGTAGTTAATGCCTCTTGGATCTTTTATTCAACTCTCAGGAGCAACACCTTGTTTGCTCCCCTGCCTCTCTGTCCCTTCCTCCAATCTTGGGGTCCTGATCCCTGCCCAAACTCTGCCTTCCTATGTTTTTGCTCTCTAAGCATTCATTTCCCATACAGAATCCTCAGCCACACATCAGCCTGAGCTGTCTCTGTCCATACCACCTGGACGCTTTGGCCTCGCTAGCTCTGTTCCTCTTTCCACCTTCCCTAATCCTACAGCATCCGGCTCCTTCAATTACCCTCTGTCCCCACCCTGACTCCATCTTGTTGATACTGGTCCAGTCGCTCCTGTTGGTCCATGTTGGTGACAAAGTCTACCAACAGTTGAAGTCCTTGCATCCAGCTCTGGGCTTCCTCAACACTGTTGGCTATCAAGTCGAGGTTAGGGCGGCGGCCATGGAAGACAATAGTGAAGCCTTGCTCCAGGGGAACTCTTCTGCCAGGTTGCGCAGCAACTCAGAATCATGACCCAAACGTATTCTCTCCACATCAGAGATTGAGACTGCCAAAGAAAAAGCAAATGAGAGCACTGAGGAAAAGAGTCTGACAAATTGCAGAAGCTAAGGGGAAAGAACCCATACTCTTCTCCATGAAGAGGTAGAAAGGAGGAGCTCCAGCCTCTGCAGACTGAATCCCAAAAGACAGGGAGATGCAGGTCCCAGGGATTCAGTAATCCACATGAGTCATTTACTGTTTTCATAGGCTATATGGCAAAGGGCCTCTGCTAGAAGTAGCAAGACCTGTCTTCTAGCTACCAGCTGGCAGTGTGGAGACCAAAACAACTCAACCCCTCCATGTCCTCATCTCAAATAATGGATAGTTCCCTTCCATGGCCACTCTCAATGGTGATCCACAAAAACTGGCAGGGATGAGAAATGGAAACACCTTTGAAAGGTAAAAGCAGTTACAAAACAGTATATGCCCCATTCAGATTTGAGAATTTCCTCTTTCTAGATGGCTAGAAAGCAGCCAGAGAAATTCTTCCACCCCCTTACCTCAGTTGGGGTGGTATGGATCAGGAGCTTTTATTATGTCTCTAAAGCAGACTCTCTTAGATATATCCTGTGATCAAATTTTTAGAGGTATCACAAAGAGTTGGGCCAATAGGATGCATACTGTTATTATGTATTTTTATATTAGAAATAGAATGGGCCAGGCACTGGTGGCTCACCCCTGTAATCCTAGCTACTCAGGATGCAGAGATCAGGAGGATCACATTTTAAAGCCAGCCCCAGGCAAATAGTTCAGGAGACCCTATCTCGATAAAATCCATCACAAAAAAAGGGCTGGCAGAGTGGCTTAAACAGTGAGTGCCTGCCACCATGGGTGAGGCCTTAAGTTCAAATCCTAGTGCTGCTAAAATAAATTATAATGGATAACATTTATAAGGTGCAACCTGGTTTTAGATGCAATGTTGGATTCTTTGCATTTTAACTCATTGAATATCTGTAACCTACTGGGAAGGTACTGTTTAATCCCCGTCTTATAGATCAAGAAACTGAAGCTTAGTTTAATTAATTTGTCTGAAGCCACTCAGCTAGAAAGTGACAGAGCCAGGGCTTTAATTCAGATAGTGATGCCTGAGATCATAGTCTTATAATAATAACAACAGGATATAGCTTTGATTTATTCAGCCTTAGTATGTGCCAGGACTCTGCACGCAATAACTAATTTAATCCTTTTAACAGCAGTACTTGCTATAATTTCCTTGCGTAAGCTCAGATAAGACCACAAATGGGAAAGCACAAGGGGCCAGTATGGTAGGATGCTGGTCCCTCCTCTGCTCTCAGGTTGCCAGGCTCCTCAAAAAACCTGTCCACCCGCATGTTCACCCTCAGCTATCCAGGTCACTCACAGGTGGGCTTGGCTCTGCCCGCCTGCCGCGCATGCCAGACTGTCATGCCATCGTTCTGAAGTCTGAAGTGTCTTAGCTTCTTCCAGTTTTTTGGACCTCACCTTGCGCATCATCATGCCTTCTTGCATCAGCAGCAGGTCCTGATCAGTGGACAGCCCTGGCCAGGAAAAGCAGGGGCTAGGTAGTCAGTGGGGAGAGTAGAGGGCTCAGAGGAGCTCTGGAACCAGGTCCAGCCTCCTTCTCTTTCCTGGGCTGTCCCCCAAGCCCTCTTTCCCTGCAGGGTACTCACTGTCTTGAAGTGACGCCATCACCACACTGCTCCACCAGCTGGCACCAGAGTCACCTAGAAGAACTAAGAGCAAAGTAGGAGCAAAGGGCTTTGAGTGACTCTTAGAGATCAAGGAAGCAAGAGAAAGAAATCAGCGTTTCCTTTAGTGCCCACTATGTGTCAGGTATGACATCGACATAGTCTGTAGTTATTTTTCCTTCTACTTTGAGTTTGGTGACTCCAAGACTTAGATAGGCTAAGAAACCTGCCTCAAATCACATATGGATTAGAATTTAAACCCAGATATGTCTGACCCTGGAGCCTCTACTGTCTCCAAGGAGGGCTAAACCAGAGTTTCTCCAAACACTCTCTTCCCACCCACTACCCAACAATTTACTAGGTAACCTATCTCCGAACCTTGGTCACTCCCCAGTTCCTCATTATTTCATCGTGCTGGCTAGCCCCTATAAGAACCTGGAATCTGTCTACACCTTAGCATTTTCTTCTCCAGGGTGATTGTCCTAGCTACCCTTTTCTGGGAGCTCTGTCTGTGCTCCCACGTAGATTGCCCAGCTCCTAAAGAGCTAGAGCAGACTCTCTCTGATACAACAGTTAGTTGTAGTTTTCTACCGTCACATGGCAAAGCATATTTTATATCCTTTTTCATAACAGTTATTGTCACACAGTTTTTAATGGACCAAATAAATCACATAAGTCTCAGGACTGCATTTTCAAATTTTCCCATACTTCCTGAAAAAGGATACCTCATTTAAGATATATGCTGTCCAATTTAGGATCTGGTTAAGTTGTCATACTAAATTACAACAAACTTCCCTTAAAAAGAACTAGAAGTGGCCACTTTCATTTGTCTAGTTCTGCCCCTGTAAACATACTCAATTCTTGATCAGATCATACTGAAACTGGCAAAGCTCATGAAACAAAGCTCTGTTCTTGAATACAAGCTAAGGCCTATACTTGAACAGCAATGTGTTGTGATCTTTTTTGACAGTACTAGGGTTTTGAACTCAAGACCTTGTGCTTGTTAGGAATTTTTTTTTCTGGTGGTACTGGGGTTTGAACTCAGGACTTCAAATTTGCTAGGCAGGCACTCTACCACTTGAGCCATACTTCCAGTTCAGCCTTGTGATTCTTAAAAGTAGGATTTTGACAATGGTGAACATGTAAAAAAAACTTTAAAAACCTGTAAATCAATCATTGCATCTGAAAAGCAATTGTTCACTTAGTATTTCATTAAATCAACATGCAGTTCAACTCCTATATTTTACAGATGAAAAAGCAGAAGTCCAGAATGCTTTGTAACTAGGTCTGAGGTCACACAGCATATTAGAGCTCTATCTCTCTTTAACGAGAAGACCTTATAAATTCGCCTAGGAGTAATTAATTCTTCCACATTCTTCAGGAAGAATGTGGAGGGTCACTGAAAATACATCTTTCTTAACTTTGAGATCTAGAGGAGGTTTTCTAAAGGGATACAGAATGAGAGGGGAAGGTTGGGAAGCAGCCTCTTGGGAGAGAAACAGCCCAGTGAATTTCAGGAAGAAAAGATTTCACTGGTTGTGGTTGAATTTGTGTGTCTGGTTGAGATTAGAAGAAAACTCTGGATGGAAGAGGGAACCCAAAGTGCTTCCCAAAAACCAGAAAAGCTTCTTTTCTGAGTAAGAATGCAGTTTGGAATCTGAGGCTTACAGAAGCTGTAAGAAGACTGTAGTAGAAAGCATTAGGTCACTCTTAAATTTCTTAGGCCCTCAAGTCTGTAGGTTGGCAAGGTTGGCTTGGGTCTAGGTCTAATCTCCTGTGCCAGCATCCTGCCAGCATCCTGCTTTCACTCCTCTTTGAACTTCAACTCCCACCCCTGGGGCGTAGGGACTTGGGTGGGCCTTCGGCCTTGGAGAAGACAGCATTACCTTCCCTTACTCCTGTGTCCAGGTGCCTCACAATGATGTCCTGAAAATGCGAAGCCTGAGGACAGAGGCCTGGTATCCAAACTTGTTTTTTTGGTTTTTTTAAATAATCCTACTCCCACATCTGAATTATTATTTTAAACCTGTATCCAGGTGACATGTGGTCATTAGAGCACCAGCAACAACCCAGGGAGCCACAGACTATTAGAACTGGACTTCACTTCATGAAGGAGGGGACTGAAGACTAGAAAGATTGGCTGGCCTGCCAGAGTAACTGAATGAGTGACAGAACTGGAACCAGAACCCAGAGAGCTCAGAGAACTCGCCAAGATTCTTCCCTTAGAATGGGCCTTCCCCAGGAAGCAGGATGAAGCAAGCCCAGGAATCAGTGAGGAACACTGACATTTTTCCTCTCCTTTCCATTATTTTCTGTTGCCCCTGTATTCCACCAAATAGCCTTTTTTAATCCTTCCCACTTTCTTTCCTTTCCCCATCCCATGCCTAATCTCATCCTTTTCCTTTCTTCCCAGCTCACTCTTCTCTCACCCAATCTTCTCCACTTTCCTCTTTGCTCACTTAGGTCAGGCTCTTTCTGCTCATCTCCTCATTCCTTTTCTTCATCACCTCTTCCTTTTGTTTCCTTTCTATGTCTCCACTAATTCATACTAGCTGATTCTCATCCCCTTTGAGGATTTTAAGCTTATAGTCTGAAGACAGGACAGTTGGGTTCAGACACTCAATAGGATGTTCCTCTGCTCAGCCTCACTTTTCCTTGTAACCTAGGAGATTGACCAAACAAAGTACCCAGAGAATGCAAGTTAGCACCTAAGTGTTCTAGGTCTTGTGTTTATTCTGATATCTGAAAGGAAGGATGGTCACAACTGATGCAGGTGCAGTAGAGTGAGAAGGAATAAAGGGTTTGGGATGGGGACACTGGTAAGGGTAAGGAGGATGAAAACAGAGAAGAAGAGATTGGGTATTAACTATTAACTCCTAGACACACATGGGGAGATCTTTGATGATACAGATAATTATTTCTGTAGTAAAGATGGGAAAACAGACACATAAAATAAGGTAGGAAATATCTTGACACTGCAGAGCAAGATTTGGTCCTCAATTTCCAAGTGGCTTCAGTATCTCCTAGAGATGGACTTAGAGAGTGTCACCATTAGCACCAATGACATTACAGGAGGACTCAGGGTGTCTTAGTTCTCTCTGAGGGGCATGAAGAGAATCTTTTTGTCTACTACCTTGCTTCTGAGAAGGATTATGCCTAACCTGATTCATATAAAGAGGACAGATGGCTCTGGCCACAGGTGATAACCCTCATATAATGTTAGAGCTTGAAAGCTTCTATATAGCACATATAGGAGAGTGTCTTAAAAACAGGAATTCCTTAGCCTACCCTATAATTTACTAGATTAAAATTTCCAAGAATGAGGCTCAACATTATTTACTTTTGCTAAGTACTGGTGGCTCCACCTATAATCCTAGCTATTTGGGAGGCAGAGATCATGGGGATCGCTGTTCTCAGCCAGCCCCAGCAAAAACTTCATGAGACTCAGACTCAACAGAAAAAGCTGGGTGTAATGGAATGCTCCTATCGTCAAAGCTACAGCGGGGAAGCATAAGTAGGAGGTTGGCCTGGGCAAAAAGCGAGATCCTATCTCAAAAACAACCAGAGCAAAAAGGCATGGCTCACATGGTAGAGCGCCTGCCTGGCAAGTGCAAAGCCCCAAGTTCAAACTCTAGTATATATATAAAAAAAAGGTGATTTATTTTTAACAAGCACACCTAGTATAAAGGCAAGTCTGGGAAACCCTAAAGTCTCCAATTACAGATCAGAAGTTGTGGTCAAAAGTTCCATAGCACAGCACTCTGTACCAAGAATCTGCCCTGGCTCAGTATGAAGGTGAAGAAAAGGCACAGAATTCAAATGCTGACTCTTTCCAAGGGAGTCTCATAACTTCCTATTACCCAGAGTTTCTGACTCCCCATGATGGGTTTTGGCCAACCTTCATGGGGTAACCCTCAAAAAATCTGCTACCCCGCCCCAGTCTGATTACTGTGACCGAAGGTATTTCTGAGTTGGTGAGCTAACTATAGGAAGTTCTAACCATAGGAAGTTTTCCAGAATGGTGGCTTCCACAAAATGGAAACTGAGCCATGTCTTTGCTCAACTCCAGCCTGCAGTTAGAGGTCTAAAGAAACTGCAAGGTGCATATAAATGCAATCAATCATGTTTGAAGATTGGATAATATCAAAAAGAGAATTTTCAGACCTTACATAACCTAGCTGTTCAAGGTAACATACTGTCATTTTAAATTTTGTAATAAAACTTTTTAATGTGAAAAAAAAATCTGCTAATAATCTATGCTACAGCTTGTCCATTCTAATTCTTACTCTCTCTTTTGGGATGGATTTATCTCAGAGGAGTGGGAGTCAGCACTCCCAGCCTTGGACAGCTAAGAAGTTCCTCTTATAAATGGGTGATTGAAACAGACAGGAGGAAACTGTGAGTCAAAGAGAAGAAGCTGGAGAGAAAGGAGGGAAGACCTGTGAAGCTTTGAGCTGTATCTTACCAATGAGCAGGATAGCAGTCCTGTGGTCTGTGAGCTCGGCAATTTGCTCTGTTCTCTGCTGTGGGATTAAGGAAAACCCAGTTGGCTTTTTTTTATCTATTGCACTCACTTTTTTGATTCACTCCTCTTCTACTGCAGTTTGCAGCGGACTGGCAGAGTATATGAGGTTAGCCAGAGCCGGAAGCGGCTTATGGTAGGGAGAGGTGTGAACACGTTCCTGAGTCCAGCCCATCCAACTCTAAAGGCCCCAGGGCACTGGTCCAGTGTGAAGGAATGCTGGGGGGCAGGGTGGCAGACAAGGAGTAAGGAACCCAATTGACAGGCCAACATATCTCCCAGGGAAGAAAGCCTTGACTAATCTTATCTTGATTCCATCTCCCATCCCCCCACCCCCACTGACCCAATTCCCGCCAGTAGCTTTCAAAGTAAACTCAAGTAGAGTCTGATTTGCAGTTCTTCTGTGAATCACTGCTTTTCATTCTGGGTCGGGTCTCTGCATGTCAATACGGGCCTTTGCCCTCAATTTCATCTGGCTGCTTTCCACAGTGTTCTGTTCTCCAATTCAGGCCTGCTCCTGTGTTTCTGTGTCCGTGCACTCAGATGTAGTCTGTAGAGAATAGGATGGGAAAATGAAAAAAATGAGGAGAAGAGAAACGGGATTGTAGACTGTGGTAGGGGGCAGGTTAGATATCTATGTATGTTAAAGGCACTTCTAATATGAAGGAATGCACATATGATATATGAAAAAATTCATTTGTTCTCCCTTTCAACAGTCTTCTTTCTTATTTTAAGTGTTTTGTTCAGTTGCTAGGATACACATGTATATTTTTTGAACAGGGTTTTCACTGTATAGCCCAAGGGCTGGCCTTGAATTAGCTAACCTTCTAGCCTCGAGCCTTCTTCCAGGTGCATGGAAATTCTAGGGTGCATCAACACACCTGGATACATATATTACATACAATATATTATTACAAAGGTGCTGAGTAGACATAAGCAGGTTCACGATGTGTAAGCAACCCAGCAAAAGCCGGGCGCAGACTGTTAAAGAACCCTCATAGGAAAGGAAGGCAATGAACCCCTTATAATGCTGCAATGAATACGTAGTTAACACAGAAACCAAGATTAAGGAAAGGTGGCCAATCCTGAGAGGAAAAGGCTTTATTATGACCAGTACATCACAATAAGAAAACTAAAGGCCAAACACACATTTCTGCTCTGACCTAGACTCACCATCTACTAAATGGAACACAGCCAGCCCCTCACACACTTGCAACCAACTGGGTGCTTGGAGTTGCTTTTGTTCTGTTCTTGAGAAGACTGTGAGTATACCTTTTTTGACAATGGATGACCAGTTAAGACATAAGGGCACAGAGTACTGTAATTGAACTTCTGTGGGATCTTATTTCAGTAAGTTAGTTAAGCATAGGCACAGAAAAGGGGGATTGTGATTTTAAGTGTGCTAAGATCTGCTGCCTCTCCATGGCTTCCCCAACAAACACACCTCTCAAATTGACCTAATATCCTACCATTAGTGGTTATTTATAGCTAATCTTTCAGTCCCATTAAAATATAATCCTCCAAGTTGATGACCATAAAGTCAGGTAGTGGTACTTTAAGAAGAGAAAGGAAGTTGTGATGGGATAGGGCACCAACGCTGCTTTTGTGAAAAAAATAAAACTGCAAGTTTATTTCTAGTCCTGAGGGCAAACACGAGGGCTTAACAATTATAATACTTTACTAAGATAGATAGATAGATAAATAAATAGAACGGGGTGGAGAGGCGCGGCCCTTCAAGCACACCCAAACACCCAAACCACCACAAACACACAAAAAACCAAAAAAAACAAACAAAAAGCACAAACAAAACAAGGCAACCCACCAAAACCCACGCCACAACACACACAACCCACGACACACCCCCCCCGCCCCACAAACCAAACAACCCAAAACAGAACGAATACAAAACAATTATATATTATATATATAATATATCATAAAATGTTGGTTGTGCTACATTTGCATTATCTTTATACAATACAAAGATTTAACTTACAAAAATGTTCTTTAGATGGACCTCTTTATGTTGCCAGCTGGCCTCATTGTGGGATTCAAGTGACTCTTCCCCACCTACTTCCTGAGAAAAGGTGGGACTACAGGCTTGTGTCACCATGCTTGAATGCACTGGTAATTGTTGACGCCTTTATGGTTTAAATGATACAAACAGACCTCTTTCTGAGAGACGGTTTTCGATAATGAGGAAAGAGGAGTACCCAAGGAGGACCATCTTGGGAAAATAAGATAATAGGGCACCAAAAAATGTAAATTGGTCATTTATAGATTTGACCTTAATAGGAGCCATCTCACATTGTTTGTCCTGCTTTTTATTTTCTGACAATCTCATCTCCTTTTTTCGGCTTCACTATTCATACCTCTCCTTTTTAAACATCACTTCTTCTTTAATCCCAGGATGTTATAATATTGCCTCCTTCCGAGTCACTGTCAGCTCAAATCGTCCAACCTTTCTTCTTGGGTTATCTGTGAGGGGTGCTTATTGCTCATTTCTGGACTCCCAGTTCATGTGCTGATTCAAAAGAGGTGAATTTGGAGACTTCACAATATTAGTAGTATAGCTCCCAAGAAGTACCTGGAAGGCATGGCCTGGAGAGAATGCAGGACTCTCATTAGATCCAGAGAGGGAGCAACAGGGTTCTAGGCACAGTAACTGTCCATCTGCTTTGGTAATTGCTATTTCTGCAAAAATCTTGGCCCTCCCCCCAACGCTGTCTATTATTAACAGATCCAGAAATTTGATCAGGGAAGTAGCAGCAGAGGGACTTTCTGGGACCCATGCCCAGGAAAGGCCTAGAAACCTGAAATTGAAACAAAGTAGCAGCTGGAAGAGGGGGACCTAAACATGGTACTCTCACTCTGCCACCCAGGCCTGATGCCAACACACTTAAACATCTCTGCTTCTCAGAACATTGAGGCTGGAAAGTCTGAGACCAGTTCCCCAGTCTATCCAAACTACCAAAACTTCTGAAATAAAGCATCTTCTTAGTGTCCAAAAAGGCAACTCAAAATTTCAGATTCCATTTAAAAATCCTATGTAGAATTGAAAGTTAGGATATGTAACTTCAAAAGACTAGAGAATATACAGCCACTGCTCTATTCCAGCAAACTTCAAATTAAAAGCCTATTTGCCACTTCACTCATCCAGTGGGGGTAGGAAGCAGACAAGGCAGTATTAAAAAAAAAAAAAACAAGAACAGGATAAAGTAGGTAAAATAGTAATAGTCTATTCCAAGAGACAAACTTCAGGAAAAATCATAAAAAAAAAATACATGTATGTACCACTTCAAGAGTCATGACTGCATAAAAAGGTTGAAAGTTAAAAGGAAGATATCTGGGTGAAAAGACTCCAATTTTGTTTTTATTCAAGATCACCTTGACTGTTTTGGTGAAATTTAGAATCAGTTTGTTAAAATATAAAAATAAATCTGCTAAGATTTTACTTTAGAATTAACTAGCAGATCCACTTGAAATAATTGGCATTTTTTCAATCCATAGAGCTGATACTTGATTTGTCCATTGCATTGTCTTTGTATTGTAACATTGGTAATTCATATATTAATTCTAAGAATATTGTTTTGGGCTATCTATGTACACAAATCATGTCAGCAATACTGAGGGGATTTGAGTGGTTTTTTTTGGATCCTATTCCTTCTTTATTTTCTTGGCTTACCACACTGGCTGGGAATGATAAATGGAAGTGTGATAGTGGACACCTTGTTTCATTCTTCATCTCATGGAAGTGATTTCAATTTATTTTGAGATTTACTGTAGGTTTCTGTTGATAGTCTTTTATTAGATAAGAACTTGCACTGGGAGTATGACTCATTTGTGGTAGAGTCACCTGCCTAGAAAGCATGACTATGTTCAAACCCCGGTACCTATGCTTCCGCCCAAACTCTGCACCCCCCCCACCAAAAAAAAACTTGCCTTTTTGTTTGGTTTTTCAAAGGTTGGGTTTTTCTTTGTTTTTACAGTGCTCAGGATAGAACCCAGGGGCCTTTGCATGCTAAGCACATGCTCTGCCACTATCACTTCAGCCTTTTTTCCCCCCTTTTTGGATGGTACTGGGGTTTGCATTCATAATCTCATGCTTGCTAGGCAGGCACTCTACCACTTAAGCCACTTCACCAGTCCTTTTTTGCGTTGGGTATTTTCGAGACAGGGTCTCTAGAACTATTTGGCTGGGCTGCCTTGAACCTGGGCCTTCCTGATCTCTGCGTCCCGAGTACTAGGTTTACAGTTGTGAGCCCACTGATGGCCCACTTTTTCCCCTAAATCACAGATTGTTAAAGCTTGTGTTCTTTTCTGGCAAGTAATTGTGTGATTTTCTCCTTTTATGTGAATTGCGATTAGATCAAGGCATTCATACTTAGTTGTAGGCTTTCTGAATAGTTGGTGCCTGGGGATTTTGTTTTGGGCAATTTGGTGCCTACGTGCATTTTGATGTTCGGTTGAAAGTTTTAGTGGCTGAGTAATGGCTGCTTGAGTGAATTGGGGCTAGCTGGGGTTGGTGGTACATGCCTGGAACCCTTACCTTTATTTTTGCGTCGATTATTTTTCAACAGGGTCTGCTGTTTGAGCGATGGAGGTTGGGACCTGGCTAGGGTGACAGGTGTGCACCACTGCACCCAAATTCTTATTGCTTGAGATACAGCCTTACCAACTTTTTGCTTGAGTTGGCCGTAAAACCTTCTTAGTATCTAGGATTACAGGCATTAAGCCACCATGCCTGGCTTATAAGAGACACTTTAAAGGGTACCACTCCAACCTCCCAACAGCTTTTGATCAGTTGCAGTCTTCTAGACCTGTCCACAAAGAAATCATCACTGCCCTCTTGGTGGGGCAGTGTATATGTGTAAGGAGATGGTATGTGTAAGGAGACAAGTAACACATAATCAAAGTAGCTAGATATCTCTATGCTGACAGAATAAAATCTTCATTTAAAAGGGAAAATGTATTTTTACAAAACCAGAAGCATGTTTTATTTCAATCCTGTTGAGGGAGTAGAGGGATGGAAAACACAAAATAAGGGGCAGGGGTCTCTTTATATAATACACATAACATCAGAACCAACCATAAGGAATAATACCCATTCCCCCCTCCCCATGAACTCCTAAGTGGATTCCAAGGCCAGCTGAAAATAGATGGGGCAAGAATTAAGACACTATTGGCACAGTAACATGACCAATGCACCAAGAGATGGAGGGAGAATTTTCCAGGGAGCAAGGCCCTGGGCCTCAGCTGCTTCCCACGTGGAGGTGTGATGAGAAACTTTGGCTCAGCAGGAAGGTGGCTGTCAAAAATTAGAGCTACCCTAGTTGATATTTCAGATCACAGGCTGTAGGCTGAAAGGAGTCAAGATGTCTATCCAATCGATGCTATTCTCTGCTTTCTCCAATACTGTCTTCTTCATGCTTAAGACTGAGAGCTGGCTTGGTTTTCCTCATTTTGGAAAGCAGGGGAATAAGTGCTTATTTTACCCTTTTCATATTTAGGTTACTTAATTACAGCTTCCTTGGTTGTAGAGACAAGCTAACTAACAAGGCCGGCTTCTTTTTGAAAGTCGGCTTGAAAGAGCCCTTGGGTTGGCAAAACTGCCTCTGCAAAGGTTTCTCTGATCATGCCCCTTTTATAGCCCCTCCTCAAACTTGTTCAGAGACATCTTCAATTGTGTGAGATGTGGATAGAAGAGACTTGATCTGTCTCTAAGGGTGGATCAGCAAATCACTCTCTGGAGATGGGAATATGAGAGAGAGAGAGGGAGAGAGGGGGGAAAGAGAGAGAAGGGAGAGAGAGAGGGGGGAGAGAGGGAGAGAGAGAGAGAGAGAGGAGAGAGAGAGGGAGGGAGAGAGAGAGAGAGAGAGAGAGAGAGAGAGAGAGAGGAGAGAGAGAGAGAGAGAGAGAGAGAGGAGAGAACAAGTGCTAACAAGGGGAAGGATTGGGGAAAGCAAGACAGTTCACACAAGGTTATAGATTCAAGCCTGTAGAGAAGGAAGGAGATTTCTCCAATATAATCTAAACAAGTGAAAAATATTATGGTGGCAACCCTGTAATTCCCATGGACTGAAAGAAAAACATGACAAAAGAAAAAAAAAAAAACCACAAAAAGAAGACTGAGTGAGCAAGCAGAGTCCAGCCCCCCATATTAAATCTGAATAAAATATACTCATTCAGCAAATAATACTTCCTGTACAATCATGACAAGAGATGGTGCTATTGAAATTCATTCCAAAAGAATGGAATTGGGTAGCCTATCAACCTTAATCCCAGTTGCTTTCCCTTTAAGTTGCCTGGGAAATATCTTTGAAGATGTGGATTTGAAGACCATCACCCCTCCTGTCCCAATTCAAATACCCTTTTTAGGGTAGCTGGATGAGCTGGATGAATTAAGACATCTGTTTTAGATTTACTAGGAGGGAAGTGAAAAAAAAGTAACAGCACTGAGATCTGAAAATGCTAGCAGCTAAAGCCAGAAACAAGGTTAAGGTCCTCATGGCATCCAGGACTAGGAGAAGAATGGGAGGAGGGAAACAGGTGGTGGCTTCCTGCTGTACTTTGGCTTTACATATCCCCCATTACTCCCATTTCTCCCAACAGCTCAATGCATCTTTTGGCCTGCCAGAGGGGATGTAATGCCCAGACCAACTTTTTATTGAGCTTATGCAGCTAACAGACTTGTAAACAGTGCCAACTGACAACATTTTGCTGAAAATTACAGCTTGTGTCCACTAAACACACCTCTCTCTGAGATTAAAACAAAACAAAACAACAAAAGTAAACATATACTGAGAGAGAGAATTAAGAGACACATCTTGAGTCTTCCAGGAAGGCAAAGTAAAAAACACCACATGGCTTGGTCCCAGGTGCTCACCAAGCCTAGAGTGCTGCTGCTATCACCACAGTCTCCCCTCTCTGCCAGTGATTAGGTAAAGGTGGGGGTATCAGGGTCATCTTGGGCATGCTGCAAATACAGCATTTGCTGGTGTTGACACCCTCCTGGGGCTATGGTGGCAGACTGCTGTGTAAGTAGCCCATTTCCTAGGAGTAGCAGAGGGAGCCCAGGTCCTCAAGATAGCCTGATGGCAGCCCATACACCTCAGCAGGGGTACCTTGCCCCTTTTCTCCAGTGCAGTTCAGCATTAAGGTTGTCTATTCCGGGTTGGCGATAAAACCTGAGCTGTCTTCCTCGTAGGTTCCCCTTCCCTTCCCCAACTTGGAGGAGCAGTGGGAGAGGATAGGAGAGGATCACTGAGGGGGCAGGGGAATACCCCGGGGATCGGTGACCTGGCCCTCTTGCAAGTTCTTCACCAGTTGTGCAAGCCAGCGTTTCGTGGTGGTGTCATCTTTTAGCACCTGGGCAAAGGTTGTGTCCTTCAGCTGGTCAGGGAGGCACTGCCTGAGTGCTTCTCGTGCCCTACATCAGAAACAAACCAACCAGGGAGACCAACAAATAAATCCACATTTTGGAGCTATGTAAGAGCCCCTTTATTAGACATAAATATATAATATCCTGAGAATCTATGGCTCTGCCAAGTTATGTTAAGTCAGTAAAATTTTAATGCTTTTAATTAGGCATAGGCTCAGAGATATCCAGGATCTGTATCTTGCATACATTTTCAGAATGATGCCCCAATGTAAAATTTCATGTAAAAGCAAAATGGAATAAAATAGTCCAATAGTTTACTTAACTTCAAACTGGTTTCCAATTTATTATAGTAGGTACTATCAAAACACTCATGTTAGAAATAGATAGGCTACAGTAAATGGAATATTTAAAAAAAAAACATACAATAGTAGATTATGACCTCATAAACTAAATTAATGAATTTTAATTCAATACTACTATGTCATTACAGAAACTGCTTCAATTTTATGTTTAAAAACCTTGAGATGAATGGTAAAAACAAAACTATGGTAGTAGCATTATCACATGAACTTTTACATCTTCATTTTCTTTGAATTATGAACAAGAGAAAGTCAAATTTGAAAACCTAAAAAAGGTAGACGTTAATGATGTATAGGTCTAATCTAAACAAAGTTAGAGTTTTTGTACTTAGGTAGAATTTTAAATAAACACATTTCAAGCTTTGATGAAAACAGGAACTACTTAAGAGGACAAAATGATAGGGTTTGAATAACCCAATAACCTTAGTGGCAGGAGACTGAGTTCACATTAAATCAATTTACCCTCATTCCTAGGAACACAGAAGCCTCTCCATCATGTGGTTTGGCAGAATCTGAGCAAGTAGCTTTTAGCATAAATTATGAATTTACAAAGCAAAAGGTCAAACATTTCTAAAATGCATTATACCTACATTGAATGATTTCTAGCAGAAAAACTAGGAATCTAGGGAGACAAAATAATTAGCTCAAGAACCTTACAGGAATCAGAGAATTGGAAATATAATTTAAGAGCCCTTTGGGCTATTGTCCTTTCTATGAGATCTTTGAAAGTATACTTGTCTTTCTGATCATTTAGAATAGTAATAGAAAGCTCAAACCACGGGAGTAATGCATCATAAGGTTTCCCTTAGAATTGTCTAGACTCTCTGGAATTTCAGGGTAGGATAGAGTGTTACAATGGGAAGATACAACTTGATGGATTTTTAAATTCAGCACTTTAGATTTTAAAAGGAATTTAAGTTGTTCCACACAGACTAAATACAGTCATATCTTTTCCCTGTCCTAAAGACCTAGAACTTATGCCATAAGTTGAGGGAATCCATTCAGAAGAGTACTTCCCTAAAATCCTGTAAATCCTATAAATGTTTACCTGGGATTATCTGAGAGTCGAAGGTAACATCTTACTACATGCTTCAGCAGACGGGCAGAAGGCTCTTTGGATAGCTGCAAGACCATTTTACCCTGTTTCACCCCAAACGGGGAAGTGTAGGAAAAAAACACAAAAAACATAATTCTAATTCACATCAAAGATCAGATCATCCAAGAATCACAGAAGGTTCTACAATTGTTACTTCCAGGTAGAAGACTACAGCTGTTCAGTACAGATTGCAAAGAGACTAAGCTGTGTGTGTGATGAGAAGATGCAAAGGTGGTAAATTAAAGAACTCACCAAGATCATGGCAACATGAGAGAAACGCTCATATGTCTGACATATGTAAGCCAAACCAGTGTCATCTAAGAGGATCTTCTGGAGGATGAATGTTGCAACCTGGAGTAAAACAAAATTAAGGAGTCCAAAAAGCAGCTCAGACATTTTGCCCAATTATCTACTCACTTTCCCAGGCATGATCATTAATTAGAAAACTGGGAAAGCAGAGACCTCTATATATCATACTTTATTACAAAAGACAGTACGAAAGGTAATAATAAATATTACTGACACACTACCATGTGTCAGGATTTTTTCTAAAGGCTTTATGCCTCACCTTATTTTTTCCAGTAAGATTCTGTTATTCTCATTTTACATAAAATGGTAAGTTCTAGGAAAACTCCAAGACCTTCTCAAGTTTTAGAACATCTTCTCCATGCTGGGTATAACTAACCAATTTAACATACCAGGTTAAGATCTCAAGGATGGGCTGGGGGCATGGCTCAAAGATAAGAGTGCCTGCCTAGCAAGCACAAGGTCCTGAGCTCAAACCCCAGCACTACAAAAAACAAACAAAACAAACAAAACAACATAAAAAACTTAAGTAACAAAGCTTCTAAGCAGCAGAGCTGATATCCAAGCCTTGTTTGAATACTATAACCTCTTCTCTTTTCCATGGGCCAAGATGATTTTAGAGAGTCAGCTTTGCCATGTCTCTTCCAAGTGAGGTAAATAAGACCTTTCTTGTGATAAAAAGATCTTAAAGAAATAAGATTTTTAAGCCCCCCTTTGAAAATTATTCCAATAGTAAAAAATTCTGATTGTAAAACTTATGTCTACACTTAATTCTTACCTCAACCTAAGTTCACTAACTCTTTCCCAGAACGGATTTAAAATCACTAGTTTAATTCAAGTCAGACAATTACTATAAAGATTTTCTTCCTCGGCTGCTCATCAGGATTAACTGTAGGATTATTTTACTATTTTACTGGGGTACAACATGTGGTAGGCTGAATTATGGCATCTGAAGACAGTCAAGTTGTAATTATCAAACTTTGAGATTATGGAAAAAGGGAATTTTTAGATGTGAGATGGGTAGATTAACCCAGTAGGTCCTAAATGTAACCACAAATGTCCTTCTAAAAAGGAGGTAGAGATTTGACCACAAAGGCAATATGACAAGAGAGAGATCTGAACATACTATACTGCTAGCTTTGTAGATGGAGAAGAGAGCCATGGAGCAATGGAATATAAAGAATGTGATTCTAGAAGCTAAAAAGACAAGGAAAGGGTCTCTCCTCTATAGCCTACAGAGGGAGCATGGCCCTGCCCACACTTTGACTTTAGCTTAATATAACTGATTTGTGGCTTCCAGAACTGTTAGTGTAAATTAACAAATTAAGCCACTGAGCTTGTGATCATTTGTTACAAGAGCAACTGGAAACTAATACAGACATATACACAGTAAAGAGTGTAAATGGACTAATCTTAAGTGCTTCTTGGTCAGCTTTTACCTATGTACACACCTGTATACTACAGCAAGATTAAAATACAGAGCATTTCCAACAACTCACAATGCCATCACTTGCTTGTACCACTTCCCAGGAAATATCCATCCCTCAGGGGAAACCACAATTCTGACTTATGCCTTTTTTGCTTGCTCTCAAACTTCACGTAAGTGGAACAGACATACAAACTCATGTCTGTCTGGTTTCTTTTGCTTAACATGCCTGAGAATTATGTGTATATATATGAGTAGTTCATACTTTTTAATTAATGTGTAGTTTATTCTAGGACTGTACTATACTTTTTTTTTTGTGGGACTGGGATTTGAATTCAGGGCCTTGCACTTGCAAAGGCCTGAGTTGGCCTTGAACCACGATTCTCCTGATCTCAGCCGACTGAGTGGCTAGGATTACAGGTGTGAGCCACCAGCGTCCAGCTGCTTGTTTTGATGTATACAAGAGTTCATTTCTCTTGAGTATATATGCAGGAGTGGGACTGCTGAGTCAAAGGGCAGACTTATGGCTACCTTTAATAAATAATGCCAAACAGTTTTCAAAGAGATTATACTATATATTTACCTAGGGGGGATTAAGTAAAACAAAACAAAAACAAAAAATCCAAACAAACAAACAAATAAAAAAATACCCAAACTTTACCACTTTGAAGAAAGATTCAGTAGGTTATGGATGGGGACCTGAACACCTACATTTTAAAACACTTCCCAGGAGATGTCACAGCAGCTCTGGTTGAGAGCCTCTGTTTCACTGGTGTCCTCTATGGGAAAGGTGTTATACTAAGTGTTGCACATAAAAAGTGAACATGGTAAGGTTTCTGCTTGCATGGAGCAAAGGAAGAAAGATTACCTAGAAACTGACTTTTCACTATAAAAAGAAGTATAGGGGACTGGCGGAGTGACTCAAGTGGTAGAGCACCTTGTCTAGCAAGTGTGAGGTGCTCAGTTCAAACCCCAGTGCCACCAAAACAAACAAAAACTAGACAGACACTGGTGGCTCACACCTGTAATCCTAGCTACTTGGGAGGTTGAGATTGGGAGGATGAAGGTCAAGACCAGACCAAAGAAATAGTTCTTGACACTCTTATCTCTAAAATAATCAGAGTAAAATGGGCTGGAGGTGTGACTCAAGCAGTAGAGCATCTGCTTTGCAAGTATGAAGTCCTGAGTTCAAACTCTACTCTTATCCAAAGGAAAAAACAATAATAATTTCAAGTTAATTATTTTAACCACTCTCCAAGATGACCACTATAATCTCTGGGGTATAAATCCACCCAGACATTTTTTCTTCAACATAAAAATCTAATCATAGTCTATAAATTGTTATATATTCATTTAACTTATCTTAAATATCTTTTCACACACGCACACTTTGAGATGAGGAAGGTCTTTTTTTTTTTTGTGGTACTGGGGTTTGAACTCAGAGCCTACAACTTGAGCCACTCCACCAGCCCTCTTTTGTTGACAGATTTTTTTAGAAAGGGTCTCGAGCTATTTGCCTAGGACTGGCTTTGAACCGTGATCTTCCTGATCTCTGCCTCTTGAGTAGCTAGGATCATAGGCTGAGCCACCACTGCCCAGCTGAGGAGGGTCTTGCTATATTGCCAAGACTGGCCTTGAACTGGCCTCAAGTGATCCTCCTGCCCCAACCTCCTGAGTAGCTAGGACTACAGACATGTACCACCATGCCTGGCTTACAATATATTTTTAATAGCTATACAGTATTCCATCATATGAAGAATATAACATGAATTATTTAACCACTTATGCTATTCATTTTATATTATTTCCAAATTATGTAGAAGATAGCAACATACAATATTGGGCTCCATATTTAAGCATTTATGTCCATAGTAGTTCTAGAAGTAGACGCTCTGAAAAGCACGAACAAAATTTTAAGGTTTCTGATTCCTCAAAGTAGCATGAGGATGCCAGGTCCCCAAATCCCCAGAAAATTTTAGTAGATGGAAGCTTTTTTACTTACAGACTTAAAATTTGTAAATATTCTTAGACACAAACAAAGCTATTTTGAGAGCATAAACTACTTCAATGCTCACTCAACTTTCAGCGATAATCAAATTGAGCTTCCCTACTTGAGATACAGACCTGCTAAAAGAGAAACATTTTATACTAGAAAAAAAAAAAGACTGATTTAAAAAAAAAAACCAAAAAACAAATTGAGCTTCGTTTTGAGGCTTAAAAAACCCACAACCAACATAATTAATCCCATCACATGAGTTATGGGAAAAGCAGTGAGAGGGTGGTAAGTGCTGTTAGGAAGAGACATTCAGTTTCACTGGATAAAGAAATAAAGTTAAAAGTGATGAGAAAACAAAGAATGATACAGGACATTCTTACTTTCCTGAGCAATTTGAGAATCACTATTATCAGTCATGTTGAGGTATAGTTTGATAATTTGAACAGTTCTGAAAGACAGATTGTACAATACATGTGTCTATACATCTGTGCTGTCCTTTCTATAATAATAAAGCCAGATGCAAGAAGTATGTAGGGGCAAAGGATCAGCATTAATGCCACATGCCTTTTTGCCTGATAAATCTAGAAGGCTAGGTTCTTAAACTTTTTGTGGGTTTGGGGAGCAGAGGGTGCATATATTCCTTTTGGAATCTGAAGAGAACCATAAAATCAATGCTCTGGAAAATTGCCTATGAACAGTTTTACATATAGATCAACCAAGAAGCTCATTCAAGGAACCCAGGTTAAGAGCCTTTGTTTTATAGGTAACAGAGCACCCCATTAGGATTCTGAGCAAAGACAGGTCATAACTATTTAGTGCTTGAAGAACAATGAATAGCTAGTTGCCATGTAATAATTTTAGTATTCTATTTTAATACTCTAGTATTTATCCTGAGCTTATTTTAAGATTTATTTACCCTAATCATTCTCTAAACTTTTGCTATTTTTCCAGATATGAGTTTTAATCTAATTCTCATTAAAAAAACAAAACAAAACAAAAACCCCTGAACTTCTATTACCACGTCCCAAAGCAAGTTTATTTATTTTTTGTGGTACTGCAGTTTGAACTCAGGGCCTACAACTTGAGCCATTCCACCAGCCCTTTTTTGTGGAGGTTTTTTTCGAGATAAGGTCTCAGGAACTATTTGCCCGGGATTGGCTTCAAACTGTGATCCTCCTGATCTCTGCTTCCCAAGTAGCCAGGATTATAGGTGTGAGCCACGGGTGCTGGGCCCCAACACAAGTTTTACCATGTCTTTACTATCACCATGAAAAGAAACTGATCATATGAATTTGATTTAACATCTCTCAACTGCAATATACTGTTTTATTTCTTCATTGTTGACTTGTAAGTAATGAAGAGGTAGAATATAATTTTCTGATATATAAAAAATATGACCTAGGAGGTAATAAAGTTAGATAAGAACTACAATGAGGTCTTATTGTATCTTGTTACAAACTCACTTGTAGGAGCCAGAATAAGTTACATTTGAATTAAACATCTGTACAGTAGTGTTTATATAAATGGTGATTCTCAGTTACTCAGGAAAGTAAGACTTAGGGCATTGCTACCTTTCCTAAATTCCTTACTGTCATTCCAAAGGGAATAGTAGAAACAAATGGTAGGGAGGATTTCTGAACTTGTGTTGTGGATAGCATGTAGAATACATTATTTTCTTCTAAATCTTTCCTATTTGTTATATAGGAACACGAATACTTATATAGTTTGTTAGCACAGTGGATCAGAGCACGGTTATATGGTCTAGGTTCAAATCTCAGCTCCATCATTTCTACTAGCCTTTGGGAAAATTACTTAAACATATTAAACCTTTGTTTCCTTATCTGCACATAAGGATGATGGGCATGAGAATCTGATAGAATAATCTAAGTATACTGCTTAACTGGCATGTAACAGGCATTTAAATAAATGCTATTGGTTGTGTAGTAATTACTATTTATGAAACAGGGAACAGACTGCCAGGTATGGTGGTACATGCCTGAAATCCCAGCACTCAGGAGGTTGAGGCAAGATGATGTGAATTTGAGGCCAGCCTTGGCTGTCTCAAAACAAACAAATGAACACATCATGCCTAAGAGTATCAAGATCACCCATACAATCTACACACAAATTCAGGAGCATTACTAATTAACACATACATTACAAATGCTATCCATTCAATTATCACTGATCTTACTTAATATATGTAATGTTACTGATATTTTAAACACATTTTTCCCTAATACCTTACAGCAACTAATTTGTTTGAAACCTTTCTTTAACTTACTTTAAGGTTTCATTGTATCTCATAGTCCTCTGTTGGTGTCCAGTCAATATATTACTCAAACATATTCTGTAATATAAAATAAATCTGGGAAAATCTTTCCTAAGGAGACATCTTTGCCTAACATTTTTTTACCCAAAGTCATAATGTGGAAGTTTTTTCCTGTATGTAGCAATTATACAAAACCAACACTCTCTCTCTCTCTCTCACTCTCTCTCTCTCTTTCTTCCCAACTGGTAAGACTGAGTGGAAATGTATTTGGAGGCAAAATACTTGACTTAAAGCTCATGTCATACCACCTCTTTTTTTCATCTATTACTTTCTTTTTTCCTTTTTGTAGTACTGGGGATCAAACCTTGGGTTTGCACATGCTAGGTAAGCACTCTATCAACCCTTTTCATCCATTACTCCTTGTTAGAAATACTCTACACAGAAACTGAAAGAGGACATGGCCTTTAAGAAATATTAAAAGAAAAAGAATTCAAATTGCTGAAGACATGAGCTGTGAGAAGACAGAGGCTAAGAAAAAACTGAGTATAAATTTAACTGCTATATATGCATGTAAAGATATTTCTGGAAGGTGGTACCTGTGGTTATCACTGGGAAGAAATGAGAGGCTGAAATAAGAGTAGACTTAATTTTATTCACATACCTGTTTGTACTACTTGAATTTTTTACTTTATGCATGCACTGCATATTTAAAATAGAAAATTTCAAAGTCATCACATCTGTTTACATTCAACTGAGCAATACATTCACAGATTTAATTGTGATTAACACATGTTAGATCAGAGCTTGGATATTACTAGAAACGGTCAAAATGTGGAAAGGTAGCCTTGATATGAGATTAAAAAAAAGTAGTGATTAGAAGAAAAAAAAGATATGAAAGACAATACAATAACTAATGTGGTTGAATCAAGAGGCTAGAATAAGAGTAAAATATAAAATTAACGAAAAGATGCAAGGAATATGCTCTTCTGAGTAAAAGTTTATACATTATCAAATGAACTTCAAAAATAATGAAGTTTATAGATACCAAAGGTCAAAATTAGGTTGGCCTAAGACTTAACTGCAACATTTGATGTCAGAAGACAACAAGGACATGGCAACAGAATTCTCAGAAGGAAAAATGAGATAAAAATTTTATACCTAGTCAGTATACAGTAAGCAAAAGTACATATACTTAAACATACATAAAAATGTCTAGAATAATATACTTATGATTTGTGGAATGAGATATGAGTTCAAAAAAAGGGAGAAATTTAGTGTTTAGTTTGATATCCTTCTGAGTATTTTGTTGTTGCTAAGACAGGGTCTTGCTATGTAGTTCATGCTGGCCTCAAACTCACAATTCTCCCGCCTCAGCCTCCATGGTTTGGGTTTTTTCTTTTTAATTATACATTATTTATATTAGGATACATTCATTATACAGGGAGGAATTCATAGTGACAATTCCGATTAGTCTTAGTTGTACATTATTTACATTGCCCCCATTGTTTCTCCCTTTAACCTTTTCCCCACCCCACTTAAAGCAATTGCAAGAGGTTTTTTAGTTCTGTTTCATATAGGTATGTGAAGTCCATCAACCATATACCATTGCCTTAATCTCCTTCATTCACTCTCCTCTCTCCCACAAGTGTCCCCCATACCATTTGGGTTTTGTAATGATCATTTTATAAGAATTTTTATTCAAAAAAGAAAAAAATTCATAGAAGGTTCAAAATGCTGAAGAGAGGCAGAAAGTGATCAAGACCATAAAGAAGCAGCTCAAAAGACAAAATAATGTTGATTCTAAGTTAACAATACATACCGTTTTAGAAAGCTCACTTCCAGATTCCATTATGCGCAAACATAAAGGGATAATTTCTGTTGTCAATAAAAAGTTGATTACTTCTTGCTCATCTGTTTTCACCAAGGCCCCTACAGAAAATATAGACAAGCAAAATTATTTTAGAGTCAGGGTCTCCAGTTAAATTAACTTTGTATTTGCTTGGCAAGCAAGCTGCAGAACTTAAAAAAAACATGGCATACAAACTGTGGTATCTATGTAAGGGAATCAGATACATACCAATGTAAAAGAAAGAAATATGTAAGTTGACTTTATTGATCAGCAATGGACGATCTAGTACCAAGTATGGTCAATCATGCCAGTACCAGTTTAGCCATCTAAATATTTCTATCATTCTTGTTAGACGATCAATAATTCAATAATTATCACCAATCTATTCTCCACTTATTTTAGATAAGGGAGGAGACTGCTACACCAGTATTAAAGCATATTCCAAGGTAACAAAGAAAGGTGCCAGTATGAATCCTACCTTACAATGAGCATAAACAAACAATATTCCCTGGTTATTTATTTGCCTCTTTTCCCAAAAAGCACAACTATTGCAGGGTACAACCAATAGAAAAAGTTACAAACAAGAAATAAACACACACCTAGATTCTAATCTTGGTTCCACAGCTAGTTTACCTGTTTGATAAAGTTACTTTCCCTTTGTAGGTCTTTTTTCTTTACCTACAAAATAGGAGTTAGAACAGATGACTCCTAAAATTCACCCCAATTCTGTTACTGTCCATTTCTAGCCGCTGACTCAATCAACTGACAAGGCTAACTAGGTGATGGACACAGATCAGTGATACCTTTTCCATTCTGTATATAGGGAAGTGGAATCACATTACACAAATGACTGATCCCTGAACTGCCCAATGCATTACTAGTTTTTATATGAAAAGCCTTGGCGTAATAACTGAATCAGTTACATTAGGAGAATTTCACAGGGGAATACTACAAATGTTACATTTCAAAACCCCCCATCAACCAGCACAGGAACCATACATAATTTACTAATAAGGCCTAAAGTAGAAACCAAATTACCATTTCTTTTCTTTTTTGTTAGTGGTATTACTGGGGGCTAAACTCAGGGTCTGTGCTTATTAGGCAGCACACTACCATGTCAGCCGATCTACCAGCTGCCTCAAATTACTATTTCTCTTAGATTTTAGATGTAAGCCTATGATCTACACTGAGTTAATTTGTGTAGAGAGTACATGGTATGGATTGTGGTCCTGTTTTTTTTTTTTTTTAAACTATATTCGACTGCTCCAGCACCCTTTATTGAGAAGACTATCTTTTCTCCCCTAAATTTTCTTTGGCTATATGTATATATGGATCTATTTCTAGACAATCTATTTTGCTACAATGACGTTTTCACTACTGTAGTTTTCCAGAAGGTCTGGAAATGAGGTAGTGTACATCATCCAACTTTGCTCTTAAAAAAAAAAAAAAAAAAAGTTTGGATTATCTACTTCTTTTCCTTTCCATGATTAGCATATTAGTCAGGATGCCACAACAAAAAACCACAGACTAGTAGTTTAGATAACTAAGAAACAACTAAAATTTGTTTATTTTATTGATTGATTTACTTAGGTACTAGGATTTGAACTCAGGTCTTCATACCCAGTAGGTAGGCACTCTACCACTTGAGCTACTCTTATCAGTCCTTTTTTGTGTTAGATATTTTCCAGATAGGGTTTTGCTAACTATTTGCCTGGGCTGGCCTTGAACCGTGAGCCACTGGTGCGCAGATATAGATATTTTGTTTTAACAGTTCTGGAAGATGGAAGTATGAGATGAGGATGCCTGCACAGAAGGGTTTTGTTGGGAGCTGTCTTCCTGGTTTGCACATACCTACCATTTGACTATGTCCCGAGCAAGCTCTTTAATGTCTCTGCTTATAAGGATACTAATTTCACCACTAGGGTCCTATTCCCATGTACTCATCTAGACCTAATTATCTCCCCAATGGCCCATTTCTAAATACTATCCCCTTTGGGGATAAAGTTTTAACATACAAAAACATGAAGAGGGCACAATTCAGTCCAGAGAAGTCAACTTGTCAGTTTCTGCAAAAACCAAACGAAAACAAAAAACCAAATTCTATTGGATTTTGTTGGAATTGCTTGGAATCTATAGACAGTTTAACCCAAGGACTAAAACACGCTAGGGAAGTTCTAATATTAAATTACTGATATACTAATGAACATGGTATTCTTCTGCATTTATTTAGGTCTTCTTTTTTTACTTTAATCAGTGTTCTGTACATCTTGCACATATTTTGCAAGATTTATATCCAAGTTTTCACATGCTTTGGTGCTATTTTAAGTGGTAGTTTTGCTAAAATTTCAACTTTCAATTATTTATTCCTAGTACATTGAAATATGATTTTTATACAATAACTTTACATCCTGTAACCTCCCTAAATTTACTAAGTTTTTTTTTTTTTCTTCAACACTGAAACTTGAACCAAAGGCCTCATTCTTGCTAGGCAGGAGCTCTCACTGTCCGCCAGTTCTTTTTTTTCTGGTTGTTTTTTTTTTTTTGAGATAGGGTTTTATAAAGTATTTGCCCAGGGCTGGCTTCTTTGAACCCTGATCCTCCTGATCTCTGCCTCCTGAGTAGCTAGTGTGAGCCACCAGTGCCAGGCTAGTAGGTTTTTGTAGGGTCTTTGGGATTTTCTATGTAATCATGTTGTGTGTGAACAGTTTTATTTTTCCTTTCAAATTTGTATGTCTTAAGTTATAATGCAATTTTTTTTTGTTTTGCTTTACTGCACTGACTAGGATGTCCAATATATTAATCAGGAGTAGTGAGAGCTCCCTGCCTTGATCCTACTCCTAGGGGGAAAGCATTCAGTTTTTCATAATTAACTGATTTAATTGTAGGTTTTCAGGTTGAGAACTTCTACTCCTGGTTTGCTGAGGGTGTTTTTTGTTTTGTTTTGTTTTTGAGGTGCTGGGGATTGAACCCAGAGCCTCACATGTTAGGAAAGCATTCTATCACTGTACTGAGTAACTTTTGTGATCATGAACAGATGCTAACCTGTCAATTAATTTTTAAATTAATATTTTTTCTTTAGATTGTTGATAAGATCAATTGTATTAATGGATTTTTCAAAAGCTCAGCCACATTTATATTACTGGGATAAATCTTACTTGGCCATAATGATCATATATGAGAGAGAGAGAGAGAGAGAGAGAGAGAGAGAGACAGAGAGAGACAGAGAAAGATAGAAAGACTGACTGGAGTCCTTTTTATATATTGTTGGATCTGATTTGCTAGTTTTTTTTTTGCATTTACGTTCATGAGGGATGCTAGTCTGCATTTTTCTTTTCTTGTAAGGTCTCCTTCCCTTCCTCTTTGCATACACTAGGCAAATGCTCTACTACCAAGACTACATCCCCAGGCCACTTTCATTGATTCTGTTTTTCTGCTCCACTTTCATTAAATGTTTACTATTTCTTCTGTTTACTTTGGGTCAATATGCGCTGCTGCTGCTTTTTTTGTGCAATTCTAGACATGGAGATCAAACTCAAGGCCTTTTGCATGCTAAGCAAGTATTCTACCTTTGAGCTACATTCTCAGACCTTGATTTTTCCAGATAGTCTATACAGGCAGGCTGACCTTGACCTCACCAACCTCCTGTCTTTGCCTACAGAGTGCCGGGATTATAGGCATGTACCACCACATGAAGCTAATTTAAGGTGAAAGTCTAAATCATTAATTGGAAACTTCCCTTTCTTTCTGTTTTAAGGATTTAATGCTATAAAATTTTCCTTTAAATGTTACTTTAATTTCATCCCATACATTTTGGAATTTTGTGTTTTCATCTTTACTTAGTTCCAAATATTTTAAAATTTCTCTTATGCATCATTTCATTTATATTAAAACTTGTATGACAACTTTTGAACTGTAAGCAAAATATCTTAGTGCAAATATTCACCTTTTGCTTGTTCTCTCAATCAACTTGGAGAAAGTGTTTCAAAAAATATATGCAAGAGTGAACAACTGGCTTGGTACTCTGGAAGTATTTTTTCATCTCCTCACTTTCAACCTCTATTTTAACATTTCATAAATATACCATCTACTGTGGTGGTTAAAAAAACCAGAAGAAGTAGGATGATTTAAGTCAAAGTTAAGGATGGCTGAAATTGTGCATGCCTGTAATCCCAGCACTTAGGAGGCTGAGGCAAATTGTAAATTCCAGGCCAGTCTTGAGAAAACAAAACAAACAACAACAAAAAGTAGTATAAATTATATTTCAGAAATACCTGATTTTAAAATTGTATTTCCTGATTTATGGTTTATAATGGTTTATAATCATAGGGATTTGAATGTAGGTTGAACAATCCAATAAAACAAAGTGTGCGCAATCAATATTATTACTTTTTGGTCAGTACCTAAATAAAAACTTCAAGAAAGACATCAAGGTAAAAGCGAGAGCACACAAGGGAGGTGTGAGGATAGATAAGACACCTAAAAAATTAGCTAGCATTGTTTGCCCTTGAATGCAGAGAAACTAAAGCAGATACCTTAAAAGCAACTGAGGCCAATAGGAAAAGGGGACCAGGAACTAGAGAAAAGGTGAGATCAAAAAGAATTAACCTAGAAGGTAACACACACGCACAGGAAATCAATGTGAGTCAACTCCCTGTATAGCTATCCTTATCTCAACCAGCAAAAACCCTTGTTCCTTCCTATTATTGCTTATACTCTCTCTACAACAAAATTAGAAATAAGGGCAAAATAGTTCTGCTGGGGTATGGAGGGGGTGGGGGGGAGAGGAGGGGGCAGAGTGGGTGGTAAGGGAGGGGTTGGGGGCAGGGGGGAGAAATGACCCAAGCCTTGTATGCACATATGAATAATAAAACAATAAGAGCCAAGGGGAAAAAAAAAAGAAAGACATCAAGGAAGGAAGGGTGATTTGGAAAAGTAACCTTCTTAAGTATATTATATGTGTAAGTTCAAAGATAGTTCTTTAATTACTCAGGGGTTTGAGATCTGAAACATCTGATACATTATTTTCTTGAGTAAAGTATTTCACGTGTATTTTCCATAGTAAGTATGGAATATTAATAATATAGAAACATTAAATTAAGCATGAAAAAATTTAACTAGGTGAAGTAACAGATGGTTAAACCCCTAAAGTTATAGGTAAAAAACACAGAAATGAGAAAAATCTTTAACTGTTTCTATATATATCCTGAATTGAATTCTAAATATTGATCCTTACAGCCTTATTAGCAACATTTAGAATGGTGCTTGACAAGAATTATGCTCTTGATAACTCATATATTAGTGAATGAAAGAATTTCAAAAATAAAAATGAACAAGTAAGTAACACTTACCTTTAGAGACCACTGCTATGAATGACAATTTCAGGCTTGCAAAACAAACACTAATAACTTACCAATAACTCCAAGGCTAGTCAGCCGAAGATACTCAAAAGGACGTGTTTTGCTGACAGTATGTAAAAAGGGGTACAAAAAAAGTGGGATGTGTGCTGCAAGAAAAGCTGACCTGGAAGAAAAAAGTAATCATATTCAGAGCCCAGAGTTGATTGCTAAGGATCCTGAACATTCAAATTTCCAGGCAGCTAATTCTGAAAGGCCTGTAAACATTGCCCCAGCAAGGAATCCTTAGGAAAGAATTTTAATGGTCATGAGTCTTAACCATTGCTTCTCAAGTGCAGTGATTTTGTCCCTAAGGAAACATGTAGCAATATCTAGAGGTATTTTTGGTTGTCAGAATTGAGAAATGTTGAGGGCTACTGGCATGCAGTGAACAGAGGCCAGAGATGCTACTAAACATTCTACAAAACCTAGGTGAGTATCCTCCTGCTTTCTCCTTCCTACCATAAAGACTTATCCAGTCCAAAAAGTCAGTAATGCCAGTGATGAATCACACTAGTCCAGGTCAGGGTGGTTAAGGCAACACATGATTTTCCTTGTAATCAGCACTATGTATCTTAAAAACTGATGAACTTAAAATAGCCAACTGTGTGATTTTAAAAAGTAGGCTCATAAAATGCTATCAAGGCTGTGTGTTATACATAGTGAGACACTCAAATTCAAGATCTTTCTGCCTCTACCTCCCTCACACTGGGATTACAAGTGTATGCAACTATACCCAGTTAAAAATTTTTTTCAGGGGAGAGAAATGACCCAAACAATGTATGCACTCGTGAAAAAATGAATTAAAAAATGCAAAAAAAAATTATTTTTCTTAATAACATCTCTCAATCTCTGAAAGATCAATGCCAACAAAGCACTCAAATTTCATAAGGAAATTTTGACAATGAGAGGAAAGATTTTAATAAGCATTTTAGGGGGCATTAAGAGCCACAAAGCAGATTCTTAAACAGAATTTTTCTAATTTTCCAAATATGAAAAACTGTTTTCCAAATTTAATAATGTAGAAATTCGTATGTCAACTATCAAGGAAAAACAGGGAGATATATGGAAAATATTTAACCCTAAAAACAAAAACAAAAAAGAAAAAAAAAGTTTAATCCATTAGGATGGAGGGGTATGGCTCCAGTGACAGAGTACCTGCCTAGCAAACACAAGGCCAAGCTCAAATTCCTGTACCACCAAAAATAAATAAATAAGTAAACAAACATTTCATCCACTAAACTGTAAAGAAAGAGAAAATAGCTCATTTCTGTGGGTGAGTAAAAAGTAACTATGAGTCCTGAAGATATACACAGGGCCCCCCAACCCCCACTCATGGTCACATGTCTCACCACTCGGCATTGTCAATGAAAACTCCCATATTAACTCACCCAAAGCATTTACCTGGTTTCTGGGTGTGATGCCACACACTGCAGTAATGCCAGAGCATTGCAAACTCTGTTAGATTGGTGTGCTGTCAAGGTGGGTGGGTTGATAGATGGATAAATATTTACAATTTCCTGAAAAATGGAAATCATCAGCAGCAGATGAACAAGAAATAACCATAAAACATAAACAAACACAGCATAAAAACAAAACAAAAATTTGAAAGAGAAAAACCTAATTCCATGTATCCTGTGAGAAATGAACTATTCAAAAAGAAGCAGAAATAAACAATAATGCTATCCTTTGATCGCAAACATACTTGACTAACTGGAATAGGAATATTTTTATGGAAGCAACTGTGGTCACTTAACACTTCCTCTTAGACCCAGCAGCTACATGCAGTTTTTTGCTAGAGAGACCCTTACATTTTTGTAATTTCTCCTTTTGTTTGCATCCCACTTTAAGTTATAAAGATGAGATCATGGGCCAGAAAATATTAGTGAGTCATAAAGAAGTTTGAGTTTGGGTGAGTAGCAAATGTAAAAGATAATCAGAACATGGATCTATTAGTGGGAATTCAATATACATGCTCCCAGAAAGTGATGATTTGGTGAATAAAATTCCAATTATTTTAGTTGTAAAATCTTCATGCAAATTTTCTCATATTATTGAGTTTCTTGGCTAAACACACATTAGGGATGGAACATGAATTTACTTAACAGATTTGAAAAGTTAATCTAATTATTAGGCATTTGGGGCAAAACTTTAAAGGATGACAATTTCACTATCTCAATGTCTTAGGATTGTACCATTTTAATTTATTCCCCACCAATGACCATTCTTACTTGAACCAAATTTAATTATTATTATTATCTACTTTTCTTGGTGATGCTGGAGTTTGAACTCAGGGCCTCATGCTTGCTAGGCAGGTGTTCTACCACTTGAGCCACTACTCATGTCCCTTTTTTGGCTTTTAGTTATTTTTCTGATAGGGTCAGAAAAATACCCTGTTTTTGAGACACTGATTTTCCTACCTAGGGCAATGATTTTCCTACCATTTCCAATAGTTGGCAGTACATAGGCAAACCACCATGCCTGGCTTCTTAGCTGAGATGGGGTCTCCCAACTATTCTCCCACTTTGGGCTGGCCTTGAACTGTGATCCTCCCAATCTCTACTCCTGAAGCTAGGATTATAGGCTGCATAACCACCACTGGCCCTCAGTTATTCTTTAATGCATAAATATACCCACCTTTAATTTGATAGTTAGCTTAACCTTAACATTTTCCTTCTCCAGATTTATACCTTGTCGTCTTTACACCTTATTTCCACTTCCTTCCTCATGTAGACTTACCTTGTTATACTCCTAAAGCTATGTTTCTCAGTGTAGTTTTTAGGCCACTTGCACCAGAATCATTTGTCTGCTAAAATACACATTTTAGGGCCACTTAATACGGACTAAATCGATCTCTTGGGCAGGATCCAAGAATCTGCATTTTAACAAACACCGTAAGCTTTTCTAAAATAGGTTCTTACAAACGTATGTTTAAAAAAATGTATTTCTAAAGTCTTCAAAACCACTTCAGCAAAGGTAGAAAAAAACACAAGAGTGATGAACATGACTGAACTGGCACTCATGGACATATACCCACCTGTAAAAGTGCTGCAATAGTACCAAATGAATGCCACAGCATTGGTGCAAGATCAGGGACAGATTCTCGCTTCTTGCTTAGCTCCAGCAAAGCGTTTTCCCTTGTTTCAGGACTAGATAGTTCGTTGATCCACTGATAGATCTTTTCTCTATCCACCTGTGCCAGTGCGGTAGGCACAGGCTTCAGGGGAAAAAAAGAAAGTAAATGTGAGTTTACTACAATCAGACCAAGCCTTACTCTGCAATAGTGATTTAGAGGAAATATATTTGTCAAAAATATCAGGGGAGTTTTTCTAAACATATAAATTGGTGTAAAGTAACTCAACCTGGGCTATACTTAAGAAAGACCATGATGCTTACTGTTGCATTGTTTTAAAGCAGAAAACTAAAAAGTATTTACTAATAAGAGATGGGTTAAATATGTCTCAGTACATCTTTGCTATGGGTATACTATGTGGTCCTTTTAAAAAAAACAGTCTGGGGAGAAGGAGTGAGGGGAAGAATGGGAATACAATGGAGGGGATGAACTTGTTCAAAGTACACTGGATGCATGTATGGAATTATTACAATGAAACTCTGTATGTATGAATATTAAAGAGTAAAAAAAGGTACAGAACAGAATATATAATATGCTTCCATCAATACACGCACACACTTTTTTTTTTTTTTTTTGATGGGACTGATGTAACTCAGGGCTTTGTGCTTACAAAGCAGGTGCTCTACCACTTCAGCCACACCTCCAGTACACTTTGCTCTAGTTGTTTTAAAGGTGGGGTTTCGAAGCTATTTGCCTGGGCTGGCCTTGAACCTTGATCCTCCCAATCTCAGCCTCCCAAATAGTGAGGATTACAGGCATGAGCCACCAGCATCTGGCCACATATTCTTATATATTTATATGTCACATTTTTAGAAGGACACATAAGAAACTGTTAACAGTAGTTATCTCCAAGGCTGTTGTAGATCTCTGTATCGGAGCCTTATGTTTCATTATATACAATAAAACCTTCATAGTTTAAACTTTTTAAAAATCGTATGCCTGTAATAGCTTCTGAGAAGAAAAAAAAATTACTCTCCCCATGCATTACTGGTTCCTTCCCATTAATTCTGACATCTACTCCATGGAACAGAAAACCACATAATAAGGAAAAGCTCTCCCTTCTTTTTTATTTTTTGTAGTACTGGGGTTTGATCTCAAGGCCTATACCTTGAGCCAATCTACCACCCTTTCTTGTGAAGGTTTTTTTTTTTTTTTTTTTACCTGAGATAGGGTCTCGTGGACTATTTTGCCCAGGCTGGCTTTGAACTGCTATCCTCCTGATCTCTGCCTCCTAAGTAGCTCGGATTATAGGCGTGAAGCAGTGGGGCCTGGCAAGCTCTCCCTTTTCATGATTCTTGTACATACTCTACTTCTACCCCTTTTGGAATACCAATTACTTATTCATGTAGAACCTATACAAATAACTTCATACTGTGGTAAAGAATCACAACCTTCTTCATAAATCTGAGCATTTCTACAATTTTCCATATTTGTCAAATATTCTTCTAACCTTGGCTAAGTTCCTTAATTATTCTTATCTGAAAAATAAGATGGCAGACTAGAAAAATGACTTCAATTGCTACCTCAATTTATAGTTTAGGCTATAAACTTTTAACAAACTAGTGGCGATTTCTATCCCTCTACTCAACATTTTCTCATGTAACTTCTTGCAAACCATGAGGAATAAAAGGGTAGATAGATAGAAGGGGAATCTACACTTGCAGGTGAGCTCACTAATGCAGATGAATTAACTTGCTCAATTTACTCACGTGTGTTGCATATTTCAATGCTCTTCTCAATTGTATTATATAGGTTCTAACAGTACTTACAAATTCCCACTACACCTTAGGGTGACAGACTGATGACCTACCCATTGCATATGTAGAAAGGCAAGAAACAAAAAGAACTCTTTGTTGAAGTACAGAATTATGTATAAGGTGGACTTCGAGGTAGACTCAAATTTACTCTACTCAACCTGAATAATGGCCTTCTATAAATGGAAGCTTGATCACAAGCTTTTAGCTTGATGTTTATTATTCACTTGCTTGACAGAATGAACCACAAATTGGCCGCATGGACTGAAATACCATGCAAGCTTACGCCTTCTTTTACTGTAATTTGCTAAAAGCTGTTTTGTAATTCCCACCAGTGACGCTCCTCAGGAATCAAAGGCTGCTAAAGCAACAATATGATAAACAGAATAAGGTAATTACCTCCTCTTCCAAAAGCAGTATCATTCAAGCATTTGCCCTTTCCATGTTGCTAGACAGGCCCTCAACTTAAAAGCCACAGTAGTTTTAGAGATGTCATTTCTAGCAGAAGAGTATATTTATTTAGAGTGTTACACTGCTTTAAAATATCAAAGGAAAAAGTGGGTGCCAGTGGCTCATGCCTGTAATCCTGGCTACTTGGGAAGTTGAGAACTGCAGACCACCCTGGGCAAATAGTTTAAGAGCTCATCTCCAAAATAACCAGAGCAAAATGGACTGGAAGTGTGGCTCAAGACGGAAAAGTCCCACAATCCAGTAACTACAGGAGGCCTCACCAATACTGCTCCAGCAATATAGTATCTACCTTGATTAGTCAGTACCCATTCTAGTACCAATCCTCCCTAATGCCTTGTCATATATATTATCTATGTCATATATATTATCTATGTATAAATGCCATCAACCCCACTAAGAGCCAACCTGTGACTTTTATTTGGCACCCACTCTGCCTGGTAGCCACAAGTTAACACACCATGATTCCTGTATACCGGGTCCAATCTCCATGTATTTCTTTTCCAGAGCTGACCTAATGCCAGCATAGGAGCTGGTGCCCCTGGCAGTGGCACTGGTACTCTAGAAGGCAGTACCTCATGCCTAGTTGGCTTCCAAAGATGATGGCCACCTCCTCTAGAGATACCCCCTCTTCGAGGCTATTTGTGAAAGCTGCAGTCTCCATGGAACTTTGGGATTAAGAGAGGTAGAACCATGTCAGGTGCATGGTAATATAGCTCTAATAGGCAGTAGCTTGGTGCTATGGGTTTTGCAGTCATTCCAGCAATGGGAGGGTAGTTAGGGCCTACATGGGATCCTCCTTTTTATCATTCCTGTTGATTTTCACACCCCAATATAATAGCAGTCATTAAATTCATAAGTCTGGTAGTGGGATGAATACAACTACTTTTTAAATAAAAATGAGAACTTACACATATAGCGTTTACTCTGTCAGGCACTGTTGTAAATACTAATCGTTATCTTCACTTTGTAGATGAGGAAACTGAGGCACAGAGCAGTTACTTAAACTTAAATGACAAACACAAGTTGAACCTAGGTGGGCTGGCAATAGAGCTCAGATGCTTAAACCTCTTTTGTTAATTCTTCTTCTCCAAAGCCTAAAAGATTAGCTCATCTAAAGATGACTTTCTAATGAACGATTTCCTTTGACCTAGACAACAGAGATTATGAATATATTAAAACAAAACCCTCAGACAAAAATTATTGTTATTGCTTTTAGCGCAACAGAATCTGAAAGAACACTTAGTACCAATGAATAATATTGTGCTGGTAAAAGAAATTCTCCAGTTTTTGAGACTGCAAACCTTTTAATAAATATCATTTTAATGGAAAAGTCAGTAAAATAGTTTTGACATAATTTCCTATATCACATTATGGAATTAATTTAGCTAGTGACAGCTGCCAAACACACATGTGCACATACACATGCATACCAATAAACAATTTTATAGCACACCTAGAAATTTAGTTTTGGAGAATGAAAGGGAAAAATATTTCTACATTTTGAATTATGTATTGGTTTATTTATTTTTGCTATTTTTTGTCTTACTGGGAATTAGAATCCTGGGCCTCAGACATCTATAAAAGCACAAAATTCCAGTGCCTCAATTTTTTTTTGGTGGTACTGGAATTTGAACTCAGGGCCTCACACTTATTAGGCAGTTGCTCTCCCACTTGAGCCACTCCATCAGCCCTCATTAGATCTTGATGATAACTCAAAATACACCTTACTCTCCTAAATTCCAACGGTTATTTAGATATACATTTAAAAACTAGTGCCTTCTTAAAAGGAGATGGGAAGTGAAAGTAGTAGGTGGGTAAGGAAGAGAGGGAATTGTGTTAGATAAATAAATACATCTATATACACCCCCGCCTCCAGTACTAGGGGTTGAACTCAGGGCCTCCTGCTTGTTAAGCAGATGCTACTACTTAAAACCATCCTGCTAGCCTTTTTTTTGCTTTGGTTATTTTTGAAATAGAGTCTTGCTTTATGTGTGGGTTGGCCTGGACCATGATCCTCCTATATGTACTTTCCCATGTAGTACAGCTGAGATGACAGGTATGCATCATTTGTGTACAGCCATTGGTTGAGATGGTATCTTATGAATGTTTTGCCCATGCTTGCCATGAAACACGATCCTACCAACCTCCACCTCCCCATGAGGTAGGATTACAGACTTGAGCCACTGCATCTGGCTTTGTTGTACCTACCTTTTTAAAGATAGTTTCAGTTAATATCACAAGAAGGTGGTTAGTTTCCTTATTTTACAAACAGTGAAACTACAGGTGGGGAGATTTCCACCTCATCCCACTCTCCACTTAAAAATCACCTAGTAGGGCACAGTAGCATGCATCTCTACTCCCAGCTGCTCAGAAAGCTGAGGCAGGAAGATCACTGTAGTCTAAGAGATTGAGCCCAGCTTGGGCAAAGACCCTGGCTCAAAAAAAAAACCCCAAAAAACCAAAAAACAACAAAATTACAACTAAAGATTTCTAGTTCAGAGACTGATATGGAAGTCAATGCATTACCAAACACTGCCAAGTGGTAGATAAGCAAATTCACCTATGACTTGCATACTGGAGATTACCTAACTTAAAACATTAACAGTAATAGTGGGATACTGATCATGAGAGCATTTTTTTGAGTCCTAGACCCTTTAAGAATCAAATGAAAAGTATAGATCTTTTCCTTAGAAAAATACACAAAAATCTACATGTAATTTTAGGTAATTGTCTCCTTGCAATGCAACCACAGATCTAAAATTAAGTATCTGTTTATCAGATTAAAAACAGGAAAGACTTTAATTTGCAAGTAATTATAGAAGTACATAAATGGAACAAATACTGATTTGGGAGCCTGAA